GTAAACAAACGACTAATGCTTGAATCAGCTCAGGCAGGTAATTGGGCCTGAAATATACGCTAACGTTAGGACAGCTCACTCAGGCATAAATCCGCTCAGACCTTCAGCCAAACCGGTTTTCTTTTTCGTCTGATACAGCACCCTTGCGTTTGATGGAGTTCCCCTAGGCTTATTTCGTTACGTTTGTTAGAACCCTCTTACGTTTGGTACAGCTCCCGCTGCGAGTCCCGGTATCTGGTGTGCGCCTCCAACAGCTCCATCTCCAGCGTCTCTAACCGAGAAACGCTCCTCGAAAGCGCCGCTGAGCTCGTCTCCCTGAAAAAAGCACGCATGATTAGCATCGAAAGCACTCTTACATGAGCGTAGTTCATCGATCTTCTATATTCAGTGTCGTGATGAAAAAAGTTTGCCCTTGAGCCAAAAACTGTCAGGTGACAGTAGGTCTCATACAGTCAGTCAAGCGACCAAAAACAAACGGATTAACAAAACAAGAAGCCATAAATGGAGCAGCATCACATACGAGGCGTCAGCAGACCACCAAAGTTCTCGTAAATATCTCTCAAAGAGCACATTTCGAATAACACATGCACGTGCTGGCAGTCAGACGCACTCACCGAAGCTCGGCGAGCTGTGTCTGCAGCTCCTCCGACTGAGCTCGCGCGTTGTCGGCTCTGGTCTGCAGTAGCTCGATGTGCCGCTCCCTGTCCTCCGACTGCGCACAGGACCTGTGGCAGGAGGAGCTGTTTCAGCACCAGCTGCTGGGCTGGGCTGAGGAAAGCCGAAAGGAAATGCTGATCTATAACAGCAATCAGATGTTTTGCGAAGTTAGTAAGAGAGAAGTGTTACATCACGTAAAAAAATACCATCAAATAATGAGGTAACAGCATCACATTAGCCTGGTCAGACATTCATATGGCAGGTCACACACTACATTGTCAATTAATCATTTTCGAGAAACTATGAAAACTGAAACGTTTCGAAACTAAGGCTGCCGCTGTTTTTTTTTCGAGGGACACCATTGGTCACCCGATGAGCAGTGCAGCGCCGGCTTTGATTGAGTTACCTGGACGAATCTGGTCCACGGTCGGTCGTCTCCTGCAGCCTCTGCTGCGTCCTCTCCAGTCGTCCAGTGACCTCGGACAGCTCGGCCGTCAGCGTGTCAGCGCGCTCAGTGAGCGTCACCAGGGCGGCGCGCACGGCGGGCACCAGAGCCTCCGGGCAGACGGCCGCGCTGCCGATACAGGAACCGTGAGCTCAGCGGGGATAGAGTCGCGTGGTGCAGCACAACGGGAATATGGCAATAAAATAAACAAGCACCAAATGAGAAAACAGCGACAGCAAATACAAAGGCAACATAGAGAACACAGCGAAAGCGAGGAGAATGCGAGGGGAGCACACCAAAGTTATACCACAAACGCTACAACACTTTGCTCCCTGAAAGGCTTGACAACTTATCGTATTCGTAACAGTTGTTATTTCTAGTGAGTAAAACTGGCCACCACGCTCGATTCCTACGGCGACCATTACCTGTCTGGTGAGCTCCACTGCACCAGTCGCGCGATGGCGACAAACGCAGCGCGGCAGCGGCGCAGGCGAGCGGTGAGCATCCGCAGCTGTTGACGCACCTGGATGGCTAATGACGCTGACTGCTGCTGGCTGGAGGCGTGCAGCTGCAGACAGAGAGAAGTGTAGACGGTTAAGGTACAGGGTTTCTACTCTACTAGTTACGATCGGCTGGGCCAGATTTACAGACAATGGGGAGAAAGTAATCTGGGTGGGGAATGGATAAGGACCGGAAGGAATGGACACCAGCGGAGAAAGAGTCGGTGACAAGAAGGGCAAAAAACGGTGAACAAACCTAAGGCACGAATGGATCCAAGTACACCCTATTTCCGTAACGCGGCTAAAATCACAACACACACACGCCCCATTCGCAATACCGACCTGTTTACAGGTGGTGTAGCGGACTGCCAGCCTGGCGCGACCGCCGGCCGCCCGCGGGCTGTCCCGGGCCGTCCCGGGCGCCGCCGTCTCCAGCTGGTCATACAGGCCGGCCAGCGCCGCGAACTGCTCAGCGGCCGCCCGCTGATACACGGACCACAGCTCCAGCCACTGTTCACACTCTGACCTGGCGACCGAGCAGGGCAGTGTCACTAAAAACAGCGGTATGGGAGGGGCTGGCACATCACTGCTCTGCATCCTGCGACATAAACATGACTGGGAACTCTGAATTATGTGATTGAAATGAAACAAGATGAAAAGACAGATCCCACTTAGCAGGGGCTCTGTCCTTGTGAATCGTTCCATTCAAAAGGTTTGAACTAAATTTATATAAAAAATGAATCCTGTCACATTGCACCAAGAAAGAGTCTCAAGAAAATATAAACTTACTGGTAAGAATCCACTTCTTCACAGTCAGGTAATAATGAGCTAGCATCTTCAATGTTATCTGCTTGCATAGTGCTGCTTAAAATATGTTCATCATCCTCACAGGTTCCAGTAGGTTCAGAAGATGGAATATCCTCACTTCCCTGAATATCCACAGTTTCACTGTGATCCATCTTTATTGCCTGATGTCTATTGAATATCAATGAACTGAAACAGTGCTTAGTGAGTCAAGGGTAAATTTATACATATAAAAACATATGCACCTGAATGAATTATAATACACAACTAGGATTCTGTTCAATATAATCTTTATCATAGTATTTTTTGCTCGTTTATTAGGGCATGCCACATCAGGGGCATATTCATTATTATACTAAAACGCCTTTCATGCATAAGATATGGTAAGTAGGTACTAAAGTCTCAGTAAACCAAACAGTTCAAGTCATTTAATAATAAAAAACTAAATTTCTGTGTGTGTACACCTAGGTGAACCAAAATGCACTACCTAGTATCTACCTTCATTAACCCAATCACTTCAATCCAGATTGCAATGTGTGGCAACAGAGTCAACACACTACTCCAGCAGAGCAACAAATCCACAACACTTTACACAATTCAGCCACAACAAAACATTAATCCTTACCAGCCTGCACAATAGGTTCCATGGAATTCATACACTTGCCCTCATGATATTTGATAAACAAACTCAAATAAAAGGAAAACTATTCCCCGGTTGACCCCATTGGCCCATTGAGTCTATGACTCTACTCTGCAAGGAAGCTCACTTGTTGAGGTCCAAAACAACCCACATATGAATGTACCACACCAGGTAGCACTCAGTGCCCTCCCCTCGCCCCCCCCCCCGCCAGGAAATCTTGTCATATGCATTACTGTACAGCATTCAGTCAGTAGTAGTACCTTTGTCATAACCTCAATGTATGTTTTAACTGAAACACTGGACACTGGAGCAAAAGAGAAAAATACTCTTCTCTTATTCTTATCACTTCCTTCCTGAATCCTGATCATTAGTTTGTTCCATGGCTCAGTCGGTAGTTCCATGGCTCTCCTTGGTTGGAAAACCTCAGTGTGAGTTGTGACGTCTGCTCTACTAATACCGTGTTGGAAACCTGATAGGAAGAGCACAGGTCCCAGTTACTCCAGCACTTGATTTTTAAGCCTCCTGACAGAGACAACCTGCATTGGGTGAGAGCAGCTGCAGCCAGTCAGTTCAAGGCAAATTAGAATGGGATGAAATGTCTCAGTGAGATTTGCAAAGCATTGCCGCTGTGTAGCACATTGCATATTGATATGGCATAGCATATCATCATCACTTGCACGGTGCACCTAGTCATATAGGAGGGGTTCAGGCTCGCAAAGCTCTGTGTAGCATGGGCTATGCACTTCTGTCAATCCGTCCATTATAATATTTCAATTTGAGCCTAATTTCAATTTGGGTATAAAAGAAAATCATGAGGAAATGATAATGCGCCCTCACCATATCATACCACAGGTTTATAGTGGTACAAACTTAAGCCATTTAGTAGCACACATGCATTGAAATGAGATCATGAGATGGTTTGTTAAGACAGAAAACGTCAAACTTTACAACACAACGAAGGACATCACGATAAAAAAAAACGATTCCGACCTATACTTGCCTACACAACACGACAACGAACAAAAATGAATCGCGCAATCAAGGCCCTATATACCAGGTAGGGTCGTCCGGCGATTCTACCTTTTCGTGACGTCAGCTCATGACGTCATTTGGAGTCAAGTCTCGAAGCCCCGTTCAATCCCCATGTAAATGAGCGATTTTCGAAGCACTGTAGAATGAAGTCTGCACAAGATATATCAAACTTAAGTATCTTATCTAAAAGAGCAGACAATTTTCTGCAAGTTATCTATTACGTGTTTTTCGCTAAATCTTTTGCTTTTTTCACAAAAGCGTAAAATGTCCCCCCATGTCTCCGCAGCCTCCCTGCCGCCGGCCGCCGCGCGGTCGCGGTAGTGTAGTGGTTAGCGTGCCCGCGCAGTATTCCAAAGGTCCCGAGTTCGAATCTATGCGGTGCGGAACTTTAATTGCAATTCCAAGCTGAATATACGCACATCCATAATAAATTATTATTCGTATAGCTTAACTGTCACCAAGCTATCCATATAAATTGACTTCACCCAAAATATCGGCAAGATTCTATTAAAATATAAATTCAAATATGGCGGCTTGGACTGCCGCGTGCGTTAGGCTCCGCCCATAGCTCCGCCCACATGCGTGACGTCATTCGTGTTAGTGGACACGCAGAGAGATAGGGGACGACATGGGCCTGCGCGCAATAAATTGCCTTCTGTGCGTTGGTTTTTCGAATGGGCTGCCAGTTCCCAGAATAGTGATACCATATCCTTCAGCTGTTGGCCATGCCTTTAATTTATTTTGTGAATAATTTGCAAAAGAATGTTTTTTAATTCCCCATTTCTTTTAAATTTCTTTAAAAATATTTTAAAAATATTATCAAAAGGTAGAGGACCATTTTCAATTTTACACGCAAGGGAGTGTAGGACTGAGAGAAGGAAAAGCTCCTTTTTCGAAGGTTTTTACCTACGGCCAGCAATTTCGCGCCGAAATCACCAAAAGCGCGTCAATAAACCGCTAGGGGGGCAATTTTGTTTTGAGTTAGGTCGTTTTGCGGATTTTTGCAGTTTTGTTGGTGAGTAGAGCGAGTTTTATGTATACTGGCTTGTAGATGCATTTCTGGTTAGTTCGTTTCTGTTGATTGTAGTGTCTGGTTGTCCATTGTCCAAGCTGTTTCTGATGAGCCGTAGGGCGTTCATAAAGTGCGAGATCGCTAGCAAACCGCAAGGATTGGCGGTGCAGGGTCTTCGGACGCTTCTTGGATCGTGTTATAGTTCGTTTTTTCTAAGTTCGACCCTCACTGTAAACATCTTTTTGAACAAAGCACGAGAATTGCTAGCTGAATTACTTAGAAAACCGGTTAGCGCACATTGTACTGGAGATATGAATAATATTTTCCAAATAAGTTTTTAACACCAATGATATACACTTCTATTAAACGCCGTGCGATTTATTGATTAGTTCAATTACAATTTCTGACAAGTTGTCTTTCCCTGTGCCCTGTGGGGTTGTATATAATTCGGCTAGCAATTCTCGTGCTGTGTTCAAAGAGACGATTACAGTGAGGGTCGAACTTAGAAAAAACGAACTATAGCTTGGCCGTGCATTTCTATACTCTTTCCTGTTGCTTGGTGTTACGACGTTTCAAAGTCTCTCACCTCTGGAATTGCTCTTACCTCTCTTTTGGTAAACTTTCTTCCCTGATTTCAATTTCCTCTGTTCTAATTCTGATGTTGTTTGAGTTGTGCAAATGTAACATTTGTATTTTGTTTAAATAACTTCCATTGTACCATTCCCAAAATTCAAATTTATGGCTTTCCAGTCAGATTATCTGTCTTTCCTCAGTGGTTTGCTTGTAGCTTTGTTTTTGTGTTCTACACTTTTACTTTACTAATAAACTGGCGTCTGGCATGCTGTGGCTTTGAGGGTATTCATCCTTGCAGGCTAGGTCATGATGTGTCTTTCAAATCCATCTATCATGTTAGAACACCACCAATAGAAACCACTAAATAGCTTGCATTATTTTGAGGTAGCATTTTTATTGATCTCAGGCATGTAAGATTCAGTGCATAGCAACGTAAATCAATGTTTGATTATAATATGAGCATCTTCATCAGGATAAGTGGCAATTGCAGTCATTAATTTCATTAGCTTTTTGCTGTTTCTGCATATCAGAGTACTTTAAATTGTGATTATAATTTATTATTATGGATATTCGTCTTGGAAGCAGAATGCAGATAAATTATTTTCTGTATTAGTATCAGTGCAGGGAGGAACTGGAAGAGGAATGAGGAACTGTAAGTTAGCATATATTGATTTTCCTTTTGCCAATCATCATTTTTGATGTTTTAAATCATTGACACACCAACGTCTGGCCCATATTAAGAGCAAAGGGCAAAGTGGGACAGGTTCTCATGATAATTATGGCAGGCCAAGCATCCTTAGTAAAACCAGGAGCCCAAGTGGTGCATTGTTGAACCAAAAGACTGAACAAATGGTATCAACTTTGATGGTCACACACTGGTGCTTGGGTTAACAACAATAAAATACTGGAAAACAGTGGATGGTGGTTGGCTAGACTGGCATGTTAGCCCTTTCTCATTTGTAAGGCTATAACAGCCCTGCTTGCTTCATATTCCCCCTAAGCTTTGCTGGTGACTTATAACTATATCACAAATGTTTCATTCTTTTTGTTTCCCTTTGTATGTTATTGGCCACTTGTTTCTCCACTGGAAAAATGCAGAACTTTGTATTTAGTCCTGAAACATTCCTGTGTAGTGGTGACTGGTGATGACAGTGTTGCATGATTAGACTCTTGTAGTTTTTTAGGCTGCCGCATTGTTGCTTGTATGCTATCATGCCCAGTGCTGCCACTGTCTGTTTCTAGTTACAGGAAGCACTGCTACTGTCCACTGCTCATAATCATGCCTTACCTTATGATCTCTACATTGATCAGAATGGTGAGCACTTTCATCAACCAGCTGATTGGTCAAATGTTGTGTTGTTATTATCCATGCTTTGTGTTTGAAGGGGGTATGAAGAGATTTAGATTTTAGGGAGACTCAATATGCATACCTCAGCATTGATTCTTTGCTGCTCACATGCTCTGTCAAGTGCCTGTGAACCTATATGAACCAAATATGTGGTAATCCCATGATCCCACTCCTACCATAGTCCATTTAATTTTCACAGAATAATGTGTTTTCTTTCAATCACTTGGTTGATTATATTTGGACAAAAATGTGGGATGCCAACATGCATCATGAACCCGTTTTGAGCTGTAATTACATAATGCATTTAGAAAATGTGCCTAACATTGGCTGACATATTTACAACTATGACCTTTTATTTTTGAAATTGGCCAATGGCCAGTCATGAAATTGGTTTATTATTATTATTAGTTTGGACATTTTGCCAAGGAAGAAAGTCTAAATAGGTATTGATTGAAGTTCCAGAAGCTCCAGGGGGCATCAGCAACATACAAATCAGGAATGAAGTACAACTGTCATGCAGAATATAATATGAGTGTTTTTACACCTCTTAATTTCATTCCATGCTTCATGCTAAAATTTGGTAAAGTTTTTCAATGTTCATGTTGTTTTGTCCCCAGGAATCTGGTCCTACCAATGTTGGCGATAAAGATTCGGATCCGGAGTTGATGGAATATCTGGGTGCGAGCAAACTGAGAGAAATCGGTCACGATTTGTAAGTAATTTTGTAAGTACGAATCCTAGGGCCTAGGATTCGTAATCTGATACATGTTACTCCAAACTCCACATCAATATCATGATGTTACCTGTTCTCGTATCCAAATTATTCGGGGTGTGAGCCTACAGCCTTGTAACGTGTTTCTGTCATTGTTCTACGTCTTCACCACACTCGTCTGTGTCTGTGCCTCCAGTGACATATACCAGACGCCCGCCAGTCCGCGTGAGGTTCTGGACAAACTGGAGGTGAAGGGCTGGTCGCTCATCACCGTCACTGGTGCCGGACAGACCATCATCTGGACCCTGCACAAGGCCTGCTAGACGCCCGGCGACCGACCCGCGAGAGCCAGCACCCTTCCACTAACCTCTGGCAGCTCACGGGACGGCACTCTGCCTGGCACACACAGCAGAGCGGTACTAACCACACCGGTGGGGGAGTGACAACCACGGGACTAACTTCTGGTGCAATTTATATAGTTATCTGTCTAGTCGGCGTTGGGAGGTGGTACTGTAGCGCAATCTGAGGTGGCGCGGTGATAGCGGTGTTTTTGATACGGTGTATACCCTGACTCGGTCGGGTCAAAGCGGCGAGTGCGCGGCTTTTAGCCTGTTTAGCGGACTCTGGTGGCAGTACGTGAACGGACTCTCGGTCGACAGTCATGGCCAAGGTACATATCACAAACGTCAGCCTGCTGGACAACCCGGCGCCCTACTTCTCGCCCTTCAAGTTCGAGATCACATTCGAGGCGATCGAGCCGCTGCCCGAGGACCTCGAGTGGAAGATCATCTATGTCGGCTCAGCGGAGAGCGAAGAGCATGACCAGGTGAGGAGATTGAACTGCTCGCCTGCCCGGATACTGAAAGAGAGAACTGCGTAAGGGCGGAGGGCTTATGCTGTTTATGCTTGCATGGTGCTCTTTGTGACGACGCTACGACTCAAATGTTCAATGTTTGTTGACTACATACTTACACATCAGTCTTTATGTGGTGTCTATTGCCTTCTTTGTGATCACACATAAGTGGTAGTTAACTGGATCTCTGTGATTAATTGACCCTCAGGTTTTTGACACGTTGCCTGTGGCCCATTCTCGAAGGCGGTGTTTGACCCCTACCGATGCTCTCAGGTTCTGGACATGATATTCGTAGGCCCAGTCCCCGAGGGGCGGTGTCTGACCCTTACCGATGCTCTCAGGTCCTGGACACGGTGTTCGTGGGCCCGGTACCCGAAGGGCGGCACATGTTCGTGTTTGACGCGCCACACCCGGACACGGCCCGGATCCCGGTGCAGGACGCGCTGGGAGTCACCGTGGTGCTGCTGACGTGCAGCTACCGCGCCCAGGAGTTCGTCAGGGTGGGCTACTACGTCAACAACGACTACACAGACCCAGAGCTCAAGGTGGGTGCTCGACGGGTAATGGGGAAGGGGCGAGGGGGAGGATGCGGGTCACGGGCGGAAGTTTCGGCGGACGGGCAGTTAATATGCGCACAAGGGCGGGCAAACTGCCGCCCGCGATCGGTAGCGACACCAATAACAGCTTTCGCCTGCTGCATCGTTTTTTTTTTTTTTCTCCCGGAAAGTACTTAACGAGCTGTTCTCAGTATGAGTCAAGACTGCACATTTTCAGGCTGCCGTTGATATTCAAATTACGGTGTCATATTTCTCCAATGCTGTCACAGCGCACTATTTCCGTGTGTGGTAAATGCTGTACAATGTAGCCGGTCAGGTCATGGCTCTTCCGGCACGTCGATCGCTTCCTGCGGGTTTTATCCTGCCCACGCCCAAAACCTTTGTCCACAACAAATCGATGATAGCTGAAGCGCTACCTAGCCTCGGAAAGCCGACTGGTCAAGTATCTAAAGTCAATTTTAATTTGTTATGCGCTTGATGGTGTTCTGGGTTGTTTTGAGGGACGTGATTAATTCTCAGCAATAGGTAGCTTTGTTTTGCCGAATGCGTAGTGTATTCAGCCATGGGCTAAAAGCAGGGATGCGGAGCCGTGGAAATTTCAGACGACTCCGGCTCCGGCTCCGGCTCCGGAGAAAAAAATCGGCTCCGGCTCCGGCTCCGGCTCCGGGTGAAATGTCATGGCGGCTCCGGCTCCGGCTCCGGCTCCGAGTAAAATGATCCGGCTCCGGCGGCTCCGGCTCCGGCGGCTCCGGCTCCGGCTTCTACGCAGTACATCCCCTATGCGATCAATTAAATACGGGTGGAAGAAAAAAGGCGATGGGATTGGTACACGTTGCTTCTGTATTTGTATAACAAGGCTAGTTTGAATACCACATTGTTTTACGCCTTGTACTGTCAAACCGAACTAGGTAAATAATTGTTTCCTCTTAAGAAAAGGAGCCGGAGTCGCCCCCTTTTTTGACGGCTCCGGCTCCGGCTCCGGCTCCGGGCTATATTGTTTCACGGCTCCGGCTCCGGCTCCGGCTCCGGGCAAAATATGCCGGCTCCGGCGGCTCCGGCTCCGGCTCCGGCTCCGGCTCCGCATCCCTGGCTAAAAGGATACTTAAAGTCGGCTTGTAACATTGCATGTCGGTGAACCGCGCCCGATCCTGTATTAGTTGGTGAGTCGCTGCTGATTATAAGCACTCGAAGGATCGCAACCTGATTTTCCGTGAAGTGAATGCGCATCTTATTGGAATTTGTTAAGACGGACGGTTTGCGATATCACGAAGTTCGTGGTTGCATGATGCATCCCAGGATTTTATTAGAGCATTCGGCCATGCGGAAGGGTGCGGAGGCACGAAAGCGGGCCTGATGATTGGCCGGCGATGGGTGCAGCGGACCGGGGTCTTTGCTCTCGGCTGTCTGGCTCCGTCGGTTGTCTGTTCTGACCTTGAACTGTGTGAGACGAGGCGATTAGTGTGGGGCTGCAGTGCAGAGGCGCCTCAGGAACGGATAGCAGTCAAAATGGCGGGATACGATGGGGGTGGTAGGCGTCTATTGTGGCAAAGTGAAAGGGCTATCACGGGAACCACCGGCTGTCTGACTGTCTCAGATAATATCGGTAGTTTGTTCCGATATAAACTTATGGCCATCGCTTTACGAAAACAATAAGTTTTCTACCTATCCGCAAATGAGTGGATTGGCTTAGTGCCAGTCAAAGGACAGGTCTCTACATATATGTGTCTATAACCTTTGCCTAGTGTTTTACCGTGGTCTTATAATTTTCAGGGTAGCTAATCGCCAAAAGTAAGTCGTTATGTACCCATTGTAAGCACTATTGTCTGACGCCACTTCAATCTCCCACCCGCAGGAGAACCCACCCGAGATGCCTCAGTTCGACAAGATGCAGCGCAATATCCTGGCCTCGAGTCCCCGCGTCACACGCTTCAAGATCGAGTGGGGTGACGTGAAGCCGGCCAAACCTCAGATCGACCTGGCCGTGCACAACCAGATGCCGCCGCGTCAGGAGGAGGAAGACACCTTCGACCTGCCGGCCAAGCTGCCGGCGCCGCCCTCACCCAAAAAGGTCGAGCCGGCCGAGGACTTTATGGACTTTTCGCTGTAGGCGACAGGAAGTCATTACCGTGACCGTGAGTGGGCTGTTAATGGCGCCGCCTACGGGAGATGAGAGGTAGAGCGGTGCAGCGGAGCGAGTGCAGGGCAGAGGGGAGGGGAGGGGGCGCCGCCGCGTCGTTCCTGGAGGCGGTATCCGTCTCCGCCGTGTTGAGTCGGCCGAGAGATCTGCGTCGCGTCATTGCTACCTGGACTTATTGCTGCTTGTGTCTCAATAAAACTTTGTTTTGCATTACATCGTACTGTATTTGGGTGCACTGTTTGCTGCATATTATCACGCCACTCCCACAACAGTTACCACAACATGGTCACGTCTGAAGATAGGGCAGATGACTGCCGATCTTTGACCGAGACAGCCAGGCATATCGAGAATCGATCACATGTCGTTGACTTGAGAGGCTGATGACCGACCGAACGAAGTCCCAGTCCATCATCCAGATGGTATTTCACAGGAGATGGGCTGCAACAGGGCAAGCGATATTTCTATGAATTACGCAACGTTCACGATGACGGGAGGAAAAGTAATGGTGGGACTGAAATATCATTCTCAGCTTATGGTGGGATGAGCTAGAATGATCACGAAGAGGAATGAGCTCCGAAAACAAAGAACGTGCCTGAAAAGAACAATCCTCAAATGCGAAGAAAAACGCTTGTAACGCATGCACAACGATATATTAATTAAAAGGAAATTAAATATTGCGATAGAGCGGTTCTGTCCCAATGCGGTAATGCAATCCATCGTGCACAAAAAATAAATGAATTTGGAGTACTGTTTTAAGTTACTATACTGTGGGTAGGCAGAGCGCTCTATCGACCACCTATTGCCGGATTACGACGTCGGACGTACCGTGGAGCAGTAGGGGCACTCGCCGAACACCGTGCGCAGCGTCTGCCGAGTGCTAGGCAGCGCTCGGAGCCACTGGGGACACCACAAACATCGCATATGACACGTGGTAAAAGGAGTCTACAATGGATGACAGCGTGAAATGACGCAGTGGGCTGATTGACTACAGAGAACAAGTTGCCCGAATAGATGGAACGTGTCGAGTCATTATCGCGAGCGAACTACATAAAACGCGGCATTCTTCGTATCCAAATCATTACGTAGATCATATTAGGCTGTCAGGGGCAAGCAGTACAGGTGTAAACGATTCCTGCCAGCACTATGAGTGCTCGGTCTGCTGCTCAGTGGTCGCCATTTGGCTGCAGCGTTGGCTCGCCAGTCGCCACCCAACATCACGGAAAGTCAGTGACCCAGGCTCGTAGCAAGTCAGCATAAAACACTTTTTTCGTCGCAAATTCGTTTGACATTCTAACGATTACCTCATAAAGACAAAGGGTATCATGAAAAGGCTGGCCGCAGCGGACGCTGCCTGATACGGACATCGGTCTGTATCGCTTACCTCATACAGACAGGACGTATGAAACGGCTGGCCGCAGCGGGCGTCGTCACAGCACCGCTCTGGCGTCTCTCCCTCCAACCGATAACTGTAACAAATGCCGCAGTCGACCGCGATGGCGCCACCATCGCCGGCCGCCTCCCCTCCGACGCCGGCCGCCGAACGACGCACGAACTCGACGGAGAGCAGCCGCTCGAGGTTCTCCACCAGACCCTCGTACTCGTCCCACGACTGTGGGAAGAACGGGGGAGCGGTGCAGCTAGTAATGCGCTGGGAGAGATGGGGTGGGGCAACGCCCGGAAGCGGAAATCAATCATGAATACGGACTTCAGAAGAACAGCCATTGAAGAACACAACTATTATTTTAGATAAATGTTGACAGACAGTGAGAGCTCATGACACTCCTAATAAGCTATGGACGTTCAACAGGTGAAAACAGTTCTGCGCCCCATGCATTGATAACAGATAATATGCCCTGAGCCAAGGAAGAGAAATGTCGCTCAATGGCAGATGTCAAAGATCACAAATATTTGCAGCCATTGTTCTGTCTTAGAAATACCGATTATCATCGTAAAAGAAAACGAAACACCAAGGCTCTCACAAGGCATTCGAAAGTGCTTGCTGTGCCTCAACTCTGCTGACTGGAAGGATGAGACAATAGGGCACACCAAATGCTACTAACGGATCCCTCCCCAGTCGGCGGCCAGCAGGGTCTGCATTGGCATACGATTTCTGTGCCGATCCAGAACCGCCGCCCGTTTCCGCAGCCTATCAAGGCCGCCACCGCCGCCGCGAGACGTCGCTCGCCGGCCGGAAGGAAGCGTCGCCGGCCTCTCGTCTGCCGAGCTCCGGCGGCGCCGACAGCTCGTCAGTCGTGAACGGATCGGCGGCCGGCAACATGGCGCCGCTGCTGCTGCTGGTGGTGGGTGGCGCGCTGGCCGCGGTGACGCGCGCCGCACCGGAGGACTGCGGTCTGCCCAAGGCGCGCGGCTCCTGCAACCAGTTCGCCGTGCGCTACTACTACGATACAGAGTACGGCGGCTGCCTGCGCTTCTGGTACGGCGGCTGTGATGGCAACGGTAACCGATTCGCCACGGAGTCCGAGTGCGAGCGCTCGTGCGTGGAGCCGTCCGGTGACGCGCTGTGTCGTCTGCCGGCAGTGCGCGGCGCCTGTAAGCGGGCGCACACGCGCTGGTACAGCGACCCGGCCTCGGGCGGCTGCCGTCAGTTCACCTACAGCGGCTGCCTCGGCAACGCCAACCGGTTCGAGTCGGAGGCCGAGTGCCAGCAGCGCTGCGGCCGCGTCTCGCCCGACTCCGGTACCGGCGGCAGCGGCGGCGGCACTGGCGGCGTGGTGCCCCAGCCCGGCCCCGCCGACTGCCTCCTCCCCGACCGGGTGGCCGGCGGATGCAGCGAGTACGTGATCCGCTACTCGTACGTGGCCGCGCGCCAGCAGTGCGCCCCATTCTACTACGGCGGCTGCGGCGGCAACGGTAACCGCTTCAACTCGGCCGAGACGTGCCGAGCCGCCTGCGTCAAGCCGCCGCCGACCCGGCCGCCCTACTACGCCCCGCCCAGGGAGCGGGAGGGACAGCCGGGCGGCTCTCAGACTGACTACGGCAGGGCGGAACGGCCTGACTACGAGCGACGTGACTACGGCAGGGAGGAGCGACCCGACTACAGGGGACCTGACTACGGCAGGGAGGAGCGACCCGACTACAGGCGACCTGACTATGGTAGGGAGGAGCAGCCAGAGCCGACCGAAGCGCCGGCGCCCATCACCGAGCCGCCGCAGCCGGCGGGCGACCCGTGCTCCCTCTCTGCCGACCCGGGCCGCTGCCGGGCGTACATGCCCAGCTACTACTTCAACTCAGCGCGCGGCGGCTGCGAGCGGTTCATCTACGGCGGATGCGGCGGTAATGACAACCGGTTCACATCGCTGGCCGAGTGTGAACAGCGCTGCGGCGGGGCGGGGAGACCTTCACAGGGAGTCGAAGGAAGAAGCTCTCATGGAGACGAGGACAGCGAGCACGACATGCCTCACCGCGGCGGGGATGTGCGGGAGCCGTACCAGGCCACCGACGCTCCCCAGCCGCCCGCCCTGCCAGACACAGCCGCTCCTGACACCGCTCCGGAGACCGAGACGGAGGAGCCGGAGTTGACCGAGGCGCCGGAGCCGGCCACCGACATCTGCTCGCAGCCGGCCGACCCGGGCCCGTGCCGCGGCTACGAGCCCAACTTCTACTACAGCGCCCGGCTCGGCCAGTGCACCCGGTTCATCTACGGCGGCTGCGGCGGCAACGACAACCGCTTCACGTCGGCCGCGCAGTGCGAGCGCCAGTGCGGCGGCGGCGGCGGAGGGTGGGGGCCCGAGGTGCAGCCCACAGAGTCGCCCCTGCCCAGCACAGCCGAGCCCACCGAGCAGCCCGACGCGTACATCCCGCTGTCGACGGGCGCCGAGCCGCCAGCCGACGTCTGTCAACTTCCCCCGACGGCCGGTCCGTGCGACCAGCGGCTGCAGCGGTACTACTTCAACGCGGCGCTCACCATGTGCTTCACCTTCACCTACAGCGGCTGCGGCGGCAACGGCAACCGGTTCGAGTCAGCGGCCGAGTGCACCGCCCGCTGCCGGCCCGGCGCCGCGCCCGAGCCCACGTTCGCGCCGTTCGTACCCATCGACTACAACTCCATCGGCGGCGGTGTGGAGACCACCAGCTCGACAACGGACGACTACGGGCGCTACGACTACAGCCAGTATGGCGGCAGCATCGACACCGATACGCCATTCCCCGACAACTACTACGAGAACTATGCGGACTACGCAGACTACGAGGACTACGAATACAAGTAGATGCCGGACCTGGGACTGCGGGGCGCGCTCAGGAACTGCAGAGCGGTCTCTGAGGCTCTAAAAGAGGACAGCGCTTAGGTCAAGGCATCGTGTCCACGCTCAGTTGAAGTGTGAAGGGGCGATGAGAAGGCTAAGGTGAAGGGATGATGGTTCCTGGGTCGATAGGACTGGCTGGGCGGGATTCTCAATCGCCAGCTGATGTATAGAAGATCTGCGCTCAAAGAATAACTTGACCCTCATCACTGCCATAGTGAACTAATACACACTGCCTCGAGGAGAATATGCATGACCTACGTTGTGATTTACCAGTGTCGACGTGCTTAGTTTTGGCTTTGCGGAGCGTGCGCCAGTTAAGAGCCTGGTTACGAATGTGTTCGGCGTTCAAATGTCCGATCGAACTTGCAAAGAAAATACAACAAATGACAATCTATGATTGTTTTCAGAATCAATACCTTCAGCGCACAAGCAGCATTTCCAGAAGGCATTCTTTATAAATCGATCGCAGCTTCACTACGCTTTACAGCGTATCAGTCGAAAGTTGCCACACAGTGCAACACCCACGCACCCAGAAAGCGTCTCGTTTTACGTTTCACTACATAACTTTCAAATTACAGGTCCTCAGGCGGCCAGGCCCTCATATTTGCAATATTGGCTGCAAGTTTGTTGACTTTAGGTTTATGTATTAGACAAAAGACGGTTTGTTCTGCAATCATTTAACCACCGAAGGCAATGGTCACAATAATCATAGCACTAATTTATTATTCGATTGCGTCTAGACTCGACCTCATTTTTTCGGAACCACCAGATCGTTAGTTATTACAGGATAGCATCAAGTTGCAAAAGGAGTTTTGCGCTAGTCAATAACCTACATGAAAAAAAACGTTTAACTGGCGAATGGACATTCATTTTTTGCGTAGTTTTGGCAGCCCCTTGAGTGGCAGAGATTTGAGGGACCATTCCAACAAGTGAAGACGCTATTGTTTTCATCCAATTTTAATATCTATATAAGCGCATCTTTCAAGAACTGCGTGATTTGTTCAGCACAAAGCACCACCGTATTCTTCGGCTTAAACATTATACTGCATTTGAGCATATACTTGACGACTGTGATCATGCTTATAATGATGCATGATTTGATGTAGCAATTCCACTCTTCTTCCCAACAGTCGACTGATCTGAACACAGACCATAATATCCCATTCCTATGTTCCATTTCCTTCATTCATCTAAGAAGAATACGAACCTCAGTCTCCAAAAAACAAATAAAAATAAAACGGGCCGCTAGCCTTGGTCCGCGCGCCGGACGAACCAAACCGGACCACCGCCGGCGGACACGGCGGTGCCATCCACCCGCCAGCTGCGTGCGGCGCAGATAGGCTCGGTCCGGTCCGGCGGCGCGGCTCAGTGATGTCACCCGGGGCTGGTGGCTAACCGCAGCGGCAGCGGCGGCGGCGGCGCTGCCGAAGACCAGACAGGGTGGTAGAATATTGAGAGGACGGCGGAGGCATGAGCATAAGGCGATCATACCGCTAGGTCCATGATTTAAGTTTAACCACGAGTGCACTGTTGTGTCTAACATTCTAACCACGAGTGTCTAAAGCCCATAGCCACGAGTGTATGGGTATTGGTTTATTGGACGTCACAGAGCATGTATCTGGTGTGTCCGGCAGGATGGGAAGCTATCGCAGTGTCCGCATAATAAACTCACGTCAATCTCTCTGGCCAGTTTGTCTCGAAGAGCGGCGGCGGCCGTCTCCGCTCCCAGAAACCGACAGCCGGGCACTGACGACGGGTAGAGAGGATCCACAGTCACCTCCAGGGAAAGCTGACCGCCTGAAGGAGACAGAATGAGATCCAGTCAACGTCTGGCAGTCGGCAGACAGGACAGCAGCTGGGGACAGGACATGATGACCCACGATCACCTCCAAGGCCTGCTGGAGACAGAAGGGTGTACCTACTGTTACTTTCAGAACTAACGTGGAAGGGTGATATATTGCTCCACAGCGCGGGTGGCCAATCGTTATGTTGAGCTGCCCAGTATTCACCAACCGGTAAGGCGGAGACAGACAGAGGAGCCGTTAACAACCAACACAGAATGCTATTGTCAGGACTCAGGATTGTCTGCACATTCCGAAAAGGTAACCCGAGAACCCAGACTGCAAAGTATGGCACGCAGGTCGACGAGGCGCACCGGCCCAAGTTCAAAATCCGCACCAACCCTTTAAACTGAGCCGGAAAATCCGCACCAAAGCGAGCCGAGGGCCCAAAATATGCGCACCGAACCCACAGGCAATTATAATGCAAGGGACTTCATTCATCTCACTATAATTATTCCCCCTCCAATTTCAGTTTCACGAGCAACGCTCACCACGGGACCGCGCCGCGCACTTGTACCGGAAGTTTGAAATAGAGCAAATAGACGGACGCCGGTGACAAAAGGGCGCCGGAGGGCATATTGGGTCACGTGACATTCGGAACTTCTCCCCTCTCTGTGGGCCTTCTACATGCTAAATGTCACGTGTGAATTTGACGAGCCTTGATAAAATCGCCCCAACGAACTTTCGTATGAGTAAAACTAATGACGTCATTCCAAAGTAGCGTGCTGATTGGCAATTCAAACCAGCTGCTCGCAAATGTGACATACCAGTTACCGCCATTACAAAGGCTATACCCCGATCTACATCTACATCTACATCTACCACTGCAACCAGTCTTCGTTCTAATGACGTCGTCATCACGTTAATTTCCGAGGCGAGAATGGATTTGTTCTGCCGCAATTGTTAGTTCGTAGAGTAAATTTAAAACCTTTCTCCATCACCGTGCGTCACCGTGGCTGGCACGCATTTGTAGGGCTTTCCAAAGAACAGTCAACAAGGAAACCCGGCCGGGTAAGAAGACCAAGCGAAGTCCGCACCGCATCAAGGTCCAAGCCAAATCCGCACCGCACCAGGCAAAATCCGCACCTCACCACTCCAAAATCCGCACCAGCCGGACAAGCCCGCACCGACGAGATCTCGTCGAAATTGCCATACTTTGCAGTCTGGCCGAGAACTAAATATCGCATGATGTCACAGACGGCTCACGTCTCGACTGTATCCCCACCCGCACCCCCTAGCGCCCCGGCTCATTTGACTAGTCTGTGGTGCAGTGCATATTGCGGTACCTAATCGCTTTACACTCCACCATCTACTATCTAGGTAGACCCCAAGCCCACATCGATTTCTGGGCTGATGACTGATGTTTTTGTCTCACTGATGACGATGCGCCGTCGGGTGTCTCGTCTGGAGGGGCTCTCGGGGTCCACCACCCATAGCTGAGCGTCCAGCCGGTCCAGCGCCGTCCAAAAGTCCTGGTACTTGTCCACGGCCTCCTCAAAACGCTGGTAGATGTCCAGCAGAGTGCTGCCCTGCGATATGATGGAAATAGAGTCGTCAGTGGATCTCAGTGGAAGCCATATAGGTGGTCAAATGTACGTTACGGTTAACGGCTACTTAAAGAAACGATACGGAATAAGAAGTGACGGATGAGAGTACCTATAGATTCAGCAAGACATGACCAATAAGTATCATCACTCATCAGTCCATCAGTCTTATCAGTCGATGTAAGATACCAACTGACCTTGTGCCAGGAGACGGTGAGCTCGACCGGCAGGTCGGCTGAGATTCGCGGACACGAGGCCGGGTAGTCGGCGGCTAGGTTCAGCGTCATCGCGTGCCGCCGGGCCGAGCTGGGAACAGACGAGCCGGGAAGGGTCAAACAGACGGGTTGAGAAGGGCCGGGCGGGCTTTGACCTTGTTTTATCAAGTCAGCGCCCAGAACACAGAAGGCACACATCGGAGAGTCGCGGGCAATGTAAACTCCACAGCCAGTCTGTGTATGATACAGCAGCTAGGCAGACAGGCGCCAGGCAAACGGAAAGAACGCCGACAAGGCAGCCACAAAACGGTAAACAGTGATGGCTGAGACTGAGCCAATGGCACGAACTGCGTCACCGAGCGCACCGGGCAGGAAACCCCAGCTGCTGCACAAACAGGATGACCTCATGACCACTGACGTATTGCATGCAAAACAGCAACCGCGACACGAACAAAGACAACCACAGCAAGACAACACTTGATAGCCGCAAAAAAATAGCACAGGATCAGCAAAATATCGTCATTTGGGTATGCTACATTGCGAACTGAGGTCGAGTAAGTTACAGCTAATGAAGCAACTGCAGAGCACCTTAACTTTCTGGTACCTATATGCTCCTGGCCGTCTGCCACCAAATTCAGTTATTTCCGCAGCGTTTCGAGCGGCGGCAGCGCGCAGCCTATCCGGTCCGCCAGGACAGCTCCTCAGTCCAGAAGCAGATATGGGTCACCGGTTCCTGCGGAAGCCACGACCCGCGACAGTTGCGGCGACGCGTCTGCGCCATCTCCTGTGCGCAGGCGGCGCCCACGCGGCCGGATCGACCCTGACCACCACCGGCCGGGCCTCAGCGCGGAAACGGCGGCGGGGCCAGCGCCACGCGCCGCAGACTGCTATCAGCCGGAGCACTTCCTGGACGAACCGCTCCGGCCGCGCGGAATTATAACGGGCGGCAGACCGGTCCAAAAGCAGACGGGACTCGGGAGACTAGACATTGGGTCTGACGCAGCCGTAAAAAAACGACGGGTCTGACTGAGACGTAACGCTAGTCGGAGGGGACGCAGAGGACCGCCGACCTTCCAAAGGAGACGGAAGACGGCAGATGACAGGTCTAACGGAGACGGGAGGCTGGTCACACGAAGAAAAGAGACGGAGGGTCGCCAGTCAGACGGAGAAGGGAGCTGGCAGGTCGCTCGGCGGACAGAGACAGGGGACCGTTCAAACCAGAATAGGGGACGGAGACAAACGGCGAGTCAGAGACGACAAAGCGGTCGACAACGGGAGACGGTATACTGTAGATCGGAAGAAAACAGGCGACAGCACGACGGGCAGAAGACGGGTGGCCAATCACACCAGACGGGATACGGTGACACTACACACTACGGTGTAGACGGAACGAAACGGGACGGCAGCCCCTAGTCCGAAGGCGGATAATCTAAAGTCCGATGGAAACGGGAGACAACACGGCACGCGTGATGAAACACTAATCCAGAGACGGGAGACGGCGGGCCGGGACGAAGCGTCGCTAGAAATGCTAGTCGGAGGCTAGTCGGCTAGTCGTCAGGGGGCCACTTGAACTAAATCTTTTAGAACTCCTCTATATTCTCAAGAGACCAGTACCCTGCTGTCTGGCCATTCAAGTTCCCATCTGCGTCACCCGGCTCCCCCATCCCCTCGGAGCCGCCCTCACCGGTCCAGCGTGCTGAGTGTGACCCAGCTGAGGTCACTGGCCGAGGCAGTCACGTGACGAGTACCCAGCTCGCGCAGCTGCCGCCGGACGGTCATGTGACTGCGCAGAGCGGATACAGCCGAGTCGTCCTCGTCAGCGATGGTGGCGCCATCGTCCGGCGGCGGCGGCCGGGACGACTGCGGCACACGGGCGGGGATGCAGCATCAGCTGCACGCAACGTATTGCGACAAGAACACTTCAAAAGTGCGAAACAGAGTCAGAACGGAGATCGTCACAGCAAGGCTATTCTAAAAAAAAATTGTTATCGATGTGAGTGTGATAATCACTTGGCCAACGCCACTAGGAGCAACATAATGTTATAAAAGTCTTAATTAAATTCAATATGGAAAAGGTCACCTCACTTTGAATACAAGCAACGATAACAGCAAATATTTCACCAGGGTAGGCAATCATGAAGTCATCGTCCATCGTGACTCGATTTCTGCTTGGAAACGTTGAGTTGCAACTAAGTAGTTCTTACCAGGCTGTCTCGATATAGCTTGACGGCTTCATACACCGAACTGCACCGAGACAAATCCTGTCAGTCACAAGAAAACGTATTAAAAATACAACATTCCAAAGGTAACAAGGTCAAATATCTCATACACTATCCCCACATAAAACTGAAATGCATAACGACACAAACGACACCGATCTCGATAGCCCGGTCCAAGAAGTTATTCTGTATAACGTTATTTCATCCAGAAAGCCACACATCACCGATCCGTCGGCTAATTGATCGCAGTTGGCGGTTCCAGCACAGGACGGTTTCTGCGTTGATCCAATGCCATTTGCCCCGTCCCCAGCCGCCGCCAAACCGGCCGGCCCTTCGTCTATCTGACGGTACCCCGACCCGTCGTATGTCTGAAGTCCTTCCATACCGGCGACTCGGGCTGCTCCGCCGGGCTCTCCGTATTGGTAGTGATCCTCAGGTGGCGCAGGTCCGGGTAGTGCGGCACACTCACCACCAGCGGCCACCACCGACCCTGGTGGGCAGACGGGACATTGGATCGGTTAGATGATGCATCTACCGCTGGGGAGTAGGGGGCCAGGATAGGGGGCCAGAGTCAATGTGGGACCCAGGGGCAGTCAGGGTCAATGTTAGGGACACGGCGAGACCCTACAATCAGCGACCCTACAATGCCGGGAGTTGAGGTAAGGGCAGGGCGGAACTCTATCGACAAAAAAAAAAAAAACTCGTTCAGTGTTATTTGTGGACGGCAAAAACGTCCCAGTGACGCAGGCGACAGAGTTGCAACACTAGCACTACATGCGTGAATCACGTCACTGCAATGAGTCACTTCTCAGAGAGGAGATAGAACGCCCCAGGTGACGAGGCAGACAGTGACTCATCGACACTTCAGACATGCTCCGTTGATCGTAACATGATTGCGAAAGGATAGAGACAGACGGTTACAGACGGTTGATAGTTTCACATGATGGAGAATAGAGATGGCATAACGATACCTCCAATATACACAAATGATCGAAGGTGGCATACAGACCATTGACACCATTATGACCATACAAGACTGTTTTCATGCAGGTCAAAGATGTACAATTGAACGCGTCTCTCTTCCATTTAGAAGCATTTACGATTTTCGTGCGGTGTTTACTCGATGACTGGGACCCCATTTATCGGACCGATTGGTTACCGCCCGCCCGTGCCAGCCGAGCGGTCCGGCCCGGCCCGGCGACTCACCCCCGCCACCAGATGACCTTTCAGCACCATTCCGCCGGTGGAGCGAAGCCGGACCAGAAACGGAAACTCTGAGAACAGCGACGGCTCGTCCATCCTCCGGCTTCCCTTCGTCTGCCCGGTAACGCCTGCAGCCAGTGGAGCTCAGGTCAGCTAAGCCTCGGGCAAGAATGGCTAGCCCGCATAACAAGAGAATCATCTGAGAAATTTGGGGAAGTGTGGAGCATCCGGTTTATGAATCCCACACTTTAGTACAGCCTGAATTATTTACAAGGGGATCAGGGGGTGGAGGTGACGACAGGCAGCAATATTCAGTAGCAATGTCTTTCGGTTCCCCCCCCCCCCTCTCACTCACACACCGCAGCACCCGAAAGCTATGAAAACCTGACGTTTTCCTTGGCGTAAGCTCTAGGCTCTAGTTTTCTCGGGTCGATGCAGCTGTCATATCAACCTGTTTGTCATCTAATAACTGATAATTTCGTACAAATCGTCGACGGCAAAACTGCTGAGATTCTCAGAGTGAGCGCCGCCGTATCCCGTATCCGGTGTATAGCCGGTATAGTCAGAGAACGGATAGGCCCGACCAAGGGCCCGACTTGTGTCCATATTTGGAGGCGTCGACTCCCGGCGACGGCAAAGAGATGGTCTCAAATACTTGCGAGTACCAGTACAATCCAGTCACAACACAATGTAAGCCTTTTTATTTTGGAAAATAATAACAAAATATAATTTAAATCATACCTGATGATAAAAGAGATAAATAATTACTACTATAATCTCAGGGTATTTTAAATTTGACTCAGAAACGATACCTTGCCCACCACTATCAAGTAACAAAATTTTCGATACAAAACTGACGATCTGCGGCAAAGTTTGTTTGCGGTTGATTGTGGGAGGAGGGAGGACACGCCCGGCTTTTTCTAGGTCCATTTTTGCATTTAAGTAGAAAAAGTTAGACTAAGATTTAGTTTGAAAGTATTAGACTGCCATGTCTTACAGCAAGAAATACGCGTTCGCTTCGCTTCCTCGCACCCAGCGTGGAACGCCCCTGGTTTTGGGAGGAGACCCAAAAGGCAATAATTTCTTGTACACAAATGGCAACAGTGTTTACATCAGAGACATCAACAACCCGGAAATTTGTGACATTTACACCCAGCACTCAACAACTGTGACAGTTGCAAAGTACTCCCCAAGTGGATTTTACATTGCATCGGGTGATGCATCTGGAAAGGTGAGAATCTGGGATACAGTGAACCTGGAGCACATTTTCAAGAATGAGTTCCAGCCCATCTCTGGTGAGATCAGAGACATCGCGTGGTCACCTGACTCGCAGAGGATAGTTGTTGTCGGAAATGGCAGGGAAAAATATGCCCATGTGTTCATGGCTGACACAGGAACTTCTGTCGGAGAGGTCCTTGGCCAGACCAAGATCATCAACACAGTGGACTACAGGCCTGCACGGCCATTCAGGATCATCACTGGCAGTGAAGACAACTCGCTGGGCTTCTTCGAAGGACCACCATTCAAGTTCAAGCTGACCAAAAATGAACACACCCGCTTTGTGCAGGCTGTCCGATTCTCCCCCAATGGGGAGCTGTTTGCCTCTGCTGGATTTGATGGCAAGATCTTCATCTATGATGGCAAGACTGCTGACCTAGTTGGTGAGGTTGGTTCCCCAGCCCACAAGGGAGGAGTGTATGCTGTAGCCTGGAGTCCTGATGGCAAACAGCTGCTGTCCTCATCTGGAGACAAAACATGCAAACTCTGGGATGTGGAGACGAGGGCTCTGGTGACTGACTTCTGCATGGGAAGTACTGTTGAAGACCAGCAGTACTCCTGTCTGTGGCAGGGAGAGCACCTGCTGACTGTTGGCCTGCATGGATTCATCACCTACCTGGATCCCAACAACCCCAGTCAGCCCAAGAGGGTCGTCAAGGGGCACAATAAGCCAATCACTGCCCTCGCCATCAGCCAGGACTCCAACCACATCTTCACTGGATCCCATGATGGCAACGTGACCCAGTGGGATGTAGCAACTGGATCCAGTGAACGTGTGGCAGGCAATGGCCATGGTAACTTCATCAGTGGCGCAGTTACCACCAGTGATTCACTCTACACCATCGGATATGATGACTCGCTGCGCACGGTGGACCTCCAGAAGCTGGGCTACACGGACAGCATGTCGCTGGGCGCTCAGCCGCGCGCCATCGCCGTCTCGGACGGCACGATCGCGGTCGTCACCGTCAAGGAGGTGCTGCTGCTACGGGGCGGCAGCCGCGTGGCCTCGCTCGACATCGACTATGACCCGTCGGCGGTGGCCTACGATGCCGCGTCCGGTGACCTGGCAGTCGGCACGCAGGACTCGAACAAGGTGATCGTGTACGGCGTGTCGGGCAGCAACATCACACTCAAGCAGGAGCTGCAGCATCAGGGCGCTGTCACCGACGCCGCCTACTCGCCGGACGGAAACTTCCTGGTGGCGTGCGACGGACACCGCAAGGTGGTGCTCTACCGGCTGCCGGACTACTCGGTGGCCAACCCGCAGGAGTGGGCCTTCCACTCGGCCAAGGTCAACACCGTCGCCTGGTCGCCAGACTCCTCACTGGTGGCCTCTGGTTCGCTGGACACCAACGTCATCGTCTGGAGCGCGCGCGACCCGCGCCAGCACCTGATCCTAAAGCGAGCGCACGATCAGAGCCAGGTGACGCGCGTCGCCTGGATCGATAACAAGACGCTCGTCTCCGTCGGGCAGGACTGCAACACGCGCCTCTGGGACGTCTCCATGTGAGCCAGCTGTGAGCGCGCCTGCCGAGACGCATCTTAACCCAAAGCCTATCGGGCCGCGCCTGCCCACCCGCCCGGCCTGAGGTCGTTGATTTTGTACTAACGCGCGCCGCCCGGTCTCCGTGCCTTGAGCGTGTGATCTGCGTCCGTTAGTGGCGCTCTGCCTCGACGCTCGTGCCGCGCAGCCCAGCGCGGCCGCACCATGCTGTATCGCTAAGGAGAGTTTCCGCACGCGCGCGTCTTTGCCGCACCTCGGGTCTATCTGATTATGTCCGCGCTGAGCGAGCGCTAGTTGACAGCGAATCAAAGGTAATCTGGCCCTTATCCCAACAGCGTTGTGAATTTTTATTTAAGTTATGCTGTGAGTCTTCCTCGAATGTGTCGTGATTAGTCGCTTGGCTGGTGGATGAATAGAGTTATATAATATACCAGTTTTAAGATTTGGCCGGTGATACGAGAGGGGCTTAAAACCATTTTGAAGGCTTCAGAGACAACCTGCTGACAGGACGGTGAGATTGTCGCGTCCGGCGGCAACCTTTTATCGCCGATGTTGTCATTAGATGCGTTATATATATCATCTTCTAGGACAGGTGGCACCGGGTGAGGTTATCTACATATAACTAGAAGATAATTGGAATCGATATTGCGAATCAATTTGTGCAAAACGTTATTTTACTGGAGATAGAAAGTATGAAGAAACTGCTGTTATGCTATCGACTAGCTTCTGTTTAGGGTCGATAGGCTGTTTGTGAAATATCAACGAGAATTATGGTGTCTTATACTTGGAAAAAAAAACATGCATGGCTGGTGCAACTTGCGACAAAATTATTTCCTCCAGGAACCCAGATTCCAGAGTTCCGAACCATGAAGAACACGAAACCGTTAACGGTAGGTCCTAGATAAAGCAGAATAGTCAAACATCGACCAAGTTGAAGGGGAGCCAATCCAATCGATACAGCTTGCCAGTGGTGCCGTAACATCGCTGCGAATAGCTGGCTTGCCGCCAGTGCTGGATTTTATTAGTGGCATGTTGGTGTGCTCCAGTTTCCTACAGACCGACCTCTAGGTCTCCCTTATCGTCTGAGCGTTCCCGCGTCTCCGTCTCTGTCCCCGTCTCACCGGTATCCCGTCTCTATTAGGCATCTTGTGGGAAAATAAGTGTCGAGGAAACCTAGCAAAAAATCACAGATCATGTAAAACTGATGTCGGGCTTTAGAGACCCTACATGAAGTTTCAAGGCGATCGCAACAGTAGTTCTCGAATTGTTGCCAACCGCGGTCAGGAGAGACGTTATGCGTATGGACTATGGTTATACGTCTCCTTCCTCAGTCTATGACGGATTGGCCGTCGCCAGTCGCCGGACCAATCGGTTTTTACACACGCCCCGAAAAGACCGGGGGTGGGGGTGGGGGGTAACGTCCCCTCGCCAAATTGAGCTATAACTTTGAGTGGAAAAAACAGCGATTGCGCAGTTACGAGACCCAGCGATCGGTACCTACCCAGTTTTGATGTCTCAGGTCATCCGGTGACCTCTGATGTCAGGTCAAATGCCCTAAGGTAAGAGATCGGTTTTTGGTGAATTGTTCGCCAAAAATGATTGCGAAGCCGGCGAAGCCGAGGTTTCGTCACAGTCACGTTTGTCATGCTCACGTCAATCAAATGATACTTTTTTGACAAGGCCACTAATTTCAGGTCAATGCCACTTATGCTTTGACCTGACCGTGACGATGAAGTTGGTCATTCATGCTACGGACGGCATTTTTCGAACCGACGGCAATAAACTTTCGTTGCACGTGGGTGTCTGAGAACATAAAAATAATATAAATAATGCTCCCTGTTAAAATTAATGATTTCTGCCAGTTGTTAATGATTCATGCATGCATCCACTTCCATGAGTAGCTAAAAATAAGATGGCCTACTGTGATATCATTCCTAGATAGATCATTTCTACACAGTTGGTGGCTGGTGCTCTTTATCAGGCATCCAGGTCTGTTTACAACCATTCATATTTTTTTGGGTAAAATATGTACCCACCAAATTGTAATATCTAGCAGGTTTTGGGCTATGGGATGCTCTGACATCACATAATCAGCTTCATGACCGCCTGATGACATATGTCATGATTCAACTTCTTGAGTGCTCATTGCTCAAGAAGTTGATTATGTTGCTGAAGTGTCCCAGGATGACATCACTGAGAAGTTAAAAAGTCATCTTATATTCAGGGTGCTATTGATCACTTCACTTTGGGTGACTTTCCAGTTTCCACCCAGCATGATACAACCATGGAGATAAATTGGTGGTTCACCTAAAATTGGTATTGCTCTAGAGGCCTCACCCAAGGATAAAATGTGCTCTTTATTAGCATTAAAATTGTTCACATTCAAGATTTGAAATATTCAATGAGAACCATACATTCTTTTTGATGGATTCCAGATTAGGGCATGAGAGAATCATGCCTAACTTGAACTACAGTTTTGCAAAGCTTCCAGTGGCTTCAAGAAACCAACAATTTATAAATCAATGAGAGGGAACCAATTGCAATAGCTTGAATTTTTATAGGCATGAAACACTTATTCCACATTATTTTTGCAAAGCACAAGACGGAGATTAGGGAAAGCAAAACAAAAATGCTTCCCACCTTTTTCAAGTTTTGTAGCGCCATCCCAGAGCTACTCACAGCGATTATTTTTGAAAACGCCTCGATACTTACCTATTTATTGATGCAAATTGCAGACAGTCCCCGGGCCTTCACTTTTCCATGGCGACTATAAATTGAAATACACTTTAGATTCGATGTATTAGAATGACAGATATTTAGAGCCTTGGGATTCGAAACCCGTGCGAATCCAAGGCCATTGCATTTTGCAAATCCCCAGTGTATATAAATACGAATCCCCACACCATAACCCCCACACTGTCCCCACACGCGCACGTGGTGACCGATCGCCCCGCGTCGTTGTCATGGTAACCTACATCGTGGTAAGCAAGGCTGTGGTAAGTAAAGGCATTAAAATGCTGCCAAGAAAGAAAAACGAGCTGCATCGTTTGAACAAGAGGTTATCTAGAATGAAACATCTACCTTTCGTGCTATTTATTAGGAATAATTCATGCTACGCCCTAGATAAGAGGTTGTTACTGGCTATTCAGGATGCCTAGGTACTCCTATAACGAGTTGTGCGGCGCCCGTGCCGGAGGACATAATTGTCCGACATATGATGCTCTTGATCAGTGGCGGATCCAGAGGGGGGGCAAAATGGGCATTTGCCCCCCCCCCCCCCAACGGCATAATTTTAACATTACGCCTATGGACGAGGCATGGAAAGAATCGATAAATTGTTATGGTTTGCCCCCCCCCCCAAAAAAAAACTCTGAGCTGGATCCGCCTCTGCTCTCGATCGAGGATGCGGTCGAGGGCCCTATGGGCATAAGATCTCAGCTAGTTTCCTGCTTCCATACCCTCCCGACTCATTTTACATCGCTTCAAGTCACCAGCGAGAACATTCATAATCTTCCTTTATACATGTGAAGTGTGAACTGTGAAGCGCGGGCCCCACCCTGATGGGATGCGAGTGTTACACTACCGCTGGTGTGTCAATACATCCTATGTTAAATGTGCACCACTTTGATGTACTCTACGAGTACGGCCCATAAGAGTGATGGTGGCTCGTCGGTATTCTTATGGTGGTGGATCACGATGGTGCTCAACTGCAGCGTCACTTTCAAGCAATGACTATTGAAATGATAGACCAAGGCCTCATACTGGGATGGACGAGATGGACATGCTCTATGCGCAAATGGAACGACCGTAGATACATTTTCAGAATGACCGCTTTTCATCTCTTCATCTACCTATCAAAACAATCCGGCTGACTTCCTAGTGTATTCACAAGTCACAACTAACACTTTGCATGTGTAGAACACAATACTACACCATGCATGTGAGATGCATGAGTAATGAGCACTGGAAATGCAAGTACTATTACAAAACATTAGCTACACTAAAAATGCCAGAGACAGGTCTGACATTTATATTCTTACACTGGTGGTCTTAATCCCAGCACACCTTACACAGACCAATGTTTTCAGCACCATATTCATAGGTCCATACACACATGACACAACCTGTCCACTGTTGATTCACAGTTTAGTGATGCTGCTGCAAGTGTCCTACATGAAGAAATGCAACAAGACATTGCCCAGAGCCTAACTCACACAAAATTACATCAAGTGATACAAAACAACAACACTACATCATTTGCTCAGCTGACAAAGTGACACATTCTTCTGAAAAATGTACCTGAATTTCAGCACATTTTATCTGAAAACCACCTAACAAGCCATTTACTCCAGCAAAGTGATTCATTGTTCAGAGTATCTTAGCTTTTTTCTGTGCTCACCTCTGCTTGTGAGATCCTCTTTTAGAGTCAGACCTACTTCTTTCAGAATGTTTGTGACCTTTTTCTTCATCCCTTTCTTTTTTGACTGTCCTTCTGTGATGATGCCTTTCACTATCATCATATGATCTATGTGAACCTCTTCTGTGTTTTTCACCCTCCTGTTTTATGTATGCTTCCTCATGCTCACGTCTATGACCATGCCTTTTGCCATCCTCCCCCTTATCGGACTCCCTCCTGCTTCTTTTATGGTCATTGTCCCTGTCTTCCGAGTGGTGTCTCCGCTTGTTGCGAGCCCGATCATGACTGTCCTCAGAATAACGAGAAGAGTGCTTCTTCCTTCCACTCTTCACTTTGTCCTTGCTGTTGTCATCTTCAGATGATGAGTCTGAATCAGATGAGCTTTTCTTGGACTTTGACTTCTTTTTCTGCTTCTTCTTTTTCTTCTTTTGAAGCTTGGACAGCTTTTTGAGCAGTTTGAGTTTGTCTTTCTGAGAAAGGGACTTTATAAACTTCATCTCCTCAGTCTCTTCCTCACTTTCTCCATCATCTGATGCCACAAGCTGATGGGCAGGGATCTGCTCCGTCCCTTCAACAACACCAGCTTTCAGAGCAAGCCCATTATCTCGCATCCCTTGCATCAGTTCAAGAGGGTCAGTTGAAGTTGTGGGATTGGTAAGTTCCCATGGAGCTGTGTAGAGTTCACATTCTTTGTCAGTGTTGATGTGACCCCACTTCTTGCACTTTATGCATCTCACGTTTCTCACCTGGATACCAAATGGCTGGTCACGTATGGTGTCATCATCTTTCGAGAGATAGCTTTCCCTTGGGCCATTATACTTTCTCTGCCACTCGAATTTGTACTCTGGTTCCCCGTCCTCACGTTCTCGTTCCTTTTTCATACCAGCTGGAGGCTCGTACATGAAGTTCAAGCTCAGCTTTTCCTTGTTCTCTCCCTTCGCAAGAAGAGCTTTGTTGTTGTACAATTCCTGCTCTTTATCATACTGTGCCTTAAGTTCTTCCTGCTTCTTCTTTTCCGCATCTGTTTTCTGTTGAGCCATCCATACTCTCTTCAAATTGTCTATGGAGCCAGGGTGGAAAAACTTCTTGCACATGTAGTTATTAAAACCCTTTCCCATGGTTCCAGCGAGAGTTAACCAATTTAATACTTAATGCCGATTCGTAACAACCAACGATGTTGAACTACGTTGCAAGAAAAACAAAAACACGCAGCAAATCACTCTATCCCAACACACGTAATGTCGAACTGCGCCCATACTGCGCACATAAACCTATAGGACGACGGTGAAAACAGGGCGCCTTGGGCGATTTGACCAAGGTTGGTGAAATTTACACGTGACGTTTAGCATGTAGAAGACCCACGAAGGGGGAGCACTTCCAAATGTCACGTGACTAATATGCCCTCCGGCGCCCTGTTTTCACCGGCGTCCAACCTATACCCTGCACATAAACGTTCCTTGTCGGCATTTGTGGCGCAGAATAAATCGTTGATGCTTCTTCACTAAAATGCAGCAGTTTTTTACGGTCAACTATCTGTAAGAGTCTTGGGATCAAATCCATGGATCGACTATCTACAGGAATCTTGGGAGTTGGGATCAACTAAGATTCTTACAGATAGGATCAACATCAAGCCATCAAGCCTTTATGCAAGATATCTTGAAGCAAGGACGTAAATACTTCTTGAAGAATCTTGCATCAAGCTACGAAAAACGACTTGCTGTTTTTGTATGTACATCATGCATGACATACCAGTAACTTCGTCGTCGTCTCATGTGATTTTCAACCGAGATGACTGGTTTTTAAAATGACGGTCATAACTCATACCTCAAGTTTGTTGTAACAGGGAAAGCTTTCGATGGATAGGGGGTATTCACCACTATCAATGAGACATGGGCGGCGCCACCGGGGGGGACGGGGGGGACAGGTCCCCCGCTATCGAAAGTTAGGGGGGTACAGTACCCCCCTATCGGCGAGGCCCGTTCAATGGTTGATAATAATGCATTGTAGAGTTATCCGTCGCATTTCATGCATCGTTGGTTAATCAAGGCAGGTTCTGAATAAAGATTGCTGTTGGGATGTATCGCAGGGGGTCCTGGCCATCTGCAAAAGGTGTGGAGCTGTGATACCTGTAGTTATAAGGTGATGAGGTTTCCAGAGAACTTCATTACCTCCCAAAGGGGGTGCCCCGCCATTTGCCAATCCCTGCTGTAGTTGTTACGATTGGAGGGTGAATATGAGAACGATGCAGGTCGTGCCAGCTCGATTATGACGAATACAATGGTGCCGACATCACAGCTCTACTGCCATTTTTGACGAAGTTAATCAACAAGGACCGGAATCCTACCCTGGGGCATTTCACCTGCAGAGGTCGCCGGACTTGAGACCCTTTCACTCAATTTTTTTCAACGTTGCATGCGCTCGTTTTTCCCGCGAAGCTCTTGGTAAGTAAAATCCATCAGAAAGTGTGATCAAATAACGACTGGTGACCTTCCATGACCTAGCATGACCTTTTGAGTGACCACCGATGACATGACCACTGACGGCTAGCCATTAGCTGCACCCTGCCCGTTGCATATGGATCAGGTGGTGATGTCATGATTCTGAAATTATATTGCAGTTTTGGCGCACTTGTCAGAGCAGAAGACATTCCCACTTTTCCTCCATGACTATATGATGGTGAAGCCATGAAGCTGACCAGACGTAAGATCGAGAATTTGAAAGTACGAAACGTAAGAATAGTTGGCATTGCTACTCATACCTAAGCAATTCGCAGCTTGTAGGAAACCAGCTTCGAGTTGGCAAGACTGCAAATTTTGATTTAGAGGCAAGAATGCTTGAAAAGGTGATCGATTTTAGGTGTCCTAGGATAAGTTTGGGAACGGGATGCACCATTCGATGTGTTTTGGGCTTTGCCAAGTTTCGCGGCGTTACGTGCCTCGTTTTTTTTTTTGCATACACGATCAGTAGGTATCTATTTTTGGGAATTTCGGTCAGGCAAGCCCCGGTCCCCGTCCCCCCCTATCGAAAACCCGTGGCGCCGCCCCTGCAATGAGATAAATATGCATATTCGCTGTGCCTGTATGCATCGAAAGCTTTGTTTTTTTACAATAAACTTCAGTTATTATTATCACTTTATGTTATGAATTGGTTTCTGTAAGAATCTTGGTTACAACTTACAATAGCGAGTTTTGAAGCTTGAGTAAGACATCAATGTTTCTAAAGCGTGTAATGGTGCAAATAGCGTAGCATATTCGGATGCATGCTCTTATCGACGGAAGTATCTAATTCCCTCGTAAGGAATTTCCGTATCTGTGACGGTAATGAGGACGTCTTAGGCTCTGCCGACTGCCAGACGGAGACTTAGGCGGCCACCCAATCACCCATAAGCCCACCAGCACTCAGCAAACGCCTGCTAGGCCTGTTTTAGTCACCATTTACCGTCAGAAGTAGGTGCCATGCGCCGCCTTGTAAGAATCTGGTAGTCACGAGGGCGATTCGTTTGGACCGTGCAATGGTATATAAACCGGGCATGGTATGCAACTGTACCTGGTAACTTACCTACTCTATAGCCACAAAACCACAAAAAGTAGCAAAGTGCTCCTCACCCCGTTCATATTCACTCGTGTCGGCCTACCTCCCGAGGCATGTATCGTGCCGTTGCATCACTGTCCCGCTGTGAATGTCGACCAGTCACGGTGCCACCGGACCGGCGCCATACTGCCCGCGAATGACGTGACCTGTATTGGTAACCTGACTGAAGTCACTCTGGAACGCGAGCGCCGAGTCTTAACACATGCAACATATTACATAAATATCACCGACAGGCGACAGCAAAATGACAATGTATTTCATGACCAGGAAACTATGATACCTACTGCAAACATCGCGTGGCATTCCCCGCCTTTGAACTCAATAACCTTAACTAATCAGCTAGTATCAGCTTAATCACGCCCTAACGTGAGCTTGATATTTCGGCTGCATTGGAACGAAACGCGCATCAACAGACAAGCCGACAGGCACATACTGACTTCTGTCACAGCTGCGGCACGTCGCACCACTAGTGGCACGTCCGCTCGTAAGCACCACGCGCCCAACGATCACGTACGCGAGGCATACCACCTCCGTGGTCGGGTAAGTAGTTCGAGCGTTTCATCGTCCAGTTCATCGTCCATTTCCCACTCACTGGCGCGCGCTGAGCTCACTACACGCACGCTCCCGTTTCCGGCACCGACGCGCCTCTGCTGATACGACGGCACCGATGAGTACCCGCCGGCCACCGACACAGCATGCGACGCGCTCACCGCCGGGAGAGCGAGCTGTTGTTGCCCGTTCTGAGGCGGCTTCGCAGGCGGTCGCTTTTTCTGCCGCTTGACCGGCCGTTCGCCACTCGGCGGCTCGGACCCCGTCACCAGCGAGGCGTCAGTCAGCTTCCTCTTCTGTGCTGACAGGGCAGTGCCGCTCTTTTCACCCTTCTTCCAGACCTTCTTTTTGTTTTTGATCACCATCTTGTCGTAGAGTGGCTGCAGCGACTTGTAGCGCTCGACGCCTCGACTGAGGATGAACGTGGTCGGCAGCGGAATGCGCATCGTCTGTCGGATGTAGGTGTAGCCGCGATGGCTGACGACCGTTTTTAGTTCGATTGCGCGCCGGAAGTCTTCTTCGAGCCATCGTGGCTTTTTGCCGGTGCGAAGAACACGCATCTGCATAGGCGTGAAGATCTTCTCCAGTCGCTTCCCCAACTTCTCAGCACGGCGCACTTTCTTGTCTGAATCCCTCTGAAGGATCTCCAACTTTTGTTTTAGCTCAGGGCAAACTAGGCACGGCAAGTCACAACGCTTCTTGACCTCACGAACGACTGCCTTCTGAGCTTTCTGAGTATGTTTCTGTTCTTCTCTCACCTCAGACTTGTAGCGGTAATGACCAGCTATGGTGTCTTGCAGCTGCACCTCGCCGTCTAGCACCTGAATTCGGCTGTTCATCAGCTGCAGCTGGAGATCCAGCACCTGCTCCCGCAGGGCGGATATCGTTTTCCACGCCTCAGTCGGAGACAAGGGCAGCACCGTTCCACGACTAATAGGAGGCATCGGTTCAGGAAGCGGCGCGCGGTTCGTCGGCTCGTGGCGAAGCGTCATTAGCGGCGGCTTCGGCACTCGTTCGTCCGCCTTCGCTGACCACCAGTGGGGGTTGGATTTCCGGTACTCGATTTTGTCCACCAAACCGGAATACGTCTTCCGCAGCTGTAGCAGCCGATGCCGTTTGGTTTTCACGGAGGACAGATGGCGTGTCAGCTCTCCGTACGGCAGATCCAGCGGCTCTGGGGCGGTCAACGGCGGGGGCAGCTCGGTCGACGACACACTGCCTGGAGCTCTCCGATCGTCGGCGGCCGACGACTTCTGCTGTGAATCGCTGGATCTCTGACCTCGCTGTGCCGTGCTTGCCACGCAACGTTTGACGAGAGCACTATACGAAGCCCTTCTAAAGCCATATTTCTGCAGCGACTGTGTCAGTAGACTGTACTTGGCTGACAGTTTGCGGAGGCGGAGAGATTTCCGTCGCGTCGAGCCAGGGGAGGACCGAGTCGACATCGGCGACGGCGACGGTGGCGGTGACGCTCCCGCTGGGGAAGGTGCTGTCGCTGCTTCGTCTCCATCACCGTGCTGCTGTTCATCCGACGGCGGTGGCAGTGGCGCTCCTGCTCGGGGAGCTGCTGTCACGGGTTCGTCTCCACCCACGTGCCGCTGCTGATCCAGAATAGCATTGAGTTCCTTCAGTGTCAGCAGCCGCTTTTTGGCAGCCTGAAAAGCGCAAATAAAACAAACTTTAATATGATGAAATCACGGGACAGTTGACTGAGGGATTTAACCCGCGACCCGCTGGGGGCCACGGATTTCCACACCCTGCTGCGGGTTTCCGAGTATTCCTCTCAGATTTGACCTAACGTCAACGGTTTTGCCTCTGTAAGAATCTTGGGTTTTGCCTGCAGGGGGCAAACACTGCCAAAATAGACTATTTTTGCGGAAATAGTTTTTCTGCAATAACTGATGACTCGAAACTTGCACGAGCTTACTTTTCCGGCATCGTATTGCTACTTGCTCTCGTCAAGGCGCATCGAATGAACTATAATCTGATCTTGAAAGGTCAACTTGAAAACTTGACCTCAGGTCAAGGTCATGACCTGACCGGAAACAGTCATGTTGCATATCAGTCGATCCGTATTGTCGATCTGAAGACATCTAAGACGTTGTCACCACTCTAGCAAAAGTTATTCGCGAAAAACTGTCAGATACCATTCGTGACCTGAGATGAAATATGCAAAAGTCACGGTCAGCAGAATATATTGCATTAAAAACAGCTGAGATGCACCCACCCTGGGGTGCTGTTTCTGCGGCGGGTCGGCGTAGTTGAAGAGTGTCGGGACGACACCCTCTCTGAGTCGGACCGTTTGACCTGTGCGGTCCATGTCCTTCTCGGGGAAGTGCAGACTGCAGATAGTCGCCTCATACTGAGGCACCCAGAGGCCGCCATCGTCAGCTTTCCTTCGGACGGCGATCGCCCACTGGCGCCTCCGCGTGGGATCCCTCGGGAACCTGAAAAACGTTTAGCGCGATGAAAAACAGTCATTGTTTGTTTGTTGGGGGTTAGGGGCGCGCCGACTGCGAGGTAATTTTGCGCCCATGAAAAACAGTCATTCAGAAACAAATAAAGTAGCAGACAGCACGTGATCGTCGATTTGGGACTACAACGGGAAGCCGTTGGTGGAAAATTCCAAATCATTTAATCATGAGTGTCAATTTTCTTTAGAAAACTGTCTGTTTGGGTAAAGCTGAGCAAGCTGACTACGTTTGACTAGGAACATTTACCTGGTCTTATGAATAAGGAAAAACAATGCTTGTGCATGCCCGCGCATTGTGTGCAACTGGCCCGTGCAACAGAATCTTCAAACGATTTCAGGGTCGTCAGTGTCACTATCATTGGTCAGGCGCGATAAAAAAAATCGGTACAGACGATTACCTCCGGTTACAATGTGGTATAAAATTTATGTATATCCATATATGTATTATAACATCTGCGAATTTTAGTCTGCTTTCGTTGAGTTGCTTTAGCTATGACCATTTTTGCAATATGTGATTCCCGTGTTGTTCACGATTCCCTGTATAAAATTGTTTTGCAATTGGATAAAACACGGGAATTTAAGCGAGGCAGCTATGAATTGTTCACCTATTTCAACATTATCTCAAAATTTGATCACCAAATCCAATCTTTATATTTCTAATGCACGTCCCTCTGGGGCTCCTGGATTGCCTCGCCCTGCTTCGTTGACCACTCCCCTTCTAACTCGGCTTCTGGGCCACGTCGTTACTCGTTACGACAAGTGGTCAAGAGTGTCAAAAATAATGAAGGTTGTCTCGGTCATTGTAGGTCAGGTCTGTGGTCAGGTCGTCGGAGATAATCGAAGGTAAACTTTCGCCTATTTCGACAATCTTCTACAACTCGGCGCAAGTAGGTGTTTCAAGTAAGCATCAAGGTGATGAAGTTCTAAAACCTCTAAAACGTCATCTAAAAAAGTTATCAACATATCTTAGATGTTTCTCGGTGCGCACTATCTCATCTCAACGCCGCTTTGCGTTCCTCGCTTGTTCTAGAAGTAATCTCGGGGGGGGGGGGGGCGTGGGGGACGTCCATTCTCAGACCTCAGTCTATGGCATTTCACCGCAGCATATTTACGTCTGGACAACGAGTTGCGGGGAAAAGTGCTGATTGTGTTGCAGTTTTAGGAGCCGGTGACTAGGCTGGATTTTCGGGTTACTTTTTCGTTCCGATTCATGTATTTCATAGTGTTTGGCTTTTGAATATTTTAGTTCTTTCAGATAAATATTACTTGCCTTACAACTTTTGTAAAAACATTTCATTTTTTATAAGCCGACATTCAGAGTCCTAAAAATACATCAGCACTACAATCATTGTAAACAAACAAATGGAGCACCACTTGGCTCTGTTCCAAGGCCATTTTTTAGTTTATCTGGTGGTTTTCTTGCTCTTGTACGTCGTTTTGTTGGATGTTTTGAATCCCTTAAGATTGACTTATATCATACTTAAGAAGCATGTTGACTGAAAACAATCTGAAGTATCCAGGAGGCTGACAGAGGTCCTGACTACTGAGCAATATCAATATCAAGTTGAACAAGTCAAGAAATTTTGGTTGATAAACGCAAGTTGATCGGGCTCATATATCAGCAAGAAAAAGTAAAATGAAAAGAGCTTATTGTCCAAAAACAAGCTATAATATTGCAGACCTTGGAGCAATACTGAAGAGCACGCTGAGCAGGATCATGCCAAAAAATGTTGACTGATGAGCGCATATTGATGTATTGGTATGAATATTGAGTTATAACTTACAACAGCAAAATAAATTAGTGCTAACTATCAAGTTAAAATCTAGAATGAATGGACTTGGGCAGTTTTACTATGCTTAGATGCTATGCAGAAATGTGCATCAGGTACTCAGTGTCTGGCAAATGAAACATGCGATCATTCCATTGCTACTGGAGGAGAAAGCTTGGATCACTAAATCCACTTTATGTTGATTATGATGTTAATCATCATCACTGTATTTCTTGAAAAAAGGATTGTAGTAAAATTGTCAATGTGACAATCCATGCAATGATGTGATCATATTATGTGTTCATAGTCATTCGTGATAGTCATTATTGGTCCAATATACAAGGGCAAAGCTCTCAGTCTCGGCGTTTCTTCCTGTGGATGGCCAGCAGTGACTCAGAGCTTAGAAGTATTAGTTTTCTTCACAGGGCTGGGATAAAAAGTACTGAGGGTAATCTTCCACCAAGGAACTCTACTTTGACATGGTATGAGATGTAGGCACAAGTAGTTAGGTGCTCAGTTCCTATAGTCAGTACTCAGTAGTTGTGTATGTTTAGTCGGGTTAGCTTAGATCAGATTGTTAGTTTTTTAATTTGCCAAATGTCCATAAAAATGTGACCTGAGCAATGAGCATACCTGAACCTGACTAACCTGACAGCTGATCTAACCTCAATCATCACACATATTTGCAGCCTACCCAAGACCTGCATGGCAGTAGCACCCAGTTATAGGTAGGTACTCACCCTAACTCAATCTTACCTGCTAACCTTCAACTTGCCAAAAGTTAGCTCACATTGCCAAGCTGTGTCCAGGGAAACAGTCAACTGAGGAACTGGCTCATTGGGTGGCTGGTGTGAGTCTGTGCATTTAAAGTGTTTCTTCTCTGAAGCTGCTCTGCACTGCTGTATGTCATGTTAGATGCTCAGAAAATGTGGGAAATGATTACTAAGCTACTTTAGTGCTTTGTTAATGCTCGAGACATGAACAAGTACAGATCCTGCAGGGTACAGCTATGAGTTAGGTGCTAGGTGAGTACGTTATGTGAATGTGCTGTTCCCTGTTTGACCGTAAGTATACAAACAAGCACAGGGTCACAGTTATATTCAATCTCCACATAAACATACAACAAAAACGGCCATATAGCCTAACTCCGACGACACCACAGGTAACTTAAGCCTTTGAAGGCACAAAAAAGTTTTGATTAACAGGACAGGTTTACAATATATCCTCCGTCCTTGGGGGATCTTGCTGCCAAGTTGAGGTATGATGACTGAACTTCAGGATTGATCAACCTTTTCTTAGCCACTGCTTATATACGAGAAGGACCAAATGCTTGTTTGTTTTGATTTACAGGACATGTATACAATATATCCTCTGTCCTTGGGGGATCTTGCTGCGAAGTTGAGGTACGATGACTGAACTTCAGGATTGATCAACCTTTTCTTAGCCACTGCTTATAAACGAGAAAGACCAAATGCTTGTTTGTAAACTGCGTTGAAAATTTAATGATCCACCTTCAATTCTGACATGAAGGCACAAATGAAATAGTTCCCTCTCCTTTTGGAATACACAAAGCAAAAAATTTAATAAATTTTAGTGGATGGACAAGAGCAATTAGCATAGCTTTCCCTCAAGTTAACTTCTGGCACTGTTGATAATGAATTACACTGACGCTTATTCGCTTCATATTTTGTAACAAACGCGCTAAAACTGCAATCTCACAGCACTATATGCTTCTTGACAAAATGCAATAATATTGAAAATTTAGCCCTAATGGCATTCATTCTTGCTGGAAACGTAATTACAAAATATTTTGTAGTAACTATTAAATTCCGGCCGAAAACAGTGCACGGTTTAAAAAAGAATCATTCCAATGACGGTCCATTCTTGCGGTCCTGAAATCGCCACTATTTCCGGCCTCTCCAACGCAACTCGTTGTCCAGACGTAAATATGCTTCACCGCAGGCTCAGTCCAAGTGAAGCGCGGATTATAAAAGTGAGCAACCAGGCAGTTGTTTTAAATTTGTAATGCTGGACTTACCTATGCATTCTAGCGGTGCCATTCTTATAAACACTACTCCTCGCAGAGGTTGAACAATTGACTGCGCAACATTGTACACCCATTTTGACTTAACGAATTCTTTTCAAAGTTTCAGGTCATTAAAAGTTGCCGCTTCCTTTTACATCATCTGAAATCAAAAATAAATATCGATCGTCAAACCAAAAAAGGACAAATGTAATTTCGAGATAAGTAACATAACAGCTTATACCTAATGTAATAATTGTATGCTGCCATACAACAGAATCACATGCATGCGTCAAGAATGCATAGTCGGAAGTGACAAAATGAAGACGCATTGTAACTTGTAAGTGTATTTCCGGACATGTCCAAACACAGTCTTAACCCTCGCCGGCACAGGGGGGGGGGGGGTGATGCAACCGCCCCTAAGGTTTTTCGCGAATAACTCGCGTAAAAAGCGGCCGAGCGGGACGAAACTTTCAGTACCCTCGCATTGATCAATTTTACACCTACTCTGAAAATTTCATGACCCTGACTCAAATGACCTTTGACCTGTGACCTCTTTTCCGAGACCATGTTTGGCCGGAATCGCGATTCGGCGTATGTCGGCTCCCATTAGCCGCGCGTTTGCAAGCTTTTGGTGGTTTCAAACGTTCAAACATGTGAGTTGATGTTGCTCCCATACATTAGGGTGGGTGTCAAGGTCACCTGAAGGTCAGGTGAGGTCATTGACCTTTGGTGACCTCGGTTCACTTTTTCGAGTTTTACATGTTTCTAGGCTAGTTTTTGGAGCTGAATTTGAATTTAGCAACCATTTTAACATTTACGAAGTAGTTTTGGTGCCTTCGTAACATGTTACGAAGCTGTCAGAGGCGGTTGACACGTATTACGAATACCCGTCACAACCCCTACCGGTTGACCTGACCTGACCTCACCCGACCTGGTCTAAATGCTTAAAGACATCATCTCTGATCAAAACTAACACGATATTCGTGATCAGCACCCCTGAAAACCACATAGGAGCTACACTTTACGACTTTCTAACAGGTCCCGATTTTCCCGGTTTTCGGGTCATTGACCTAGCCTGGAAGGTCACCCGATGACCTAGGACCTTAAAATTGGGTATCATCGGCTTCCTCTCGTGACGGGCAACACGCTCGTTTTTTTCCGCGAAGCTCTAGCTCGATCAGGGGCCAAACGCGAGGGGGGGTCGTACCCCCCCCCCCCTGTGCCGTCGAAGGACGCAAAATGGCCTGTGGCGGCTAGGGTTAAGGTTTCACAAAACCTTGGGACTTGTGGCAACCCATTCGTGACAGCATGCAATCTTTCTCTGATTTATTGATTTATTGAAGGGGCAAGCAAGAGCAACACAAATATTAATGTAAAATATCCATTCGTCTGGCAAGGAAAGCGCTTTCATTTCATTTGTTTAGGTAAGCTAAAAATAGCGCATCGTGACACGTAAAGGAAATGTACTGATACAGCTATCAAAAAACTAGCCAAGCATGAACCTTCCCCTTTTAACCCGCGCCCAGTTGGTTTCAGCCTACTTCGCCATGACGGGGGGGGGGAGTTTTTTTGGCCACACACCATTGCCTCGAAAAGTAAAAGAATTAGAAAGGCGTGAAATAAGAGACTGAGAGTTTTCTACAGATGAATTTAAAAAGTAATAAAGAAAGTGTAATCGATCAGGTCAATAGCAAAGTCACTGGGAGTCATCAAAGGTCAAACTGTCGCATCAATCATTTTTGGATAGATCGGTACATAATTCGTTATAACTTAAAGCAGAGCCTATTTTAGGGGAATTTGACTGGGGGGCAACCTGGAAAATTGTCTTTAATAACCCATTAACCCTCGCCCGTATTGGTGTTTTCCAGCTGCGAACGTATATGGGGGGGGGGGGGGGTCCGTTGGACCCTCCCCCTTGCCGTTTCACCCCTGATCGAGCTAGAGCTTCGCGGAAAAAACGACCGTGTTGCTCGTGATGAAAGGAAGCCGATGATACCCAATTTTAAGGTCCTAGGTCATTGGTTGACCTTCCAGATCAGGTCAATGACCCAAAAGTCGGGAAAATCGGGACCTGTTAGAGCGTCGTAAAGGGTGGCTGCTATGGCTTTTTTCGGGGTGCTGATCACGAATATCATGTTAGTCCTTTCAGGGGCACCACAGGCCTGTCAGGGGCACCAGAGGCCTAGCAGGGACACCACATGCCTGGCAGGGGCACCACCGGCCTCACAGGGACACCTTGGCCTGGGCCTGTTAGTGGCACCACGTGCCTGTCGGGGACACTCCAGGCTTGTCAGGAGCACCACAGTCCTGTCAGGGCCCAGGGGCACCAGCGGCCTAGCAGACACCACCGGCCTAGCAGGGACACCACCGGCCTCGCAAGGGCATCATGGGCCTGTCAGGGCCTGAAGTTGTCGTTGGAACTTCAGGCTTGTCAGGGGCACCACAGTTCTTTCAGATGCACCGGCGGCCTAGCACCATGACACCATGTTTGGCCGGGATCGCGATTCGGCGTATGTCGCCTCGCATTAGCCACGCGTTTGCAGTCTTTTCGTGTTTCAAACGTTCAAACATGGGATATGATGTTGCTCCCATGCATTAGGGTGGGTGTCAAAGTCACCGGAAGGTCAGAGGGGTGTTCACGGGCACCGCACACTGCTGCGTGCGGTGTGTGCGGAGCGTCCAGCAGGCGTGGGGGTAGGGGATGGGTAGGCGGCTCTGACGTCACGGCTGCGTGCGGTGGACGGTCCGCTGTGGCCAGTCCCGACCGGCCACAGCGATCGCTGTGTGCGGTGACGGAAGGCTGACGTAGGGACGCAGTGGGCGGAGCTTGGAGGCTGTGTGCGGTCCGACCGCACACAGGGCCCGTGAACAGCCCTCGGGTCAGGTCATTTACCTTTGGTGACCTCGGTTCACATTTTCGAGTTTTATGATTCTAGGCTAGTTTTTGGAGCTGAATTCGAATTTAGCAACCATTTGACCGTTTACGAAGAAGTTTTGGTGCCTTCGTAACATGTTACGAAGCTGTCAGAGGCGGTTGCCACCAACTACGAATACCCGGCAAAACCTTACTGGTTGACCTGACCTGACCTGACCCGACCTGGCCTAAATGCATGAAAACATCATCTATGGTCATAACTAACATGATATTCGTGATCAGCATCCCGAAAAAAAAACATAGCAGCCACCCTTTACGACGCTCTAACAGGTCCCGATTTTCCCGACTTTTGGGTCATTGACCTGATCTGGAAGGTCAACCGAAGACCTAGGACCTTAAAATTGGGTATCATCGGCTTCCTTTCATCACGGGCAACACGGTCGTTTTTCCGCGAAGCTCTAGCTCGATCAGGGGCGAAACGGCAAGGGGGAGGGTCCAACGGACCCCCCCCCCCCTCCCCATATACGTTCGCAGCTGGAAAACACCAATACGGGCGAGGGTTAATGGATTATTAAAGACAATTTTCCAGGTTGCCCCCCTAGTCAAATTCCCTTAAAATAGGCTCTGTCTTGCTAGGCCGATGGTGCTCCTGATAGGCCTGTGGTGCCCCTGACAAACTTGTGGTGCCCCCGACAGGCCCGTGGTGACCCTGACAGGCCCAAGGTGCCCCTGCGAGGTCGGTGGGGCCCCTGGCAGGTCTGTGGTGCCCCTGGCAGACCTATGGTGCTCTTGCTAGGTCGATGGTGCTCCGAACAGGCCTGTGGTGTCCCCGGGCCCCAAGGGTGGGGGCGGGGGTCATGACCCATATGACCCACCCTTGGATCCACCACTGGTCATTACTTGCAGACTGACTCATTTGACATCCATTGCAAAACAAGTCACAGTAGTATGTTTGTCACCCTGTTCATTTATGCCCATTTTTATAGTGGGCAAATATCGACGACTGGGGGGGGGGGGCAATTCTGTTGAGTGCAGGGGCATTTGCCCCCCCCCCCCCAGTTAACATGTTAAAATAGGCCCTGACTTAAAGAGTAACAGTGCTGCGTCGTAAAAGAAAAGTGCATTAGATAGCACTCAAAAAACCTCCGTTGGTGTATCAAAGGTCTGATGTAAGGTGGTTTGGTCACTAGAGGGCAAAGGCAGTCAAAATAGACTTATAGATAGAGCAAACAGTTGTCATGTACTTACTTTTGATACCAAGTTTGTACGACGGCGATTTTCTAGTACAATCATTGTGTTTTAATCATCGAGAAACGTCAAAAACTAGAACTCAAAAGATAAACCAGCTTCAAAAACAAATTTTGATTATCCTGATTGGCCAATGGCCATTACCACACTTTTTTGTTCTGGTCGGGGTTGTCACTTGTCAGTCACCCCACCCAAGCAACCGGGAAGCATGATAGCTCCACTAATACCGTTCCCCTCCGGGGTGACAGGGTTGCCGGTGGCCCGCCTTTTGCCGTCGAACTTACACATGTAGCGGAACGTCCTCCTTCCTCTCCCTGGTCAGCGCATTGAAGACACAGTTGTACGCCGCGCATTCCTTGTGTACCTGCAACTGAGGAGAGAGCCTTCGTAAGGATGTGAGCCATCGCCCTGTTACCGGAGGGCCTTTTTGGAAACAATCTCCAGATTTTTTCCGTGTGTAAAGAAAATCGTGGGGTGCAGCTCCGCGAAACTTGATATAGGCTATTATGCATCAATTTTGTATCACGTGTAAAAATGACCCCACGTTATAAATGACCTCAAGGTCGTGACCAAGGTTCTGAAAGACCATATAAAGAACTATATATCACTTTTCCCGCATCTTTCTACTTTTCCAAGTTTTCGAGAAATTCGGGTGCCAAATAACCTACCCACACCACCATGACTAAGTTAGTTTGCTTAACCCCCAGGGCGCGAGTTAGCCTCATCCTTCTCTCCACACCACTTATTTTCGAGTAACGAAAAAAATGGCTCGGTGGTGCCAACCCCCGACGTTTTTTTTCCTTTTCGTTCGAATGTTTGAGTGGATGGATTGACAGAGCTGGAGCCCAGGCCAGGTAAAGCTGGTAGGTAGCGCACTTCGAATCTAAATACCTAATTCGAATGCCGAAATTAAGCGTAATTTCAAAGTCCGACACAGTCCGCCCACCTCACTGGCTTAAAGGAAAAGGGCCACCTTTAACATGGGGATTGAAACTGAGATAGCCATCTTGTAGCCCGTGTCCGAAAACCTATCTGCCTACCTCCTTACGGCCGATTTCGGCCTCCATTCGTAGTTATCGGCAATTTTAAAAGAAAATACGCCAGGAATGCGTCCTTATCCCAGGAATGCGTTCTTATCCGACAATACAGCCACCCGCGGCGAGGCTTTGGTTTTTTACCAATCAGCTCCAACCAGCTCAGCTTTAACCAATCAGCTTATCTGACACAATCCGACGAGTCTGTCTTCTGAACGCTGATTGGCTTGAGTGTGACGTCATCGCTATGCCATCATACAGTAGGTGCCGTAGAGAGTATCAACATAGTACCAATATGTTAAATAGTTTTAAATAATTTTTCGCGAATTGTGCACTTCTGGCATCAGTTTTAAAAAGAAAATGAAAAATAATAATGTCAAAATGAAAAACAACGATATCTTCATATTTCACGAAGGTGGCCCTTTTCCTTTAACCCTATTCCTGGCGGGCTCCGCCGGGACAAGAAACTGGCGGGGGGGGGGGGGGAGGGCCGATTCGGCCCCCCCCCCCTTCAGATCTTAAAAACTACACATCGCAGGGACAAACGGCAAACGGCGTTTGATAGGTCGTTTAAAGATCTACAAATTTTACAAAAAACATTTTCAGGTCAGGTCAATATTGAGGTCTCCAGAGGTCATCAACGATAAAATGTTTTGGAATTAGTTACCTATATAACTTAAACTAAGAAACATAGTGACATAAAACCAATAAATTTTGTGTTGCTCTCGCCGAGGCGATGCGAAATAAGTATGTGATGGCCTTCACAGGTCAATTTGAAATTTGACCTGAGGTCAAGGTCAGGTCATCAATGAGGTTGTGGGGTATGGTCATGCTGCATACCAAACGACGCGCCTTGACCAGGCGAGCAGTTTGGTACCACTTACAAGTCTTTAGCACCATCATGTCGTGATTTATTGACAGAAAAACGATTTATGACGTCACATGACCTCAGATGACCTTTGCCGGTGCCCCTGTCAATTAGCGGCACCAGGATCATCACCGATGAGATAATCTTCCATAATACTGAAAAAATTGGGTGGTTTCGACTCGTTTACACGAAGCAGGAGGCGTTTCAATATTTTCCCATAGGCTTGCAATGTTAAGGTCACGAGTCTGGCCTGACCTCAGGTCACAGATATGAAAATTCTGAGATATACAAATCGTACATACTGGTACCCTAACTAAAACCTGAAGAGAAGAAATTGATCGGTCAAGAACTCTAGCTCTGGCGTGATTGCAAACTTTTCTGAGGTGGGGTCACCAAACCGCCTCTGGTGACCTGACCTGACCTGACCCGGCAACTTTTTTGTCAAAATGTGTGCAATGAATGTTTAGAAAATTCACCGAATATGAGCTTTCAGTCTTACGGCGTTTGGCAATGGCACAAGAAAAACCTGAAGGGGGGGTCTTAAAGCCCCCCCCCCCCCGCCAGGAATAGGGTTAAACTGGCGCAAAATTTTATGATCGATATGGTGGCGTCACGTTTGAGCTTCAAGGAAAAATATTGTAGCTCAGACAGCATTCTTGCGTTTTTTAAGCAATATAATATAACTTGATCATTGATGAGTGGGTGGCTGTGGGGTTTAGTTGCCTAGCTAAGCAGAGCTTGTCAGCTCAAAGCCAATTTTTGGCATACATTTTTTGGATGTTAAGGGGCAAGTATCCATGTCTCTCATCTGTTTCAAGGAAACTGAGACACACGTCACACTTCACAGCACGTGAACACATTACATTACTAGGTAAAGCAAAGGATTTGTGTTTTTGCAGCAACTTACTGGTTGACCACAATGACCACTGACTTTGAATGAGGAGCATTGAACAAACTTACCTTCGGATCATACCCTTTCACAATGTGCGTTGGGAACACTGATGGCACTGCAAAGTCTTGTAGCTTTTGGCGAACTCCATATGGAACATAATCCTCCTTTACAAAGTGTTCACTGCAGAGTGTGAAACTTCCCTTGATGACTCTCTTGAGAGTTAGGTCTTTGCGTCGGACTGCCTGGATCCACTTTCTTGCTCTTTTCACACACTTGGGGAAACTGAAAAGAGCAAAAAATTCACGTCAAGTTATTACAAGTGTTGGTAGAAATCAGGATGAAGACACAGCTTTATGGCTACAATAGTCCTAAACACGTGGAGCAATAATATATGTTGTGCTCTTTTGGTATGAACTAGGTGTAAGCAGCAAACAGCAGTGAAAATGGCAGTCACTTCTGCCTCAAATTACCCATCAGTTACGGAATAACCTAAGTCACATTAGACGCGTTTACATAGGGTTTGTTGCAAGCTTATATCTTCGTCCCTGGTGTTGCAAAAGATGCCAATGGTGCTGAACAATTTACAAAATGATCCCCTCTAAATATTTGAAGACAACTGCATCGAAATTATCGCCAAATTAACGAGCTAGAGCCTCGTCAAAAATGCTATGTAAACCGGGTTATTGACAATGATTTTACAGATGTGATCTAGCATTAGACCTTATTTAATTATGTAGCCAGCAATTTTTGTTTCTTCAAATCACAGATATATTGTGACAAAAGCCATACAGGACGATACAATCGAAATAATATGTTTCTAATACCAACAGAAATAAACATTTCAAAACGAACAATGCATGCACGGGACATGGGCAGAATAGCACGTATGCTGCTCAAGTGCTCACACTTCACTCAGAATAAATGTCACAGAACTGTACACATTATTAGCTCAGTTTATTAGGATTCCATGACGGTTTTTCGTCCAGCAGATTTTCGTCGGACAATTTTTCGTCCGCAGATTTTCGTCCGACTTTTTTTCGTCTCGCATTTTTTCGTCTGTACATTTTTTTCGTCTGTGCATTTTTTCGTATGTTCATTTTTTCGTCTGTACATTTTTTCGTCCGGACATTTTTTCGTTCGTATATTTTTTCGTCTGTGCATTTTTTCGTCCGGACATTTTTTCGTCTACAATTTTAACGTAACGTAACGTAACCTAACCTAACCTAACCTAACCTAACCTAACCTAACCTAACCTAACCTAACCTAACCTAACCTAACCTAACCTTACCTACTGATGTTTGCCTACCGGGGGATAAGGAAAAAGTTACTTGCATGAATAGATTGCAAGCAATGGTAAGTCAAATATTTTTAGGTTAAGTGGTTATGCATCAGGCTTCAGGCCTTCGGCCTGAAGCCAGATACACAACCACTTAACCTAAAAATATTTGACTTACCATTGCCTGTAATCTCTCCTAAGGCATTGCCTTCGGCACTGCACTGCTTCGCCCCGAGTATTATTATGACGTCATTTGCCTCATAGTTGAATAGCATTGTAGTATGTTTTCACTCAACCTTGGGTGCACAGACGTAAAATTTATTGAACGAAAAAATGTCCGGACGAAAATATGTACAGACGAAAAAATGTACGAACGAAAAAATGTCCGGACGAAAAAATGTACAGACGAAAAAATGTACAGACGAAAAAATGCACAGACGAAAAAATGTACAGACGAACAAATGCGAGACGAAAAAACGTCGGACGAAAATCTGCGGACGAAAAACTGTCCGACGAAAAAATGTCAGACGAAATTTTGTCCGGACACGGTTTATTAGCAGTTTATTATAGCAGCTAGAAGTTCATTATCAGACTAATGTTGTGATGTATAGAGTTAACTTTAAAACATACTTGCATGTAACTATGTTTTTGTATAATTTTTGCCATAGCAGACACTCCACAGACAATTTGTGGCTATATTCACGTGTCCTTTGTTAGATGAGGATAAATAAAAGGGGTCTAGAGCTGAGCAATGCTAGTGCTGTTACTTACTTATGAAAGGCAATATAATTTGCACCTTGGCCTTGGTCCTGCCTTTTGAATCTATTCTTACATCCATATGCTGCACAGCATTTCACCATTTCTTCAAGTACATGCCATTCAAAGCTTTAACAACTTAGGCTGAAAAAGAACAATGGTGTCAGCATACAATGGTGCTTGTGAGCAATCTGGCAGTAAAGCTAAACCAACACAACCTTCATTGCAGATTGTTATCCAATTGACTCAGGAAGTATCTGTGAGGCATGAACTGATGCTGGAGTTACCACCCTTATGACGGACAGTGTTCTCCAGTGTTGACTGCTAGTGTTGGTTGTAACTTGTAATTTATAACACTGTAACACAAACACCATTCAAGCTTTGGTCTATATTATGTGAGAGTATAGACAAAGACAAACCCTTGTGACCACTGAAGACCAGCATAAGACAGGTTATGCAGCTTAAGAAAAAGTTAGTTATAGGTGGCATTATTGGAGGACAGGTGTTCTGGTTAGTATGCCAACTCGCTTGCACTGGTGCCAGATTGGAAAACATCCATACACTACGCCGGACAGACGTGAGATCCTCTTGCGCCGCAATTTCGGCGCAAGCAAATTTCGCACTTAACTTCTCGCATAGTTTGCGCCAAAAATTGGGTGCCTATTTGTGCCAAAATTAAGCCACTTTTACATAAAGCACATGCACACATCTACCAATCAATGATATATCAATCAACAGAGCGTTCTGGGGCCTTGGACACTCTCCCATGTTTGAGCGTCCAAATAAGCTTTTTATTTCCACGGAAACCCAATACCACATACGCCTAGCGCACTGTAGCGTCGAGCCGTGAAACAAGACCAGAGCCGGATGTTCTGGGGCCGCAAAAATCAGAGGCTGGCAGGAGCCAGCGAGGCCCAGGCAGCGGAGCAGCACGTGCTCCAGAGTCCGGCACATCAGCTGGCATTTGACGCAGAGCGCCGCGGGGTACCGCTTGTCTGGGCACTGCTAGCACGTCGCAGAGTGGAGACAGCCGAATGCCGATTCGGTGCACGTACTGGAGCGAGCGGGCCCGCCCTCATCTGGTGCACCGAAACGGCGTCCCCTCGGTCATCTCCGGAGGTATGGGGCGGCAGGGTGCTCCCAAAGAGTGGCTTGATTTTGAAAAGTGACTCAGACCAGTTGTTTCGCCATTGATGCCAGGACGCACAATGAAATGCCCTGGTCAGCGAGCGGGCGTTTGAGGGCAGGGCGGCCCCTCGTTTCGCCAGGTCGTCTGCGCTCACATTCCCCTCGAAGTCGATTCCGCAGTGGACAGGAACCCACTGAAGTATTACTTAAAGGGACTATCCCACCTTTAAAATGGAGTTTGAGTTGAGATAGCCAAGTTTGCGGCGAGGTTCAGAAACCACTATCTATCTAGGTTGCAACCCCCGCGGCCTCTTGGTGTTGAAGAAATTTGTTCCCTTCATTTGAAAATGGGCCTTGTGCAAGACCCTATCTTCAACATGGAGCGACCGTTAGTGTGACGTCACCTCGTTTAGTCATTCTGATTTAAATGGGTTTGTTCATTGAAAAATCGCTTAAAACTTGGTCTGAACTTTGTTGTGGTGCCTACAGAGTAAAAAGAATCAGCTTTATGACAGTAATGTGGCCTGGGGAAGGAGGTAATTTTGGGCTGTGACGTCACATATTTGAAAGTTTGTGTTTGGAATATGGGAAGCCTAAGATGTTTAATGAAAAATAAATGCCAGAACCATGTTCCTGGTCATCCAATCTATAAAGTCGGGCACAATTTAACTGGTTTTAACAACATTTTAGAAGGTGGGATAGTCTCTTTAAAGGAAAAGGGCCACCTTTAACATGGGGATTGAAACTGAGATAGCCATCTTGTAGCCCGTGTCCGAAAACCTATCTGTCTACCTCCTTACGGCCGATTTCGGCCTCCATTCGTAGTTATCGGCAATTTTAAAAGAAAATACGCCAGGAATGCGTCCTTATCCCAGGAATGCGTTCTTATCCGACAATACAGCCACCCGCGGCGAGGCTTTGGTTTTTTACCAATCAGCTCCAACCAGCTCAGCTTTAACCAATCAGCTTATCTGACACAATCCGACGAGTCTGTCTTCTGAACGCTGATTGGCTTGAGTGTGACGTCATCGCTATGCCATCATACAGTAGGTGCCGTAGAGAGTATCAACATAGTACCAATAAGTTAAATAGTTTTAAATACTTTTTAGCGAATTGTGCACTTCTGGCACCAGTTTTAAAAAGAAAATGAAAAATAATAATGTCAAAATGAAAAACAACGATATCTTCATATTTCACGAAGGTGGCCCTTTTCCTTTAACGACGCCCAGCGATGCTCAACAAGGTCTTCCATACCTATCTCCATGGCGAGGGTTGAGGCCTCAACTGGGCAGCCCCTCCTCTGCTGAGTAGACTCATAGCGGCTCACCAGCTCAAGCACACAATGACCGGGGCGGGGTCGGGAGATCTCATCCTGAAACCTCTCCAGAGTCATCTGCAAGGCGAATCTGCTGCTAGATTGGACCAGCGTGCCGACTAGACTTGGTGACCTTCTTTTGCCAAATAATTCTGCGGCCACCATGCACCAATAATTTAGCCCCCACCATGTGCTGAATTGAGCGCATGCTACGTTATGCTGGATGCGCACTGAAATTTTAGGTGCAATCCTGCCACTACGCCGGACATATTTGGCATAACATGTTTTTGCCAGTCTGGCACTGGTGGAACCTCAAGAGAATATTTAGGCTGCACATTGCACAATGCACCTAGGTATCTGGAAAGCAATGGAAGATAGTAGAATGCTAGAAAAGCAGACTGCATCTTTCAGCCAGTACATACGTTTCCAGGGAACTCCGGTCACCCAAGAAATTGGTGCATCTCTGCGCGTAATGGGTTTCCACTCAAAACTAATGGGTGAGTAGTACCTACCTAGGTAACAAATTCAGTTGACAATTTTGTGCTAGTGAAATTGGAACCTATAATCTTGAACAGGAATAACAAAGGCTGCCCTCGGACAGGCCCGTTTCAGTGTGGAATTTGTCACACAAACAGCCGTTTGGACAGCGCGAAATGCGTGGAATTCCGCAGGTCGCAGGATCCCGCGAAATGAAGAGAAATCCTGAGTGTCAACTCGTCTTCAAGATGGCAGCCGCCATAGAAATGATTGGAAATGATGTTGTTATAGCTTGTGATGAGAGGTATTTGTTTCTTTGTTATTGAAACCTATTATTGGATGTGACCAAATGTTTAAGCGGCATGCGGCTTTACATTCCGATTGTTTTGACTACAATATTATTGAAGATGCACAATAAAAAATTTGTGCAATTGTAAATACAATAAAACATAAAAAATTGTAAGTACAATATAAATATCTATGGATTTGGATAGTGAAAACGCAGAATTACCCCGCGTTCGATGTCTCTCGGACGGCGAAGATTCTATGCTGTCCGGCCAATCACGTTTCAAAACCTCAACAGAGCCCCCGCTGACCTTGGACAGGATTGGCCGAACAACGTAAAATCTTCGTCGTCCAAGACATCGAACGCGGGGTTAGATATAGCGGCTGCAGTTTTTGCTCACTTTCCGTAGAATCCTGCCTAAGTGGTCAAGGAATATTCCAATTAGGAAAAGCGAAACGGTCTATCCAAACCAGTTTATGCAGCCTTTTTCCAAATGCAGCCTATATCTTCAAATTTTAAAAACAATACAATAGCACTAGAGGAAAAACACTACATTTGAAATATGAGGCTATCTCAATCCTTCACATTGCAGGTCAAGTTGGTTGCATTCCAAGCTCAATGTAAATAGATGTATGCTGTACCTATGCAATCTTGATGTTTCGCATTTCGCCTGTGCTTATTTAGAGGCGCTACATGTCCAGAATTTTGTATTTTTATCAATTTGGCACTCAAAACTACTTACTGTCCTACGTTGACGACGATAACTGACGCACTCGACGCGTCCAAGGTTTGTTTTTTGTTTGAAAGGTAGATGTTGACGTTCGTCAAACTAACTGCTTGATACTCGTGAATCAGAGTACGATGCTTGTTGAGTGATTATACCAGACCTATGCTTTATTCCTGCTCATTTCACATTTTAGGTGAAATGGACTGAATACAGGCATGACTGAACCAAATCAAAAACCCGCTTGACGCTCACTGGGCACAACTTGCACACGACTCCCCTCACGTCAGATGCACGAGGAGCTCGACTAGAAAGGCTTCTAAAGGCCTCTGGGCTCTGGCCTATCCAAATTCCGTACTTCGTAAGAAGTAAGTATGCCTGAGACTGGGATTAGTATGGGCTTCCGAAATAAGATATTCCTGTTACCTTGGCTATTACGTACCACCACAAATGCCGTATATATATATATATATATATATATATATATATATATATATATATATATATATATATATATATATATATATATATATATATATATATATATATATATATATATATATATATATATATATATATATATATATATTAGGGTGTATCGTCGAATTTTGATTTTTTTTAATCGTCTTCACTACTAAATTTTATTGGTCCCTGGCATGTTTGAAGCCGTAGGATACCAATCAAAAAAATCTGGGACGAAAACCTAGCCTGCTGCGAGCGGTTGAACGGAAGCCTGTCGGGACGGCGCCAGGCGTTGAAGTTAGAGTTGCAAAATTTCCCTACCGCACTACCGGCATGCCGGTAATTTTTCACTACCGCAGGTTTTTTCGTGGTATCTGGCATGTCTTGCCGGTAGCATGCCGGTATTTTTGATTTTGCACAAAAAAAAATTATCAGCATATGATTCAAACTTAACTTTGGACACTAAGAGGCTATTGAATTGTAATAACAGCAATCTTAGCCACTGCAAAATACATTTTGTGGTAGAAGTTCCATTGCTAAGGGTAGGGGTGACACACGAACCTCAGCATTTCACAGGTTTGGCTCTAATTAGAATTGTCAAGAATCTTCTGTGGTCTATCAAAGGAAGACAAAGAATACTCATTCATGTTGCAAAAGCACAACCAATTAGTAAGTCTGATGGTAGGTAATAGGCATAATACAATAACTAAAATAAATAAATGTTCATGGCAACATTCCCTAGGCAAAAGGCAGAATCAAAACAACACAAAACACATTGTTTGGAAACTGGCCTTGAGTCCTGGGATGTGGTCTGAGATACTCTACAAAGAGTTTGACACTGAAAATCCAGCTGAAAAGGCAGGTGTTAGTTAAAGTTAGGCCCTGAGCCTAACTTTGGTCCCAAAATGAAATGAAAATGAATTAAACTGGCATTTTGTCTTATCTTTACAAGAAAACACAACATGCAGACCAAATGAATACAAAGTGGCGCAATGTGGCGCAAAGGCAACCAAGGATTGACTTTTAAGATCATCTGTCCCCTAATGAAAGGATGTAAGCTGATGACGTAATATTTATTCATATGCCCTTTTGGTTGAATCACTCAAGAGAAATCAATTTTCTTGTAGTGAATAACACTCACAGTGTTGATTTCATTGGAATTCAATATCGTGTTGGATGATTTTTATGAATAAAATCATTCACGAGGCAGAAGTTTGCAGTCCTAAAACCTTTTTTTTGCAGTGTTTTAATCAGCTGGTTAAAAACTGTATGGCGCATCTGTTTCGAAATCCTTTATAACCATGTGTTTGTTCCCGCGTTTGAGATGGGGGAGGATAGGTATTATATCGTTTTTATTTATACATATTATTTGGTGACTTCTCAGGACAAGTGAGTTATTAACACATATTTTTACATGATTCGTATCTTACTCACCAGCCAGCAAGCCATGGCGGATAGGATGATCTTGGCGGATAGGAAAAAGCTGATGTTGATCTCGCTTCCTCAGTTCATGAGTCCATGAGTTAGGAACATGGCCGAATCTCAGTTGGGGAAACTACGAGGAGCCAAACAAAAATTGGATTAGCCAATCAGCGGCTGGAGTGGGCGGGGCGATGACCATATATGGTCATAAAATCAGACAACTTCATCTTTTCAATGAATTTTAGCATTCAAATGAAAAAATAAGGCATAAGAATGTTTGTTAACCACACAAGGCCTACACTCACCCGGTGCATAATTAACTGGCGGCTCTAAATCGCGGAGTTACAACGCAAGGTCAAACCGCGATTGGCAAATATGGCGGATTGAAACAGACGCGCCAAAAAATGTAAGCAGTACCGTGGTTTAAAATGTCATTATTTTTATTATTTTGTTTATGGTTTTTCTAATTGTAGTTAAGTTATTATTTTAAAATTAAATATTTTTGTTTATTGTAATTAAATTAAATCTGTTAACAATTTTCTTTCATAAAACCAATCCATTTATTGAATGGCCAGCTGATTGCGACGCCCAGAACCTGCAGAAAAGCCGTTTTCCTATCGCCATTTTCGAGTCAATTCGCCGAATTTAATCAAATCACACCAATTCCTAGTGAAAATTGGAAGCCTTTTCTCTCCAATAAGTGGACGCGATACCGCAAGTACCGGCTTGTTATACCGTTTTTCACCCTTAGTAGCGGGGGCTGCATTTATACCCATATATGGTCATCAAAAGTCCATTTATTGACCAATCCATTTTTTGACGTTCGCCTCGTAGTTTCCCCAACTGATCTGTAGTTTTTTATATTGTGATTTGCGACTATCTATAGTTCATTATTTGGTTGGTACCTGCAATATTTTAGGAGAATGTGGAAAATAAGAACGCTTGTGGCAAATGTGATTGCTGCTCACTGTGCAATCTTCAGAAACACATTTCAGTAATTCAAGTTCTTTTTGTCCTTGCTTTTTTGATGAATGTGTTAATGCTTTTTGTAGGCAATACCTTTTTGATTACAGGTGATATTTTAACAGCTGTAGACTGGAATGGAGTTTCAAAATTGTGGTATTTGTGGGGCGAACTCAGGCAACATCAGGCTGCTGGTAGTTTTGGTTGGACAATGGGTGGCTGCTGGGTGGGGCGGCTACTGAAATTGCCAAAATGTTGCATCTCATGTAGGGGTAAGCCAGAATCAAAAATGCAGGTTTTTTGGTATGCCGGTAATTTGGCGGTTTTTTTTGCTTGGGGCGTGGTAGCATGCCGGTATCCCAGAAAATTTTTGTGGGGCGGGGCGGTGCCGGTAGCAGCCCATTGGGAAAACTTTGCAACTCTAGTTGAAGTCTCCCCGTTAGTTACGCGCACACTAGCACCACGCGGCGGCTGGCGCCGTGCCGCCGCGTTCCCGGTCAGCCGTGTTTTAGCGTTCACTGACGGGTCGAGGTGATTATTCTAAGCTTTCCTAAGAAGCTTTCTGCCCCGCAGCTCATTATTGAGCAAGAATATCGCACAAACTGCATAGAACATTGACATGCAGGTTGTCGGCACATATGGAGAAGGGGATGTTTGGTTAATGCCTCCTTTAATTGGAAGAGATTGTGGAAGAGCAACACATTTCTTTTGGAAATTACTCATCCTCCTTCTTCCTACGTGCCTGCTTTAGTAATCGAAGTACCCCTATTGACTCTACGTTCTTGATTCGGCTGTGGATTTCATGCATGGAATTCCGCTATATTATATTTTCTCGCTCAATGTCCCCTGAGCTATATTGAGGCGTCACGGGACAGCAATGCTCAGCACACAACCGCAGAGAAAAAGTCAATGTGGCCATGCGTTTTGTATGCCAAAATGTGTGAGCCTTGGTGTGTACCAGCAGCCGTTGTCACCATTGTAATTTCCACGACTTTATCTTTATAAGGATGCAATTTCCCACTTCCTAGTTCCCAGACGGGTTTGGAGATATAGTTTTACAGAAACATTTGGGAATGTCTGTAATGTAAGTTAAAGCGAATACCGAAAGGAATCCACATATTTTCGATTTCCTGTTTGCTGTATTGCTGCCAGACGTCATGATGGCATGGCTGCGATTGATGGTATGCCGGATGGCCAGGGTACGAACTCACGGTAAGTCAGCTTGGCCGGCAGGCATCAACAGGCACAATAGTCTTACACTGATATCGTCACCCTCAGTTATTCGTCACCATTCAGCAACAAGCCCAGAGCTTCGGGCTTTGAACCGTAAGGTACAGGTGTAGGAGCAAGACATTGCGCCGATTCGAAGGGCTGGAAGGGCAGCATCGCGGGGGCTGGAATGCGCCTGAGCGGCTGAGACCATCCCATTGGGACGGGGGTGTTCTGGGTGCACTCAGCCGGTCATGCTGGGAAATGCATCCAATGGAGCTCTCCATTCGAATGATTAGGGTGACCTTTAGTCTAGAACAAGGAAGGATGACTGTTGGCTGGTCCCGAGGATAGATACAAAGGACAGGTAATGACATCATATAATGAATCGAAGACGGCCCCGGTCCGATCCTCTGATAGAGGTTCATCAACACGTATCTCGTTGTGGACCATTTCGTTTTCCTCCACCGTAGTTTTTGCACCGACCTGAACCGGTTGGAAGGTAACGATGTTCAGAAACCATTAAGATCGTAATTGTATATTCGTTGTATATTCGTTCACTGAGCAGGTAGGACAGGTTCAACACAGTGAAAACCTCATCCTTTCATCCAATAATTATAAAGTAGTCTTTATGGAATGGAAAGGCTAACCTAACTCAACGAATATACAATTACGACCTTAATGGTTTCTGAACATCGTAATCTTCCAACCCGTTGAGGTCGGTGCAAAAACCACGGTGGAGGAAAACGAAATGGTCCACAACGAGATACGTGTTGATGAGCCTCTATCAGAGGATCGGGCCGGGGCCGTCTTCGATTCATTATATGATGTCATTACCTGTCCTTTGTATCTATCCTCGGGACCAGCCAACAGTCATCCTTCCTTGTTCTAGACTAAAGGTCAGCCTAATCATTCGAAACGGGTGGGGATGGGGTAGAGCTCTATTGGATGCATTTCCCAGCATGAGCGGCTGAGTGCACCCAGAACACCCCCGTCCCAATGGGATGGTCTCAGCCGCTCAGGCGCACTCCAGCCCCCGCGATGCTGCCCTTCCAGCCCTTCGAATCGGCGCAATGTCTTGCTCCTACACCTGTGCCTTACGGTTCAAAGCCCGAAGCTCTGGGCCTGCTGCTGAATGGTGACGAATAACTGAGGGTGACGATATCAGTGTAAGACTATTGTGCCTGTTGATGCCTGGCGGCCCAGCTGACTTACCGTGAGTTCGTACCCTGGCCATCCGGCATACCATCAATCGCAGCCATGCCATCATGACGTCTGGCAGCAATAGGTACAGCAAACAGGAAACTCGAAAATATGTGGATTCCTTTCGGTATTCGCTTTTAACTTACATTACAGACATTCCTAAATGTTTCTGTAAAACTATATCTCCAAACCCAGTCTGGGAACTGGGAAGTGGGCAACTGCATCCTTATAAAGATAAAGTCGTGAAAATTACAATGGTGACAACGGCTGCTGGTACACGCCAAGGCTCACACATTTTGGCATACAAAACGCATGACCACATTGACTTTTTCTCTGCAGTTGTGTGCTGAGCATTGCTGTCCCGTGACGCCTCAATATAGCTCAGGGGACATTGAGCGAGAAAATATAATATAGCGGAATTCCATGCATAAAATCCACAGCCGAATCAAGAACGTAGAGTCAATAGGGGTACTTCGATTACTAAAGCAGGCACGTAGGAAGAAGGAGGATGAGTAATTTCCAAGAGAAATGTGTTGTTCTTCCACAATCTCTTCCTATTAAAGGAGGCATTAACCAAAACATCCCCTTCTCCATATGTGCCGACAACCTGCATGTCAATGTTCTATGCAGTTTGTGCGATATTCTTGCTCAATAATGAGCTGCGGGGCAGAAAGCTTCTTAGGAAAGCTTAGAATAATCACTTCGACCCGTCAGTGAACGCTAAAACACGGCTGACCGGGAACGCGGCGGCACGGCGCCAGCCGCCGCGTGGTGCTAGTGTGCGCGTAACTAACGGGGAGACTTCAACGCCTGGCGCCGTTCCGACAGGCTTCCGTTCAACCGCTCGCAGCAGGCTACGTTTTCGTCCCAGATTTTTTTGATTGGTATTCTACGGCTTCAAACATGCCAGGGACCAATAAAATTTAGTAGTGAAGACGATTAAAAAAAATCAAAATTCGACGATACACCCTAATATATATATATATACTATACATCTCAGTACTCACTGATGGGGCAACGCATTGTCCTCCACGATAGACGGCCGCTTTCGTTAAGGTTACACGCATGACTATCGGCTATCGACGTAAAACTTGCTATCATGCTGAGAAAGAAACATTTGCTAAGCTTGTGTGAGCACGAATTATCGATGCATTGCAGTCAATAGACAAGATACTTGAGGTAATCTTCAGTATAAGTTTTATATTAGGTACACACTACACATGTTGTGCTTGGCGCTTGCATACTATCTGATCGTCACCAGACTGATCGCACACACAATAAGGTACTTTCTGCCTTCGAACAAAGCAATAACATGGCTGGTTGTCGGAACATCCACAACCGGCAATGAGTGGCGACAGGCATATCAAACCAAGACCGTTGACATCAAACGAAGCCACAAAAAAAAACATAACTTCACCAGCTCAGAGCCCATGCTGAAATTCAGTGCCGGCAGCCGAAAAAATGTCTAACCATAGTTACTATCCATTAAGCCCCAAACGTGATATCTGAATACGCACCGATTCAGCCCATGCTTTAAACCCAATCAGCCTTTGAACTATTCAGCGATTTGACTTTGCGTTGTTAAATCTACACGAGATGACATGTACATTGTACACTACACATACACATCGATGGAACAGCGCTATGTACAACACATGACATAACATGCATGAGTGTCCAAATGGTCGTATTTGCAGGTCAACGCTGGTCATACCCGCGCTTTCTGATCACAGCCACCACACAGTTCGAAAACACTCCCTCGCTCCTTCACGCCGCTAGAGAAATTCGTCGGTTTCGGCGGACCAGGTGGGTTGTGGCCGTTGGCGCCGGTCCACATTTGTCTGTTCGTACTCACCCAGCACCTGATCGTCTCCCCAGATGCGACTGCTCTCCCAGCTGGGACGCGTCTCGGACCAGGCTGTGCGGGACCGCTTCGGCGCCCTTGCCGTAGAGCCGGGGTTGAACGCTCGTCCAACCACCCCCATGTCTTCAAACTCGACATCCATGGTGTCCATAATAGGCATGCTAGGCTGGGCCGTCACACGCTTCCTGCGGCGCTTGACTGGCTTCCGCTGAGCGGGGGCCGAGGACGCGGGGTCCTCCGAGGGCGCTTCTCTGGTCAGCGCCCTCCTGTTGGTGATGCCAAGATCGACATCAAGCTCGTCCTGATTCGTCTCGAAGGCACGAGGATCTACTTCATAGGCATGGTCGTCCTTCTTCACCACCTTCGGCTTCTTTTTGGTGCTGTACTTCAGCAGATTGGCTGTCACCATCTGTTCATAGACATGCTTTAGTGATTCGAATCGACTGGCGCCAAGCTTCATCATCTTCGGCGATGGCAGCGGGATTTTCATCGTGTTTCGGATGAAGGCGTAGCCGCGACGCGTCACCAGCTTCTTCAGTTCGATGGCGCGTCGGATGTCCTCCTCAGCCCACCGCGCTTTGCAGCCCGTGCGGATGACGCGCAGCTGCATCGGCGTGAAAATCTGCTCCAGGCCCTTGACCAGCATTTCGTTCCGTCGCTTCTTCTTAATTCCGGTTTTCTCGGCCATTTTCGTTTTGAGCCGCCACTCTGAACAGTTGGAGCTCGTCAGGTCACAGCGTCGCTCCAGCTGTTTGATGCGATTTTCACGTTGCTGCTCCTCCCTGTCTGTTTTGCGCTGTTTAGCACGCACGGCCACTTTGTAGCGCCTGTGCTCCGCCGTCACCTCCTGCAGACGCAGCTCACGATACTTCACCTGAATGCGACTGTACATGAGCGCAACCTGGAGGTCGAGGATCTCTTTGCGAAGTCCAACTATCGCGTGCCAGGCGTTGTTCGGCGTCTGTGGCATCAGCACCTCAGGACTGAGCAGGTTGACCTTCTCCAGTGGCGGGTCACGCTCGTGCTGGCCGTCACGAAGTGTTAAGATCGGGGCATCAAGCGACTGCTCTGGGATGTCCTTCGGCCAGTCGGGGTTGTTATTCCGGAACTGAACCTTCTCCACCAAGCTGTTGTAGTTCTTCTGCAGATCGTTAATCTGTAGCTGCTTAGCTCTCAATTCGATGAGATACTTGGTGAGCGCGCCATCCGGAAGAGTTAATTTTGCCTCATTCGGTACGTCAATTTTGCCTGGAGTAGCAGGAAGCACACGACTTCCACTTGGATTTGTAGTAGAATGCCCAGGTGGCATTTTATTGACCACCACACGAATCTCATTGGGTCGGGTGCTGGGCGCCGGAGTTGGCGCGGGCTCGCTGTCCCAGCCCGGACCTTCGTCACATACGGGCGGTGAGGACGGCGGCGACGTAACGGCTTCGTCGCACAGGGGTGGCGACGGCGGCGGCGACGCGACGGTTTCGCGGTTTTCTTTGTTTGCCTCCCGTTCTGCAACGAACGGCGGTCCTGCGCTGCTGTGCCTGTTGCTTCGGTTTGTTCCAGGCGGCTTGGGCTTCTCCACAACGAGGTCCAGATAGAATTCAGCCGGCGTCTTCTTGACGGGCTCGGGCATCTGTCGAAGAGTAACGTACAGCTGAATTTATACAGAAATAATAAAATAGAGACGAGAGGCACACACATTTGCACCTATTTCCGCATCACCCTGTACCTACTTAAAAGCTATTGTCTATGATGCCCAGATGGCTTGTGCACTTAATGCACAGGATACCTGTCGGCTTTGTGGGAGAAGCAGGTGTCGCTGGAAAGCTGTCCCGATCTGAGCTTGCTAGAGAAGTTGTATGAAATTATCTATGAGGGGGAGGGCAGCTTGACGGTAACAAGCCGCTCTCCAATAACCAGCAGCTGACTAAGGTTAGCGTGGAAAACTGTCCCGAGTTCTCAACTGAAGCGTCTAGTCTCCAGTATGGAGAAATGGATGTTGTGAGTAACGATGATTGGTGAGCGAATAAACCCGAAATTTGAGAACATGGAAGATTCTACGGCGCTCAATTATAATCGCAAACGTTTGATGACATGAGAAACCAACCGAGCTTTTGGGATGCCCTGCATATATGCATATTGCACAGCCTCCTCTGCAAGCTTAAACACTTTTTCACCTAAGTCTAATAAAAAACTGATTATTTAGTAAAAGATGTGGCAAAGTAAAATTGTAGCAAAGTGAAAAGGCTCAAAATGCTCTGGTCTTACTCTTAACACGCCTTTAAGGCAAGGCTTGGGAGGAGATGGGGGCATTCCCTGGCGTTTTTTCGCAATAACTTAGACAAGCTCTAGACCAGTAAAACGCCTTTTGGGCGAAGAACGAGCGAGCGAGATAGTGAGCCCTGCATGCGCGGAAGGGCGAGAGGGTACCTCCAACGGGCTTGTCCAAAGCACCCTTCTAACCGGTCGCTAGCGGTGTGCCAAATTTGAACGCAATCGGCCCAGCCGTTCCGTGCAAACGGGGCCCAAACTGACTTTTGCACGGCACCCTACTAACCGGTCCCCAACCGTATACCAAATTTGAGCGCAATCGGCCCAGCCGTTCTCGAGATCTGCAAGCGCGCCCTGCACGTGCGCACGTGCAGTAGCACCCTAACCGCAACACCTGGGAATGCATTGCCTGGTGGGTGCCTACCTGTATGCCAAGTTTCAGCGAAATCGCCCCAGTAATTACCGAGTTATTGAAATGGGAACAAATTTGGCACCTCTTCTTTTTGCATTTTGCACGTGCACTCACATAGATCAAGAGTATCCGAAACTGTGGTAGAAGGGATGCAGCTACCCTACAAAAATTACCGCAACCAATCGCCAAAGAGGCTGCTGAGATATGAGCCTTCAAAATCACTACTTTTGCCAAACAGCTTAAGAACACTCTTGACTTTTCACGTGGCACGTGCCACGACGGTCACTGAGATGTATCAAAAGTAGTCAATTACGGGGTAGAAGAGATGGGGCTACCCAGCAAAAAAGACCGCAGGCCAATCGGTCCAGCGGTTGCTGAGATATAAGCCTCTCAAAAGCGTTACAGGCCGGGCCGGGCCGCTCATACTGAGATTTTCCCGTTATATTGAAAAGACTTCGCTCGCTGCGCTCGCTGGCTCGTAACAACCAGACAATCTACGGATTATGCGTAAAATTCTGCTCGGTCTAAAAATACCGAGATTTGGAAGCACTACCAGGAAAATGCGTCGCAAAACGCAGGGCACGTTTGGAAAAGTTGGAAAAGGCTAGCTCCCGAGACCTCAGAACTTTTATGTCTTTTACTTTTTACAAAACACCCGAAGCAGGCCAGTCATGTGACCCCTAATAATAACTCGGGTTGGGGGTGGGGGCGAATAAGTACTGCTGATTCTGCCGACCCAAACCGCAAAATTCCCGCACTAACCTTAGACGAGCTCTGCTTCCGTGCCACCTGTACCGGCTTTGCCTTGTCACGCCTGAAAGAAGAGGCGAGAGGCGTTACTCAAAACGAATAGAAACGGTCTTGCATCTAGCGGAGGGCTGGCGATACACAGCTGGTACTGTCCCCACACAATATAACATGACTTTTTCATCAATAGCTGGTAGCCAAATTCAGTCAGCGAAACGGGGAAGGTAACCATGATCTCAGAAAGAACTACCGAATCGAATGAGACAAAAACGACCATCCCAGAAAACAGCTTCTGACCGGATCTGGCAAAAACCACAATTTGCTCAACAATCAAAATGGCACTTTTTAAAACAAAGTGTTATGCATATCATTAGATTGGTCTGGACAATACAAACAAGATGAAAGATTACGCCATTGACTTCACTTCACAGGTCAACAATAAACCTAAAACTGTGGAGTTTGGTGCTAATCGCTGCAATCCGTATAGGCAAACATGCTCGTTTCTTCTTTAAAGCTCCAGCTCCATTAGGAGCAAAACGGCGAGGGGATTGTACCCATAAACTCCCTCAGTGGCAAAAAGCTTGAATCGAAACCCTCCGTGGGTAGGTACGTCAAAAGCCGATATATCTGGACATAGTGGACATGCAGATGTTCTGCGTAATATATTCTTCAGAAAGTGAGGAGCGTAACTAATAGAAACTTCACATTTCTAAACATGAAAATGACCTAAGGGACACAGCTAACCTTAGACGCAGCGGCACGACTCAAGTCGTCGGGTAGCATGCTATGTGCGTGCTGCGAAACTCACGGACAGACTGGCGTAACTGACTCCAAAACGCCAGTCGTCACTCTTAATAGTATAGGCTAGTTCCGAGTTCGTTCTGCATTAGAGTCTCCGTCACTATAACAGTGTTTGCCCATAGGCGCCCAGTCGGTAGAGCACTGAATCCCCTAATGAGATCCACAATTGGTGGAAACAGCCACATCCAGTTGGTAAGATTGACGGTGTCTGGCTAATCAGGGATATGGTTAGCTTTTCTGTCAATTTAGCTCGAATGTTTCTGTGGACGAATTGGCACTGAGCTGGAACCCACGCTAATAAGAGCCTGTGGCATGGGACCCCGAACCCTTCCGTACGATTGGGCAATGCTGGGTAACAGGAGAATTCAGCTAACAAAGTTTGGTGTGTCAATTAAACCCGGACATGATCTCCCGGGCTCACATCACCAGTAGCCCAATGCTCTACTAACTGAGCTATGGGACTATGGCATCCAACCTTTTCCAATTCAACCAGACATTGCCTAATCGGATGGAAGGGATTGCTGCACTAGCAGGTTTGGCAACAAGCTCTTGTTAGTGTGGGCTCCCGTCCCAGCAAGTCTTGCATTCAAACAATGAGATAAACTATAAAAAACCTTTACATTTTGTGCATATTTTAGTTGAGCCAATAATAGGTATTGAACATTGAAAGCAAAAATTATCCAATTGGCTGATAAACACCAACGAAAAATTAGTGAGCATGCATCCATTGCCCAAAGCTTCGACTTAGTGCACACACAAATACAGTCCATTGCAAAATACAAACAATGTGACTTACTGAACCATGCTGATGTAGACCTTTGTAAGAGGAAGAGCGCCAGTCCTCAGCGAAACGCCAGTGGGCTTTTCTATGATGTCTTTCTTGTCAAAATGAGCTGAACAAAGCTTTGGTGGCTTATTTGCAAGCAGCTTCTTATTTGTACAATGCTGTCGCCAGGCATTGAGCCTAGAAGGCATTGTAATTTAGTCAATACTCAACATAGCATGAATTAGAATAGTAAAAAGTAGAAATGGGATAAAATCTTTCAATTGCAATAACAAATAAGAATCAAAGTGTCCATAGCTATTCATGAAAAGTGAGATTGATTGCAAGGTCAGGTCAGTTTTCATGCCACATCTTATGATGCATCATGGAATGGTTTGCTTTGAGATGCATAGTGGCTTATACCTGATTCAAGAAATGCAAAAAAAAAATATGAGACACGATGGACAATGACTTTGTACCTGCACTTCATCTGAAGAAAATGTGCAAATAAAGAAGCAAATGAGAAATGAGATAGGTACTTACTGAGCAGGGTCCTTTGGGAAGTCAAAGAAAGACGATTCTGGAGAATTCTCCTTGGTTTTGCCACATCCTGGCATTACACATGTGATGTGTTTTAGATTTGAACTCATTTTACTTTTAGGTCCTTCTTTCTTCTCTTGCTTTTCTGGTTCCTTCATCATCTGTGAACATATAAATTATAGAATCTAACAGCCACAATACAGAACACAGTAGCAGCCCACTAGGCACTAGTCATGTATAAGCAGCGCCACAATTGTAGATCGGACCTTATCTTGAAAAATAACACACTTTCTACTGAAATTTAACAGACTCATGGATGTTAGAAATAATATCAAACTCCTACAATGACCACACATAGAAGATACTCAAGTGATACTGTGATCATGAGATACTCTCTATTCAATGATGAACGGGAAGAGGATGCAGAGGAGAGAAAGGAGAAGCTGCATTGTTTATGGAGAACCCGTCAAAAACGACAGGAAGGGTTCATATCCCCCTCCTGGCGCCATCCTGACCAGACCTACCGGTTGATTCTCCCAAGTGTGGTTGAAAGATCGAAACATTTTTGCAAGATAGTGAGGTATATTGCATGGCAAATTGATTGGGCTTGTTGCATGTGGCAAAAAGCATGTCTGAACCGAGGGGCAGGTCCAAGCAGCCAGTGAAATCCAAAATAGGGCCCCCAGGAGATGCGCCACGTATGTCTAAGAAGGTGACATTCGAGGACCAGGCAGCAAAGGGTAGTGAGAATGCAAACTCTGAGGGACCCTTTTTGTGCAGGGGTGGCCAGAACAGTAAGTGTGGAAAGGATATCAAGGAGGACACCTGCATCTGTTGTGATGTATGTGAGACATGGTACCATACAAGCTGTCAGTTAAAGTCCGTAGAAGAGTTTGAGGTGATCCGTAGGTTCGGGTTCTTCTGGGTCTGCTCTTTTTGCCAACAAATACTGCCTAGTCTGCTTAACCAGTCCAAAATGACGGATTGTGTAACTAGGGCACTGGATGATTTCAGGAGTGTGCTGTTGGGTCAGGGTGAGTCTGTGGCAGGGGTTGCTTCAAGCAGCAGAGACTTATGCAAAGTCCAAGAGGCAGCGTACACCGATTTCAAGCGACAACTGGAAGAGCATGAAAATCTGATACAGGCATGCCACACAGCAAGCTCCGAGCAGGCCAAATTAATTGAAGAAACTGTGCAGCGGATTGAAGTGAAAGTCACAGTGCAGGAAGAAAAAGCAGAAGCCACAAAAGCAACAGAGCTAGAGCAAAGGAGGACGTATGCAGAAGCTGTGAAGACACTGGAAAAGAAACTAGAAGAGTTGTCTGGTACACCGAGACCTGCTGAGGATAACCCGGAGGCAAGTTTGGCAAAAACAGTTGGCAGCTTCTTTGACAAAGAGAAGAGAAGAAACAACATTGTGATACACAATCTTCCTGAGAGTTCTAACCAAAACTCCAAGGAACGAGCACAGGAGGATGTCAGGAAAGCAAAGAATATCATCGAAGAGGAGCTGCACATCAAAGTGAACATCGTCAAGGCCTTCAGGGCAGGTAAGATCCAGCCTGAGAGGCCACGTCCGTTGATCGTGACGCTGGAAGATGAAGAAAAGAAATGGGATATACTCAAGCAGGCACCTCAACTCAGGGGTCATCATGCATATGGAACTGTGTACTTGTCACCAGATCGCACTCCAGAAGAAAGGGAAAAGGACAGAAAGTTACGCCTCGAGGCAAAGAGACTAAGAGAAGAGGGTAAGGTTGTTCGCATCCAAAGGGGAAAAGTGGTGGTGATAAGTGATGCGGGACAGCAAACAACAAACGTCCACCAAAACCAAGGTAGCAGAGTCTGACTAAAGGGTCAGCATGTAAAGGAAGTCTACAGGCTAGCCTGCAGGTATTTTGCATGCCCAGGTCCAGAGGGTGCTAAAGCTGCTTATGATGCATGCTTGAAGATTCAGCATGAGCATGTCTGTGTCTGTGATGCATGTGAATTTTCCAAAAGAAAGGGGCATGTATCTAACTTGTCATGGGACACTGCACACAATGATCAGCCAAAGAAAGAAGTAACACAATCAAAAAATGTAAATCAATTGAAAATACTGTACACAAATGCAGATGGTCTTCCAAACAAGCTGGATGAATTAGCATTGCTGGCTGAAAACTGTGCGTGGCCAGATGTGATAGTCTTAACAGAGACTATCCCTAAAGCCCAAATCAGACCACTTGCACTTGGATGCTTCACAGTTGGGGATCATTATGTGCCCTATTTAAACTTTGATTCAAGCCAGCCAGGACTAGGTGCATCTGGTAAGCAGGGCATTGTGGTGTTGGTCAAGGAAGATATAAGGGCATCTGAGGTTAGCTTCCCTGGGCAATTTGAAGAATCCATTTGGATGCAAATTGAGCCTGTAAAGGGTGAAATCCTCATTCTGGGAGCCATCTACCGTAGCCCAAGCAGTGATGGACGAACATCAACAGACGCCCTCTGTGAGCTAATGAAAACAGTAAGCCAAAGTAACCCAAGCAGTATCGTAATTACTGGCGACTTCAACTATCGTGAAATCAACTGGAAGCTAGGAAAATCTGAAGCACCTGATAGCCATTATACCCACAAGTTCCTGCATACTATGCAAGACTGCTTTCTCATACAACATGTTGAGGAACCAACCCATTTTATGCCCAACAAGTCACCTAGCACTCTAGATCTTATCTTCACATCAGAGGAAGGTATGGTAGCAGATCTCAAACACCACTCGCCTCTGGGAAATAGTCACCATGATTGTCTTGTATTTACTCTCAGGTGTAAGACTGAGCTGGTAAAGGGCAACTCTCAAGCAAAAGACTTCAAGAATGCAGATTTTCCAGCAATGGTCCAGGCTATCCGAAACTCAGATATTATGAGCAGACTACAGCTCTGTGATGCTGATTCAGGCTGGGAGGAACTTCTGGCATTGATGCATGAGGCTGAAAAAAGGCACATTCCTTTAAGAAGTGTACCTAAGAAGAAGCGCCAACCTTACACGAACAGTGCTCTCCTGCGTGCAAAAAGAAATAAGGACAGGTTGTATCAACTGCACAGGAGGTCCAAATCTGAGCAAGATAAGCAAGATTATAAGAGAGCAAAGAATGTGCTAAGAAACCTAACCAGAAGACTGAGACGGAACTATGAAAGCCAGCTGGCGAAGCATGTGACTCAAAACCCAAAGGTCTTCTGGAAATATGTTAGCTCAAAAACAAAAGTGAAAGCAAGAGTTGAGACCCTGTTAAGAGGTGATGGGACCAGTGCTATCACAAGTGAAGAGAAGGCCGAGGTACTGAATAACTTCTTCAGCAAAGTGTTTACGGATGAGGACACCAGCGACATCCCAGAAGTTGATCCAAAGTTCAATGGAGAACCACTGACCAGCATCAGGGTACAAGAAGAGGAAATTCGAAGGAGACTGGAGGCCCTGAACTGTAGCAAGTCCCCAGGACCTGATGGGCTACACCCGAGAATGCTGAAAGAGTTGGCCATCCCTCTCTGTACTGCTTTCAAGACGATTTTCCAGCGATCTATTGACACAGGAGTCCTGCCAGCTAAGTGGAGGGAGGGAAATGTGGTCCCGATTTTTAAGAAGGGAAACAGAAGTCTGCCTGGCAACTATAGGCCAGTGAGCCTCACCTCAATTGTCTGTAAGCTGCTGGAATCTCTTGTCCGAGATAGACTACTGGACCATCTCCTCGAGAATGACCTCCTTACCAATGACCAGTTTGGGTTCCTGCCTGGAAGATCATGTGCCCTGCAGTTACTGTTGGTGATTGAAGAGTGGCTTACCATCCTGGACAGGAAAGGTGCCGTGGACGTGGTTTATCTGGACTTTCAGAAGGCGTTTGATCGCGTGCCCCACCAGAGACTTCTAAGGAAGCTGGAGGCGTATGGCATTGGAGGGGACCTGCTCCGCTGGGTATCAGCCTTCCTAACCAACCGGAGGCAGAGAGTCATGGTAGAGGGCGTTTGCTCGAACTGGACGCGGGTCGGCAGCGGCATCCCTCAGGGCTCTGTACTGGGACCACTGTTGTTTCTAGTCTTCATTAACGACCTCCCAGAAGCCGTCAGAAGCCGTTCTATGCTTTTTGCAGATGACACCAAGCTCTACCAGGAAGTGACCAGCCTCCAGGACAAGACTCTCCTCCAGCAAGACATTGATGCCTTGGGGCACTGGGCAGACAGATGGCAGCTTCCCTTTAACCAAGAAAAGTGTAAGCTGATGCACCTGGGATCCTCTAACGAATACTTTACCTACCAGATGAATGGATCCACCTTAGCTCAAGTGCACACGGAAAAGGATCTTGGACTTGTCATTGATGAAGACCTCAAGTTTCATGAACAGGTGGCAGCTGCAGTGGGTCGTGCGAACAGAGTTCTTGGTCTGGTGAAGAGGTCGTTCAAAGCCCTAGACAGTCGATCTTTGCCTCTCCTCTATCGGACTCTGGTGCGCCCTCACCTTGAGTACGCGAACGTGGTGTGGGGACCTACATTCAGATCGGACCAGGATGCCATTGAGAGGGTCCAGAGAAGAGCTACTAAGCTGGTTCGTCCCTTGCGTCACCTTCAGTACCAGGATCGACTTCGAGCCCTGAACCTCCCCTCCATGTACTATAGAAGGATGAGAGGAGACATGATAATGGCATACCAGATCCTGACAGGATGCCTGAGGGTGAGAGTAGCCGACCTCCTGCAGCTCGACACCTCAGATCGAACGCGTGGTCACCATCTAAAGCTGAAGAAGAGACGAGTGAACTCCCATCTTCGCCAGACCTCTTTCTGTCACCGCATTGTTGACAGCTGGAACAGCCTCCCTGCAGATGTCGTCGCGGCACCGAGCTTGAACACATTCAAGAATCGTCTCGACAAGCTGTGGGCGAACAGGAAGTATACCCTGCGGACTGACCAAACATGCGGTGCCAGAATGAGCTAAAGAGCTACATGGTTGATGTAAGGGAGAAGTAAATGACCGGATTCCTACAGGTCCTTGTTGACCGTCCTCAATCCGTAACCTCTATTCTATTCTATTCTAAGGGCCATGAACAAAGGCAGAGACATGCAGCCTTTATCCTTATCCTTTTCCCAGTATCCCTTCAACCAGATAAGGCACCTATGGCCGGGGAGCCGATGCAAGGGCTATTCCCCGGAACTCATCTGCATCTGCATCTGGGCCGTTTCACCGGTGATAGCAGCACGCTGCTAGTACACGTCAAATTGGGTTTCCATGGAATCATCAACAAACCATGATGTTGTCAATCTGTGTGATGTCATCAAATATCACTGCTAACATCTTCACGGCCGTGCAATCAAACAAACTTCTCAAAAGCATTCAACGAGACAGCAATTCTGTTCCAAACGCAGCTATGAAAAAGCTCACGGATTACATGAAACGTCATTAGTATGACGTCATCACATTGAGTCAGCTCGCACAATTTGATAGCAGTATGCTACTATCACAGGTGAAACAAGGCCCTGGACGCATGCTGAAATTTTCGGCGCAATCTCACCATTACGCCGAAGTCTGAACAATAGTCAAGTGACACCAGCTTTACTAATACTATGTTATGTATTAGTTAATATTTTACATTTACATTGTTGTTTGTTAGTCGTGCTAAAGCTCGTATTACTGATTATGTAATAAATTCACATCAAGATCACTGTTGGCTGTTTACTTTAGCTTGCTTTTTTAGTCTCATTACAATTACAATTAGGGGTTGTGAGTGCAGACTGCAGAGTGAATATTCCTACACTGGAACCGAATTTCGATATCTCATTTTGGCTGAAGGAGCCTTTATACAAAAAAGCGGTAAAAATGCACAAAAAGATGAAAAATACAGCGCAATACACAAAACACCACACGATCCTGGCGCAACAAGTTTAAGGTTACGAGAATGGCTGTGTCTCATGGAATAGCTTTGATTGTCTTTTCTTACTATAAAATTTCTTATTTTCTTTTTTTGTTTTTAATTTTTGTCCCATTTAGCATAACTAAATTTTTTTAAATCAAAATATTATTGATGAAACATAAAACGTTTTCAAAATAACGCAATATAGGCTTATAAACTTTAGTTAACGTCATTATTAGGTCATTATGTTGTTTGTCTCAGAATATTCAAAATACTAACAAAATACAAAACCTTGGAAAAGCGCGCGTTTTGTGAAAAGGCAGTGGCTCGGCGGTGGGTTATGGCGATTTATTAGGCCTGTTCCAGCGCCTCCAGAAGAAATTCTTGACTGGAGGCTCTACCAGAGGTTTTACTGGAGGCGCTGGAACGCAATCTGGAGATTTCTGGAGATTGGCGTCATAGATATTAGATACCAAAAGAATGACGATTGTTCTCTCTTGAAACGCAAAATTTGTTTTCAATTTTAGTTAAAAAGATAAATAAAATTATAGCAATGTAATTTTCTTTACATTCAAGTTGTAAAATAATCAGTCAAATGTCCTTTGTTTACATTCGTGATTGTCACATGTGCACCATAATTGTAGACCAGAGCCTCCAGAGAAATTTGGACCTCTCAACTCTCTGGAGGCTACTGGAGGTTTCTGGAGCTTTGGCGAGAGCTTTCTGGAGCTTTCTGGAGGCGCTGGAACGCTCTCTGGAGGATTCTAGAGTTTTCTGGAGCTTTTCTGGAGGTTTCTGGAGGTGCTGGAACAGGCCCTAAATTTAAGGAAATGGCTTTGAGTTATAAATCGTGATCATGGGTGTATCAGTACACCTATCCGTGCTTCTATCCTCAGGATACTGAAATCCTTCTCCTCCACGCCACAACCCCCTCCGGGCTGGACAGGCAACTTTATCTCATGCGGGCTGCTCCCTTGGAGCGGCACCGCTGCTCCTGAGGGAGCGCACCCCGTAGCCGGGTGCAGTGAGTGCCTTGGGGCTGGGTGGCCTGTCCTCTGGACGGGCTCAGCCCCGGCGATTCACTAGGGTGCCTGCCCAGACCAATGTCTCCCCCTAATTCCTATCATCCTTCCGGCTCTGCAATGGTCTTGTCGACCGAAAGGGCCTAACCCAACAAAACAAAACAAAGTGTATCAGTATACTGCATTTATGACTCTTTCGTCGGCGTGCCGCGTGCCTACCTACAATCAACTGTAAACAATTAACAAAGCTAAGGCTAAGGTTGATGGCCCTGTCCTTATCAGTCGGGGAAACTATGGTAAAATCTGCTATTTTTAGCAGTCTGCTATTTTTAACGGAAATCTGCCAAAAATGGGTAGGTACGCATGTGACGTCATCGTACCCAAATCTAGCAGATTTGGGTACGGCCCCATACCAAAGCAGATCTGCACCCTAACTGAAGCAAATGCGCATCAAATGGCTGGCAGGTTCATGATGAGAATGGAACATGAGAATAGTGCTGAGAGTGATCTCTGCTATTTTTGTTCAGATCCGACTATTTTCAAATTCATTATTTGAAAATAGTCGGATCTGAATGAAAATATCAGGAAATTCTCAGCACTATTCTAGTCATGAATCTGCCAGGCATTTGATGCACATTTGCTTCAATTAGGGTGCAGATCTGCTTTTGTATGGGGCCGTACCCAAATCTGCTATATTTGGTTACGATGACGTCACATGCTTACCCATTTTTGGCGGATTTCTGTCAAAAATAGCAGACTGCCAAAAATAGCAGATTTTACCATAGTTTCCCCGACTGTTATCATTATGCGCTACCTTACCTTCCACTTCCCTTTCCTTACAGTCGTCGTGTTTATGGTAAGGCCTGTAGCAGTAGGCCCCGCTCTCATCGAGCTCCATGGTTTGACAGCTCAGCTGTCTGGTGTTTGGTACGAGAGGTGGGCCCAGTGGGCATCCAGACTCGCGTTGAAGGTGTTCAGTAAGTAAGTAAGTACCTATGTCACCTCGATTGCGCCTATAGTAAAGTGATGGTAGACAAAGCTTCCGCAGGCGTTCTTTATAGTGTAAGTGTCTGATGTTCTGATACGTGTTGCCCCTCGCTGTAGGTACCTACCCTTTCCAGCAGTTTCTGGTCCATGCGGTTGAACGGACCCCAAACATGACTGCCGAGAAATTGAATAATGAATGCAGCCTAGGTCTGTCTGGATTGATGCCAATTGCCAACTGCTCCTCCACTGCCTTTCCTCTGGCTTCTATTGGGGCGTGGGCGCTCTTTGGATCTATTGCGGTTAACATATAGCTAGGTGGAAGGTGAATCACTCTTTGGCTGATAATGCCCAACCAGTGGTGACTGGTGGATGAGAGGTATATTGATGGTGAAGCTTAATCTAAAGCTGAGTGAGTGCCATGCCCTGTATGCAGTAGGGACACCAGGGCAGGACCATCAAGTTGTGAGTGGGTTCAGGTTGACACCGGCAAGCCTGTTGCCACCTTCATGGCTGCTCTCAAGTATCAAGTATCAGCTCCCCTTAGATCAGCAGCAGATGAATCTCAGAAGTCAGAAGCGACGCTTATTTATCTCATTTTTATGCCAGGGGCAATCATTTCCATGGTCTGGCTCACTGCTCTAATGTATCAGTCAGCAGCTGTGCCAAGTCTCGCTGTTTTAACGCGCGCCGGGCTGGGGGGGGGGGGGTGTTTGAACACACACACCCTGCGGTTTTTCGCAGATATCTCAAAAACGGCGGGGCACACCTGTTTGTGCATCTTTTCCGCACATGTGAAAATTTCAGACCCAGGTCGCCTTAGGTCAGGTCACCAGGTCACGCCAAGTGACCTCCCCTCAGAAAAAATAAGAATGCTCGTCATATCTACACCGATTGATCGATTGCCTTGAAACTTTGAGCGATTGATAAGAGCAACATTATCTATAAAATGTTTATCTCGGAATTTTGATATCGGTGACCTAAGGTCAGGTCAATTTTGCGGCCTCTCCAATTATAAGTCAATGGGATAAAATTGAAAAGCGTCTGTTTTGCACGAACGCTATTCTAGACACTCAATCATCGAGATGTAGGTAAAATTGACACACTGAACCGGAAAATGGCAATTGTGACCCCTCGTTATGTCCCCGAGGTCATTTCAGGTCACGAACAGAAGCTAGCAGTTTTTCGCTAATAACTTCTGATAAAGGCGGGCTAGAGCGCTGAAAACGCTTTAGATGTGTTCGGCTCGACGTTGCGGATCGACTGATATGCAACATGACCTTTTCCGGTAAGGTACCTTGACCTGAGGTCAAATTTTTCAAGTTGACCTTTCAAGGGCAAATTATAGTTCATTTGACGCGTCTCGACGAGAGGAACACGATGCTCGCAAAAGTAATGTCATGGCTCTTTTGAGTCAAAAGTTATTGCCGAAAAAAACGTTTTTCGTAAAAACGGCTATTTTTGGAGTTTTTGCCCTCTGGAGGCTAAACCGTTGACATGAGATCAAATCTGAGAACATTATTCAGAAAGGTCTGTAAAAGGGCTATCGAATGCGCTTTTCCGCGGCGCTGTAGCTCTATTGGTTCCCGAGATAGCCGTCGGCAGTTTCCAAAATGTTGAAATAGTCAACATTTTACCTTTGTGGTGACCCGACCTTTGACCTGACCCAAAAAATGACCGAAATGTTTTCGTCCTCATTTTGGACGTTCTTTCGATTGCCGCTTACCGCGTGTCGCTACGTGGCCCAGGAGCCGAGCTAGAAGAGGTGGGCGGTGTTCAGCCCCCCCCCCCCCGGCCCGGCGCGGAATCTCAGAGCACCGGCCCGGCGCAGGTTAATGTCACTTCGTGGGTACGTATCCGTATGTCCCACGTATCTGTATGAATACGGCCGTAACAAAGACGAGAACTGAAGCTATGCTATCAGACTATGTAACCATTTGTGGCTTTTTTACACAGGTACGACAATGGAGCAGGAAATGCGGCGACTAAAGAGACTCTTCAAAGATCCAAATCCTCTATTCACGGCATGGCTGACAGAATGGAGGGAAGAGGCAGACAGAAAGGACTCCAAGATGAAATATGTTTATGGAGTGGTGCGTATTAAAGTTTGAATGCACACTCAAATTTATCTGTCATCTAGACATGGAATGGACACACCTAGGCCAAAGACAATGTGTCATGACTCATTGGTCATTACTCATTGGATCGGTCGATATCACGATAGCTGCTGCTAAGATCCATAAAAAGTAAGGTAAAAGCAAAATGGAAGCAAAATCGGTGTAACATCCTCACCATTATCAGCAGTCGTCGGATGCTTTTAATTTAAACTGGGACCAGTGGCTGATAAATGGTGCGTACTGCGCGTGAACTGATATCTATGGAGTGACACTTCATACACAGTGTTGGTGACCTCATTGCCTGACATTGGGGTAGTATGTGGCGACGCTGCATTGTGAGCGAGTAGCGACCCAGGGGTGGCAATTTAGCGTTTACTGCACTCCACTCAGCATATGACCATACGGTAACTCACCCTTCGTCCCATCTCTTCATTCACAGGCACTAAAGTCACTGCGGCAATACCCTCTTCCGCTCACCTCGGGGAAGAGCTGTAACATTCTGAAAGGTTTCGGCGCCACTCTCTGTGCCCGACTGGACCAGAGGCTTCAGGAGCACATCGAGGAACATGGTAGGTTTGGGCCGGGAAAGGTAGGATGTCTCGTCGCGAAATGGACCCTCATGACTCGAGTAACATGGAAAACCTCCTCACTCCTCTGTCTGACAAGCATGGCTTCCGGTGACATTGATGAATGAGCGTTCTGACGAACCTCGGCTAGAAACAGAATTCGACTAGAAACACGTAACAACAAGTTATTTACGATGTAACGACCTGTCTCCTGGGAGCCAGAAGCTCATGTCGCGCGATGCCTCGACTCAATATCCAGCCATCCGTCCTGTTCTAGTAGTCTGACGTTGAATTCCTCACCCAGCCCGAAGGTCCGCTGCCTGCCCTCGGCGTGTTAAATACCTATCCTTCCACCCTGTGTGCATAGTGTGACATATTTAATCCATCGTCCGGCCCGAAGGTCCGCTGCCAGCACTCGGCGTGGCAGACCAGGTGGAGCTGGAGCGAGAGAGGCCAAAGGCGCCCGCGAAGAAAAGGACGCCGAAGCCGGCACCGGTGGCCGCCCCGAAGCCCTCCTCTGCAGAGCGAGATAGGGACTCTCCAGTAGGAAAGGTGGGCAAGGTGAGTGTAAAACACAGTCCCTGACGGTCAGTGGTCACTGCCGATGGGGGACGCGCTGCGCCGAACGGTCACACTGCATGGAAGCTTACATGTAGGATGAACAAGATCATTAGTTTAGGCTGCTTTTTGTTTCTTCTATGCACAAAGACAAACGTATTTTGACCATCCATGGGATTCGCTCTTACAAGTAGATTTGTGACCGCCGCCTGCTAAGTTGTTTGTGTTACATGATATGCCTCAAATCGATTTATGCTTCCTTCCAACATTGGTGGCATCAACTGCTCAGAACACTCGTAGCTCCAAATGCATTCAATATCAATGTCTAATTATGCCGTTGCCTCGCCTTGCTTTGCTGGATGTATTTTTCGGCTGGTGACTGTGTTTTCGATCCGTTCCTCAGCGCGGTCGGCCGGCCGGCGAGTACCGCCCCAAACCGGGATCGGGTGGGTTCGCTCTGCTGGTGGCTCTCAGGCGGCAGGAGAAGCAGCAGGGATACGCCGGTAGGGCTGCCGTGCCGAGTGCACAACACTGAGGCGCAGGACTCGTGAAGGAACGGCTCGGTCAACAGTCTGAATTAGTTGCCCCAGACAGCGTGATGATTCAAAAATCGAGTTAATAAGTTGACCGGGAATCGGTATGTTTTGTTTTCGGTGAACATTGGCCGTAACGTTTGTCTCAAAAGTCAAAGGCATGACGGACTTCGAGGCTTAGTTTAGTGCTGGATATTACGCTGTTATTTACATGCATAATGAATGAAAATTGGGTCCTCCATCGCATTGTATGTGCTAAGCGGTCCGTGGACTGCCTTCTGAGTATATTACCGCCGTCCGGAAGGGTTCCTGCGTAAGGCCGCACTCCAAGAGGCAGCCCAGCCGCTCTGTAACGCCTCACTGACGCTGCCGGAGGCGGGAGGCTACTACACCGCCTGGAGCACTATGGGCACCCTGGTCAAACGCAAACTGGTGCGGCGCGAGGGTAACCCGGCCAGGTGGGTCACTGTGCGACGGGGTGGATCGACGCTGAAAACTATTTCGTATTAACATATCGGCAACTTTTTGGTGAAGGAGCAACTGTCAGGTTGAAATTACTGGCCAATATTTCACCAAATGTCTTCGTACTATCATTAGGTATCCACCGTGAGTGTTTATCCTTCTCATTTACCGCTGCAGTTTTGGTTTGGCCCTGACATTCGCTGCCTCTGTTCACTCAGGCTGTTTGACCCCGTCCTGCCGCCTCCCCTCTCCCCTCAATTCTCACAGGTTCGGCTTGACACTTCTCCCTCCTCTCACTATCGCTTCCACAGGTTCAGTCTGACTGACGTCGGTCGGGAGGTGGCCGACCGTCTCGACTCCTCCCCGTGGACTCTGCCCAGCCAGCGCGAATGTTTTGACCGTCTGACTGGGATGTCACCCCCGTCCGACTGCACGGGATCTAGCCCGGTCAGGGGGGCACCGCCAGTTGCCGCCAGCAGTAGTCGACCAGCCGAGCCGCGCACAGGTCAGCGCGCGGGCTCAGGGTCCTGACAGGGGCATGGACACACTGTCAACTGTCAACAATTTTATAAGGATTTCTGTCTTGTCTATTGACATGGGCTCGGGCTCCTACTGTTCTAGTGTTCTACACAAATACACGGGTCGCTTGGGAGACGCTGGTATGCTGCGTTTATAAAATATGTTCTTAACCGGTCTCCACACGTCATTTCAGTTCCCCAGCGGCTACCTTCGGACACTGTCGCACCGTCCACTGATGGCCTGATGTACCAGTACATCAGCTCGGCCGGCGCCGCGGTCCGAAGCAAAGACGACGCTCAAGTGTCGGTTGATGGCGGCCGAGTGGGGTTCCTGGTGCGCTGCCGGCGGGACGCGCTGGACGCCAGTGGGCGCACCTACTGGACCGACCCCGACAGGTGAGAGTGGGGCTGAGGAGCGTCTGAGTGGTGGGATTGAGATTCCCTCACGACGGTTTTCTCATTTTTATTCACTTTAACCGCTGAGATAGGTCAAAGCGCTCAGCTCTGACCAGGTGCTATGCCGCCCCTGTATTCGGGCGGGATCTCTTGACTGGTTTTGCTGCTCCCTGGACCCTGACGCATTCTATCTGACGTCTGCTTTCAGACCGGAGCGGGATGGCATTGTGCACGTATTCCTCTCGGACGCAGACTGCGCCGAGGAGTGTCCATCAGGACCGCTCTCCGGTCCGTCTCCGCCGCCACCCGTCGCCGCTCGCCAGACCAAACTACACGACATGTCGGATTCCGACAGCGACGACGGCATGATGACCGCTTCCCAGTCGCTGTCAGCGTCAACGCCACGGTCCCAGTCCCAGTCTCAGTCCCAGTCACTGTCCCAATCTCAGTCCCAGTCCCAATTCCAGTCCCAGCGGCAAGCGCGGCCCCAGGTCGGGACATCCCTCAAACGTCAGTCTACGGACTGGCGAGCGGCACTGAAGCGGCTCCGTTCGGACATCTCGGCCGACTCCGGTCCGTCGGAGTCTGTGGCAGCGTCGTCCCGGCCGACGTCCTCATCCGGGGCGGCTTCGCTGTCCGATGAGGACTGCCACCTGCTCTCCGATGACGATGACGATGTCTTGATCACGGCGGCCGATATACCGCCCAGACCCTCACTGGAGAGAGCGACCATCTCACCCTCACCGACTAGGAGCGTCGGGTCTCCGCCGTTGAGTGGAGTGCGACGTACGGAGAGCGCCGTCTCTCCGGTTGCTAAGAGTGCGGATCGACTCAGTCCCCCACCTGCCGCAGTACTGATTAGGGAGCGGGCGGCGGCAGCGGCCGAGGCCAGAGCCAAGAGCCGCCCGCCTCCCGCCGCGGCAGGTAGCGGTGCCAGCCGGCCGCCGGCCGCTACTGGGGGCTCGTCTGAGCAGCGGCCGACTCCTAGCGCCTCTGTGCCCCGTCCGGTGGTGGTGGAGGACTGGCGACCGGCGGCGCCGACTTTCGCCACCGAGCGGCGACCACCGGAACCGGCGGCCGAGCTGCGCGACTTTACTCCCTCCGTGGTGCTCCGGCCGGGAACGTTCGACGTGGTGCTCTGCGTGGATAACCAGGAGACATCCGGCAAGTGAGTGAAACCAGACACTAGGACATCTTTTGGTTTTTATTCATCGTGAAATTATCCCTAAAATAAAGGAGAGCAGACATTTTACAGTCAGTCAGTCATACTTCACAGTGATATTCCATGCCAAAACAATCCGCATTATCGTCTTGCTGACACCCAGCTTGATCACCGCGTGACCGCTGGCTCCTTGGTCTGACCCGGTGGTCGGTCCCTTCCAGGTCGGGTCCGGGCGCCTGTCTTCGCACCTACCGGGACGTGGTGCTGGCTGAGCTGCAGAAGAACGGTGTGGTGGCTGACGTGCGAAAACTGAGCGTCGGAGACTTCCTGTGGGTGGCGCGGCCGCGCACCGGCAAACAGGTATGCAGAATGTGCCGAGCGTACCCAGCGCTCAGTGGATATTCTATATAGATATTGTGCCTTCAAGTGTTCATGTGTTTTCTATCTCACGCTGCAACCAACGCTTTGACCATCATTTGACCGCATTGCAACACCTAACCGCATTGACCCTCGTTCACCAGTCTTGCCAAATGGAGCCAATGATGTTTTTAATTCTGTATCAGTGTGCTGGAAATTGTTGATAGCTATTACCCTGCTAGTCCATAATGGCTGTGTGCAGTGCGTCTCCGGTTTCACTACAGCCTCTTTCCAGGTATGTTCTCCCTATCACAACATCTTCCTCTCTCCCGCAGCCAGAGGAGCTGATTCTACCGTACATTGTCGAGCGGAAGCGACTGGACGATCTGGCCTCGAGCATCCGCGACAGCCGGTACCGGGAGCAGAAGTTCCGCCTGAAGCGGTGCGGCGTCCCTAACGTTATCTACCTGGCGGAGGCGATGGGCACCGGGCCGCGAGCGCGTAGCGTCGGGTGAGTCTGTTGCCTGTGATGGCATACTGTGGGAACGCAGGAAATGGAGGGATCGGCGCAGCTAGAGTGATTGTTTATCACGCTTTCGGAAAACAGCTTGACTGCGTTGGACATGTTGACGGTTGGCCAATCCGGTACATCGACATTATGTTTGCACTGACACCACTGTTAACAACTTGTCAAAAGTTGCTGAGTACTAGTAGAATCAACGGCCTTGCCGGCTGGCTGTGACCGGCGTTAACCGCCCCACACCACCCTGACCAGTGACCACTCGCGCTCCTTTCCCGCAGCCTGCCCGAGTCGACCCTGCAGCAGGCACTGGCCAACTGTCAGGTGGTGGACGGGTTTCGGGTCAAGTGGACGGCCGACCAGCGCGAGACTGCTGCATTCCTCACGCTGATGACGCGCCGATTGCAACAGCGCTATCAGGTGGGTGCGGGAGGCCGGCGCTGGTCTGCGGATGGTTACGGCTAGACGGGTATAGCATGTCAGGAAATGTCTTATCTCCATCAGTACTTTCTGCCGACTGAGGTGATCCATTCTAAATTTACTGAGGCGATACGTACGCCAAACTGCCGTACCTTGTCCACATTTCTTGCCCCAGTGCCGACAGTTGGTGGGAAGGGGACTGGTTGAGTAGCTATTTCTAACTTGCGTCCCCTTTTCGCAGTACCGTCAGCTGGAGGGCTGCCCGCGGGAGCAGCTGCCGGCCGGTCCCCCGTCAGCCGGCGGCCCGGAGCGGCTGCAGCTGTTCAGCGAGTTCCACCAGCTGTCGGCCAAGCGGCAGCGGCTGACCGCCAGAGACATGTTCGCCAAGATGCTGCTCCAACTGTCGGGCTTGTCGGCAGACAAGGCGGCCGCCATAGTGGCCGAGTACCCGACCGTGGCGCGACTGCTGGAGGCGTACGCCGGCTGCGAATCGCAGGCCGAGGCGGAGAAACTGCTGGCGCCGCTCCGCGCAGACCGCTCCGGCCGGCCGGTGGGTGCTGCTATCAGTAAGGCCGTCTACCACCTCTACAGCGACCGGCAACTGACGTGATGGCGGGCGATGGCCGCCCAGCTATGACTGGCAGTTACGTGATGGTTGATGGATCCTGACGTGAGGACGAGAGGCTGCTGTCGTGCCAGCTGCAGCTGCCTTTACCGCGACCACAGTAGCCTGACATACTAGCGGCCGTCGACTTGCTGGTGCTGACGTTATACCCGTAATTACGGTAACTGCGTACCTTATGGACGTGGTGAGTTGCAACAGAAGAGTTTTGCCTTCAGACTTGGGAGTGCCTTGTTGTGACTCGTGAGAAGTGTTAACGGGTTTATCGACTGCCTTTTGCTGGCTGTGAGCTGTGGACGCCCGCCGCGATGAACTACAAGTGACTAAGTAGAGTGGTTGATTTCGAGCTGGCCCAGATCGGTCGTCAATGACGGCCTCTTCCATACCTCGCCGAGGTTCGTTCGGATCCGGATAGCTTTGCTTAAATATTGTTACCGCTCGACTTTACGTTCGTTTGTCGTAGTCTTTGTCAAAGCAGATGCTTCGAAGTGCCTTTACTGTCCAGCCATTTAAATCCGTGTATGATCTCGCCAAGATGCAATTTGCATTACGTTGTTAATAAAAAGAAAAGCCCATATGCGTTTCATTGCCATTCATTATGAATCCGACACATACCCTGCTCATTAAAGTCTCAAAATGAAAACAAAAGGGGTTAAAAATGTTGCCCATCCACAGCTACCAGAAGTCCTGCGCCGTGCCTGTTCCTAAGTCCCCTGCTGGACAAATATGGAGTGCCGATCCTAGGGGCGCACCAGTCCACAATCTTACAGCGTATCCCGAACACCAGCTCAGACGCCTAACGGCACCATTCTGCCGACAACATTGCGAGGCCGAGCCTTCCCTATCAGTGCACCTATCGGTTCCCACGAGATGCTAGCGACGCTCTCGACATACCGTCTCCGACGCCGGTCAGCGCTTGAACGATCAGAAGTCTGACTTGCCGACACGCTCAGCGGACTGCCACAGTCGCCGGTCAGTGCTGACTTTACGGCAGGCTATCTGGTCGCTGACACGTCTCCAGCAGTCCGTCCCTCAGCCGCCGGTTGGCGCTGACACGTTCAGCACCCCTCCCAGCGCGAGTATGATCAGCACCCAGAAGGCTCCCCAGGCCACCACGAGCGTCGGCAGCCCACAGTAGCCCACCGTCTTGGAGGCGGCAAAATCGCAGCGTCGGCGGCGACACTCTGCGCAGTGGCGGCGGGCGCGTGCGGCCACGAACGCGCAGACACACTGTACCGGGGCTGAGACGGTGATCACCGACAGACGGGAGCCGCGGCCGGAGTCGGTCGGCGCCGGCGCCTGAGGCAGCAGATGGCGGGGGGGGGGGAGGACGGGTTAGGGAGGTGGAGTCGAGGGGAGTGGATTAGAAGAGGCAGGAATGGATGAGAAAGCTGGGGCAAGGCTAGGGAGGGGACACACTCTCCTAGGACGGGATTAGAGGCATGTGCCTGAGTAAGGCCGGGACAGAAACCAGTCAGAGACATGTGGTGGCGGGGTAGGGCAAGGCGATTAGGGCGAAATGAAAAAATAGGACCCACAAAGCAATCGTTTCCTCATTGCAAAACTGATAACACCTGGTACGCAGAGGACTTCTAAAGACGCCAACTATGAAGTTTTAACATTTGACGGCATGAAGGAAACAGTAAGTGGGCAGTCTCACAGCCAACGAAGTGGTGTCCAGGGTCTCCGGGCAGGCGGGTTGTGCGGGCGGCGGCAGCGGCTGTGTCGGGCCGTCCGGCTGCGGCTCCGGTTCCGGCCCCGGTCCGATCGAGTCTGACGATGAGGACTGCGGGGAGCTGCTGAGGTCGACCGTCTGAGAGGGCCCCGTGTCCGCGGCGTCATCGACCACCGACGCCGCGCTGCCCTGGATAGCCGGCAGGATGATCACCGAGGTTCCCGTCGCTGCCGGAACGCAACCGTCGCACCGCCGGAATGATTCACAGGTCGACACGCAACAGAGGCGCTTACGAAGAAGACAGAAGAACAGGTCGATACACAGCGTAACAGTAGTAAGATCGAGGACAATGGAAGGACGTCGCGAATCAGATCGATACCCAACGGCCATAACGCGCACGATGCCTCAAGGCAGACATAGTTGAGCACGATAGTGACCAGACTGGTCGAAAATCGACATCTGATGCTGGCCTACGCATGAGGAAACCGACGACAGGTATCCGCGACACAAGCCGTCCCCGGCGGTTGCGGAGGTCAGTTCTGTGGCTACTCACCCGGGGCCGTGCTATGCCAGGAGGGGGCCGATACGATCAGGACCGGCACGGGACCGACGGGGCCGGGAGACACACCTCGGCGGTGGCCGCCGATCCAGTGGCGGGGAAAGCTCCAGCCGCGGCCCCGCCCGCCGGGCATCGCGGCTCTTCAGCGGTCCTCTTCAACTGAATCTTCAACTGATCACCGACGCCAACATTAAAAACAAATTATAGAGTGGAATGGTGACAAAACAAGGAAAAGCTCCCCACCCAAGCCCATCCCACCCCGAAATCCCTAAACTCAAAAACTAATCCTATGACTGATTGTCGAACATGCCGGAGGAGCATTATCGCCACGCATCAGAAATTGCAATGCTTGATTTTTGTGTGAAGTAAGACACGTGCCGAGGACAAACGGTATTCTTCAGAGTTCAGAGTGCAGGCAACCTTTGCTGCTGTTTTCAATGGAAAGGATCCAAATTCATCCAGTCGTATCTATGCATCGTAGCTGCAGCTGCGCAGGCGCACAGTCTGCCAGCGCTGTATCTTAGAAGCATAAGCACTAGTGGTCTGTCGTATAGCTTGACTCTCGATAGAGGTTCTTGGTCTATAGATGTTTCGGAATCGGAACAGGTATAGTTTTCATAAAAGTTGATTTGATAGCCAACACTGACAATCAAACGTTTATCGCTGCAAAATTGTGCTTTGATTCCATTTATCAAAATCTCGTTCATTTATGTGGCGTATGAGGGGTCTGATCCGTCCCACTAATTAAAAATGAATATGATTAACATTTGTATTATCGCGTCACCCCGGTCTTATAACTCCCCCAAAAACAACCCAAGAGCGGTCATCAGTAAACAATCAGCACAGCACCTCAGTCGGACCTGATCGGGCCTCAGCCGGCCTCGGTGCTCTCTGTGTTCGGTGGTGCCGCGGCTGTCTCAGTCTCAGTCTCCTGAACGGGCTGTGGCAGGCTGACCTCGCCCTCTCGTCTCAGTGTCTCCATTCGCCGCTTTTTGGGCGGCACGTAGCTCCCCAGGCCTGTGACGGAGCAGGGACAGGGAGGAGTCAGATCGTGGCACAAGCGGGTTAAGCTCGAGGAAGTGCCCACAATACAGACGGGACAGGCGAGAAAAGCTTATAAAGCGAGGTAGCTAAGGAGGACGTTAAGCGTAATGCAGCACTTATGGTGCGGTTCAAGATCGAAGAAGCTAAGCATCTGTAGTCGAGATCGTACTTATTTTTCATTTCACCGTAGCTGCTACCGAGATACCGCTAAAGGAACGCTTCCTGTCAATACAATATTAAAACTTTATGAACTGAGTACCACCATGATAGAAATTTCACACCAAAAATACGCAGACGGCGGCCAGACCCACGCCGGTTCTCCCTGTCGGCGCTGCCCCTCCCTCGACGGCGCGCCGGCACTCACCTCCAGCCCGCTCCGACTCTGCGATCGAATAGGGCTCGTCCTCCAGGGCCTTCATCCGTCGTTTGTGCACCTTGGTGCGGAAATGGTCGTCCAACGCCTTCTGATCGATAAAGTGCCGCCTGGGCGAAGAGCAGAGCAGGAGTTATAAACGAGAAAAGCCTGGTCAATGAGGTAAGTGCGGTATGGACAAAACGTTAGGTATTAGACGTCTTCTACAAAATCAAGGAAAATTCTATAAACTAGTGACTGCAATAGGAAAAGTGCAGCAGAACGACTTTTGAATGACAAGTAACAATCGAATATACTAGAAAACGACAATTAAAATACATTAATTATAAGTGAGCATCATGATTCCACGAACGATCGGTGAATTAAACGGACACACTTACGCGCAATGTACGCAGTAAAACTGAGCGAATCCAGGCTTCTCGAGATCGAGTTCCTGGTTAAGAAGCTTCTCTGCTTGCTTTGGCTCCAAGTCTTCATCTATCTGTAATTAAAAAAACGATGATGACTATATTTCGATTTTAGGGACGTCCGAACGGCGTTGTTCATCGGTTTCCACTGTCCAGCATAAACGAGAAAGCGGAACACTGTTAACATTTTTTAGTAACAAATGCAAAGCTGAAACCAACACGCTAAAATCTAGACTTCGTGGACAACTTAAACTTGTTATGTTACCCCGGTGACAGCGATGAGCAGTACCTACCGATATGAAGTAGGTAACGAAGAGCGCACAGCAGACCACTGGCACATTACCTGATCGAGGTCCTTAGTACGGCAGCGCAACCGCCATCGTTTCTTCAGATGTGTGTCTCCGTGATGAACCTTTCTGCGCCGCTGGGGGCCTGGCATGGTGGCGATGGGCAGAGTCTGAGGGCTGGCAATCTGTCAGAAACAGGATGCGAGTCATTTCCACCTTGTGTGCTGCTTCATGGCATGCCATTAACCTACCCTACCAAGCATCAGTGCCCAGCTCCCATGGATATATCAGTTATTTTACAGGAAAAACACGTGTAACGCCAAAATGTCAAACTTTGCGTTTTTGCCCTCTGGAGGCCAAACCGTTGACCTTGGGTCGAATCTGAGAACATCACTCAATAAGAGCTCTGAAAAAGCTATCGAATGAGCTTTTTTGTGGCCCTGTAGCTCTGTCGGTTCATGACTTATGGCGCAGATTTGTGAAAGCTGTCAAAATCGGGAACCAAAATTTGTGATAATTTAGCATCAGGTGACCTCCAGGTGACCTCATCGATGACCTGGTCAAAAAATGCTCTCCAAGATAATCTGGCGTGGCCAAATAACTACGTCCCCCCCCCTCCCCCAGGTCCCACCATGGCGAAGTTGGCTGAGAGGCCCACCTGGGTGCTGGCTAATAATCAAAATATCTAACAGCACTGATACACGAATACCTGCAATGTTCCAGAAAAATATCTCCCTAGTAGCTGCAGGCCTGCATTACATTCAGGTCCAATTATACTTCAAGAGGTTTCCTCACAAAATGTGCACTATTCACACGATGACATCACCAAAACGAAACATGTTACAGGTATTCTGCCCTGGTGACTATGGCCTGAACCGGATCAGGTCAACCAACTTAGCCCTCCCCGGACCTATCGGTTTTCTACATACGCGCCGGCTAAGGGGAGGGGGGGGGGCGGGTACGAACCCCCCCCCCCACGCCGTTTCGCCCATGGTGGAGCTAGCGCGGCGCGGAAAAAGAGCGTGTGAGCCATTACGAGACGCAGAGATTGATACCTACCCAATTTTAAAGTCCTAGGTCAACCGGTGACCTCTGAGGTCAGGTCAAGTGCCCCAAGGTACGGTTCCGTTTTTGGTGAATAACTTCGCAAAAAACGACCGCAATAACTTCGCAAAAAACGACCGCAGAGGCGCGATTTTGGCAGCATCGTGTTTGCCTCGCTCAGGCGCGTCGAATGATACTTTTTGTTTGGGTGAGGTCAACTTAGGATGTTGACCTCGGGTCACGGTCAGGTCAGCGCCCCAAGGTCACAAAATTGGTCGAAGGAGGTCATGTCGCATATCATTCGATTCGGTAGGTCTTCCTGAGTCCATTGGTGGCTTTCCCGACTCGCTAGCTCAATTTGATCAAATGACCTGACCTCATATGAACTTTAAGAAAAATCTGGAATATACAAGTTGTGGGACTCCTAATACTAGGTCCTACAAGTTTTATTTCCCTGTGAAAGCTCCTCTGGCAGTGAGGGTGTTGCGAAGTTGCGACCTCTGAAGACTATGCACTATGCAGAGGTTCACTTATGACATCATAGGTCAGTGACCCGAAAATGCAGTTAGTGTCAAAAGATCTGGCTTGAATCAAAGGTCAGGTATGCTAAGTTTCAGCTATCGCATGCGTGTTCAGAGCGATGGTGAAAAAACCCTATGGGGGAAGGCGGCACCCCCCTCGGCCGGCAAGGGTTAAGAAAAAGCTCAAATAGTTCACTTTCATGGAATAGTTCACTTTCACAAATATATTTTTTGCAATGAATTTATGGTTTTATGCTCAAAATGATCAGTAAAGAAAATGCAACTTTTTATGAAAAAATATTTGCCTTATTTTAATAATAATATAGGAAGAACTTTACAGTTCAGACAGGTTGTAAACTTTTCAGTTTACACTTTACACTTTACAGTGAATTGTTTACGTGTAAAAGAGGGGAATGGACCCCTGCAAAGCACACATTCAGCAAGGCACTTTTTTTTGGACGAGAAATGGAATATCTTTGCCCCGGGTGATCGTTGGGCCATAAAAGCTACTGATTTGTGCTTGTCTCAGCTCAACAGCTATTCAAGTCCAAAACCCCATGTTAATAGTGAGCTATTTCCTTTAAAAATGCATCTTATTTCAGCCAAATATTGAAAAAACAAAAATTACATGAAAGCGACAATGACAAGGGGATTGACAGGGGATTGCAATTGGAATGGAAATGACAATTACAGTTATCAATAGTGGCAGAAACATCCAAAAATATGAAGTACGATAAAACAGGGTGTATGCCAAACCCTGCTGAGAAAAAAGAATCAATTTTTAGAAACCAAAAATATTAAAATTCAATAATTCTTACCTACCTATCTACCTTCCAAGCAAAAGTCACGTGGCGCACGTTTCTGGCTGCTTTGTGACAAACTGTGTTCAAAGGCGTAAATACAGCTAACAAATAGCGAGCCGCTGTTACCATGGCAACTTGCTTCCCACCTTAGCGGCGCCTCCAGAGTCCAGTGAGTTGATGTCCGCGAATCTGTGCCAATCAATTTCGTGAATCCCTCGATCACAAGGCTCGAATCGCTCGAAGCACCCCATAGCCATCGACATGTGCTGTCATCCTCGTAAGGGCATTTTGATTCTATCATATGGTTTATAAATGTCGTGCATCGTTACTTCTCACGTGCTACCGTAGCCGACGCCGTAACATAAAATTGGTGAAAACACTGTATTTCGGCTCCGGCACACACATTATTTACCGTAAGGCTATAAAGTACAGTTAGCATGGAGAACATTTCATACTTAACAACACAAAGCATTAAAGATATAAACAACACAGCGTCAAGAAAAACACTCCAGCCTGCTGTGAACTTGGCTGTGAACCACCCAAACTCACGGGCTCACGGGCTTCTGAGCACATCCATCCGAAATGAAATAAAATCGAATATGGATTCCATCAAGCATACGGTACGGCGATGCTCCTCCACTGCAGTAACAAACAGCCACTGACATGAGAGAACTATCGCGAAAGGACTCACAACACGACCACCAGTGACCACAGCTCGAATGTAGGCACGCACCTCGCCCATCCGCTGTCCAGAGAGTTGCACTGAACGCTCGCTAGTTTGGTCGTTGACTGGTAACCACCCTTATTCCACCGCGGACTACACTCATTGGACTGGTGTTGGTGACACCCACCGCCGGCCGAAGACCGTCCATAGTCAACTGCGGACCGTCTAGGACCAGCTGGAATACCCTACTCCAGTCTAGGGATCCCGTCTGGAGATCATCGTCCAAAACCACGCGGTAAAGGGATCGACGCTCATGCAAGGCGCGGCTTCTTGTCCGGCGGCGGTTTGGTCTTGGCTTCGGAGGCCTGCGAGGGCGCCGCGCTCGCCACCGACTCTGCACGCTCCACCTTGACCTCGCCGTCTGCGGAGAATAGGGGGAGATCGGTCAGTGGGCAGAGATATATCGGGGAGAGGGAGGGCAGCAGAGAGGACAGTCAGTAGGCAAAAATAGATCGGGGAGAGGGAGGGCAGTGGGGAGCTGGTCAGTGGGAGGGCAGCGGAGACACCTGTTAGTCACCTATGACGCCACGGTGCACGCATACTGTCAAGCGAAAGCACTACGGTGCGACACCAGAGCGTTTGGTAAAAAGAGCGCTGTACTGATATGGCCACTTATGCTTCGTCGCATACAAACGTCGAAATGAACGATCGAATTTTCTCCAGTAGGTATATCTATACAAGCGAGGAATAATAAAGCATTAAAAATGATAGAACATTTTTTACGAAAGTGGAGACGGTTAACGACAAATTTATTTCTAGAAACACTTTTATGCCAGCACAGTGTTCCTTCCCAAAATCTGTTCTAACGGCGTACTATGTCTCACCTGGGTTGGGCGGCGGCGGCTGGTTGGGCAGCTTCGGCGGGAACTTCCTGGCGAGGTCAGCCAGCAGCATGTCCACCCGCTGCGTCTGGAACAGTGAGCCCAGCTCCTTCTCCGTCTCACGCTTCCGCTTCTTCGTCTCTGGCTCCTGCGCGGTGTGAGACAGTCAGGTCAGATTCAGAGACGTTCGGCGCTGACAGGTCACGATTCGGTAACGTAATACTGATGGCTACATTAACAAGTAATTGTGTCATTGTGTAACAAAGGGATCGAACATAAAGCTGGTGTTCCAGCTACCTTCGCATCTCAAACTAAAATAACACACGCAAACCCTTACCTGGCCATTCTGAGATTTGAACTCAAACGTGTAGCCCTTTGAAGGGTGGTACCGGGCGTACGACCGTGCTTCTTTGAAAGCCTCCTGCAGGTGGTTGATGGACGATGTCTGTCGAATGAACCGAGCAGAGTCACGCATCGACACAGCCCAATGGTGATAGAGATTACAGCTCCCGGTGATATCCGGTATCCAGGCTCCAGTTCCCGACATATTTAGACGCTCAAATTGTATTACGCCAAATATGCTAAATGCATTTTCCAATCATTGAAGATAACCGATTTAGCATGGAGGGCGTTGATGATTCAGTTCACATCAGTTCAACGTCAAGCACATTGATAAGCACTAGACCTGTGCGAGCCGAATACAGGCCATTGCCTTACGCTCGTTACCTGGCGTTGAAGGCGCGGACCAAAAAAGCTGCGCCCTCCGCCAACAAGTAACCCCTCAACCGACCCTGTCTGCGAGCCAGCCACGCTCTGTCATTACTTATCAACCAGCCTTGACACGCCCGGACAGCTGATCCCCCCGTGACGACGTGACCGGTCCGACTCACCAGCCGGGAGTTGATGACGGATCCCAGGTCGGGCACCTGGTACACCTTCCCGGCGATGACGTAGTAGTCGGCCAGTGGCGTCACCTGGTTCGGCGAGTGCCGGTGCTCCTTCCTGATGACGTACAGAATCGGCTCCTGCACGTGCAGCAGCGTGTACTCGAGGCCCACCAGGTTACTGCCAGCGAATGGGAACCGTTAGAAAGTGGGAACAAGTCTGCCGTCTGGTCAATAGCCAGGACCAAGGCCGGCGGCCATCCGCCAGTGTAAACACTGACAAAGACAGCACATGCTAACTCTGGAACGAATTACGATGGTCTGGCGTGAAACAAATCAGATCACCATCCCAGATGGACCAGTGTCAGCTCAAAACTTGTCTCTTACTGAAGATGGTCGGGGTTGATACGCTGCATCTTGATGACCTCATTATTGCATGTGCGGTCGTAGAATGGGTTGGTGCGCTCAGCAAAGTAATCCATGACGTTGTTGGCACTGAGGATCGGTATCCACGTGCTGTCATGCCAGGATGTCCCCAGAGCATCTGTCAAAGGAACAAACAAACAAGTCATTTCAAATGTAGGTGGTAGCAACTGGTAACCCTTCACAAGAAGACTAAAAACATAGAGTTTCAAAATAGCATACTCTTGCTATTGATTTATACTTCTATAGCAAAATAGATAATAGGTTAACAAGTTGTCTAGAAAACAACATTACCGACCAGTTATTGCCACCACTCAGCAGTGCTTATGCGCAGACACTTGTTTGTTTGTCCATTCATGATTTATGGCAGTGGTTGGCAGGTCTTCCGGGGTCGTGCCCCTTTTTTGCCAGTCAGGCAGTGCAATTAACCCCACCTACCAGGCCCAATTACTGGCAACCTAGTTTATCGAAATTCCATACCTTCCCGTTCCATAACTACATAATTGCATGCCTTCTCAGAGGCCCTCATTACCCCCCCCCCCCCCGCTGAAGGGCTCCATTTACCCCCAAAGGGGGCATGCCCCACCATCTGCCAACCCCTGATGTGAGTGGCAACTACAATGGAAATATTTTACCCAGCATCCACATTTCACCATCAGCCAGTAGCTGCTAACAAAATATAACATTCTTACCACGCTGATCCACCATGACTGGAAGTTGATTGGCACTTTATCTGCTGTCTAAATGGCTGAAAAAGATAGGTGATCAGAAACAGCAATGGTGCACTCAACCAGTTCATCATCTAGATGCCCACTGGCACAGACCAGAAAAGCAACTCATTCTAAGTAGCTTGACCAGAATAGACTGGAATATATTGTAAGTGACCTTCAATATAAAAAAGTAAAAATGGTTGACTGGGTCGCAGTGGGCCCGCATAGCAGGAGCAGTATCTCACTGTGAGACAGTACCACAGGCCCACCTAATTATGTCAATGTACATTGTACAGGTCTCACGGATTTTAGTGGTAGGTTTTGCACCTAGAAAATTTAGTGTACTTCAGGCTATATCTTCGTCGTCTTAAGGTTTTAAGTGTTGAGGACGCGAATGCGATCGACTTGTTGGTTCTCAAGCCGGCCACGATCGTGTAAAATGGCTTCATCGTAGATCTATTAGTTTCTGAGATATAATCGGAAATGTAAAAGTGCAAAACATACCGCTTAATCTCGCTACAGCCGTACCTTCAGTAAATAGGGAGGTAAGCAAGACATAGTTTGGCCGGAACATGTCATGATCATGTGCAAAAATTAACTGTACAATATATTCTATGCAGACATAGGCGTGCTTCAATGATTTCCTACCTATCCAATTCAATTATCCAATTGAATATCCAATTAAATTTACAAAGACACCTTTATCAGAATCAATACTGCGGTGTCCTTTCCCAACCTGAGTCGGCAATAAACCGATCCAAGACTCATGTAAAAATGATCCGGGATAAAAAGTTTAACTATTTCAGAATAAAACTAAATATTCTTTAAATCCTAACTAACTACCTACGAACATAATGATAGTGTCCCAAAATAATATTTTTGCTTGGGTGTCAGAGGGGAAAATTGCTGACCAAAAAAAGGATGAGAGTGAAAAATTGTCGGTCAGGTAAGGCCCAAAAAGAATGGGAAATGATCAATAACATTAATTCATCTACAATTTGTGACAGATTAAAAACAACCACTCACGCAGTTGCTCCTTCTCGGTGGAATTGGGAGTGGAAAATTGGGCTTGAAAACTGGAGGTGAGAGTGGAAAATGATTTTCATTTGGATGTCGTTTCCACCCACATCTACAAATTTTCGGACACTGTAATGATAAGAAAAATCTCACCATCAGCCATCTCACACATTTTTTTCGGAGAAGTGGTAGACGCCGACTTTACTTATCAGCTTGAGGTATTCGATAGTCAAATTATGCAAGGAAATCTGCAGCGTATCCAAGGAGATCCAAAATCAAAACTTGATTTCGCGAGCGAACTGCTTGGTTAATTTTGCTGACTATTTTTACGAGCAGAATTTGATGCGGCAATCATACGCCGCAGACGCGCAGTTTATGCACACAAAGTATAAAGGTATCAATCACGAATTTAAAATTCTAGCGCGGTGATGTTAAATTATCTCATTGCAGGGTCCCTTCAAGATCGATACCCTTCAAATTACCATGACATTTGCATACTTGACGCTGTAACTTGTGCTTGGACGGACATGATTGACTCAAGCAGCTTCATCCTACTCCCTGCTTGACTGCTATCCTGAGTGAAAAGTAGAGCCGAACCGAGAGGTGATAACGCTTCATCTCGGAGTCGGACTCTGCATTGATCGGTTCATTTCCCAAAACAACACACTAGGCTGGGCAAACCATGGCACACCATCCTGGCACCGGGCCATGACTCGGAAGCGAAAGGATTAACCCCTTCGCGGCATTGGCTGTCCGTGTCTGTGGCACTGGCCTGGACCCCGGCAAGACGATATAATTTTCTTTGAGGCCATTTACACAGGAACATTCACGGAAGAGCACCAGTTGCCGTCGGGCCTCATCCTCGAACCTTCTCGTGCAGGCAACCTTTACGACATACCAAGAGCATGCCTCGAGCGATGCACTTCAGTAAAAGTGCCTGTAAATGACAGAGCATGAGCTTTGTCAATGAACCCGCTTTACCCATTTTGTTTTATGGTCTTGGTTTTATCCCTCGGAATTCATTACCAAAACCCAACCAAACAACACAACCAAATATCGTGATAATTGGCTGACGAACAAGCTCATAAAACAGCTAGAACCGTAGCCACGAGAGCAAGAACAAGAATATTGAAAATATCTCCGTGACTTCGGAACCTTCAACCTCCGATTTCTTCCGCCACGTGTTTACGTCGAAACTAAGCCTGAAGCCTGGGAAGTCGACAAATCGCGTCATGCCACTGGAGGACGCTGAGGCGCTGAGCGCCGAGTCCGGCTACCTACAGGAGAAGCTCGGCGTGGCGCTGACCTGCGGTCTAGCAGAGGTGAGTGCTCGGCGTGGCACTGATAAACGAACTGGAGGGCGGGGGGATCGGACCGTGCCAGGTTAACTTACAGCAGTAAACCCGGCACATGACATGCCGGGTTAAGCCCTCTTCGTAATGTCCTGAACTCCTTAGCCTCTGTAGTCTGTGCGGGCAGTGCAACTGCAAACTCCGTCTCTTGATAACTTAAAACGAGACATTGTTACCACCCAGCTTCCATACCTCAGTCCTCAGCGCCCACAAACCCCCCTCCCCGTCCACAAACTAAACGTTCACAAACTCAAACAAACTCCTCAACGTTCACAAACTCCTCTCCACCATCCGGTCGCCCTGGCTCCACCCATCTATCCGTCTACCGTCACAGGTCTGCCGCCGCCGGCCCAGCGACCCGATCCAGTTTCTGGCGCAGTGGCTGCTGCGGTTCCGGCACTTCTCGCAGGAGGCGCTCGACCTGGAGCTGGCCGAGCTGCAGCGCGCCGAGGAGCAGCAGCGGCTCGCCCAGTACGAGTACACGGCGCTGATGCAGCGCCGCGCCGCCGAGGAGGCAGAGGACAACGCGTGATTTAGCGACCGCGCAAGGTCCCACCGTCTGACCGGTCGGCGACCGGGCAGGGCCACTTTTCTGACCGGCCGGTGTGCGGACAGAGTTCACATAGTCCGTGCGATGATCAGCTACGAAGAATGACGATTCCCGAACCAGTGCGACGGTCAGATTGGTGAAGTGGGCTCGGAAAATGCCCATCCATGTAACACCTCCCTCGGAACCCAAATATCGCAATATAATGTAAACAAGCGATACGATTTTTCATTCATTCCGAAATGCACAGCATTGTCAGTAGCTCATCGCAGAACATAACACGATCATCTGTCAGACCGCACATTATGCCAAATGGATCCAGCAACGCCAACAGAAGCACACCGCTGCAGTCAATTTCAAGATGGTGATGACAGAACAACAAATAATTAAAAACGAATTCGACAACGAGCTACACATGGTTACCAGCAGAGAGACACAACAGTTGTTTTTAGGAAAAGGCCGCTTACACATCGGAAACTAAACGAGTCACTGACGTCAAATCAGGGAATGTGGGCACGCTACCTACGTCAAACTGTGACAGATGTCACCAGTGTGGGTCGCTTACTGGCACTCGAATGCCATGAGTGAAGCGTGGGGCAGCCGCCCATTATTCTAACCGCGAGACTGTGGTATACCTCTATATCTGTGTCCGCTGAGCGCTTCTGCGAGAAAGGGGAATGGAACTGAACAATCATGATAATAACCGCAGCGGAAAATTACAGATGAATGTGTTTTAAAATACAACTGCACACCAGTGAAAAGGCGGGGAGTTTTGTACCACCAAAAGCAATTTGCGTGATTCCTCATTTCAGTGACTACGAAATAGAAATGCGGCTCCAGAGAACTCACAAAATGAAATGCGGCACAACTCACATACTCGCTAAAGCGTATGAATTTTTGCGAGCACCGGGCACCGGTGTTATGTTCGCAGGCGCGGTGCCGCGTAGCGCTCTGTCAGGCTGTCTTTACACCGTCCCGCCTGGCCGCCGCCATCCACAACCGGCGCAACTCCGCCGGTGGTCGTTTGGTGTCTAAAGTACCGCCGGCCGGTCCGTCCGCCCTCACTGGAGACCCATGTCTCCTCCGTGGCAGCGGCGCTGGCGGACCGACCTCTCCGGGCCGGCCGCCCGCCCGCCGGGGGCGACTCAGCGCCTCCCAGTCGGGCGCGCCCTCCCCTCCGACGCGGCGGGTTCGTCCAGTCGGCCGCACTGTGGCGACTCGACCAACGCCGCTCGGTACTGCCCTTCCGGGCTTCTGCGGTACTGCTTACAGCTCGGCTGGCTCTGGCGCGACAACCCCCAAGGGGCGCCGCAGAGCCGCGGACGGACACGGAAACGCGGCGCGGCGCGCGGCAGAGAATCTGCGCGCTCACAGGAGGCGGCCGAGGAGACGCAGGGCGACTCCCGGCCAGCGATTCCCTCCACATCTAACCGCAGCTTTTGACCACGGCGGGCCAACGCTGGGTGAAGGCAGCAAGGCCAATTTTGCAGCCAAAAACTGACGGCGGTGACGGCGGGTGCGGGGCAGAGACAGCCTGTCAGGTGCGCCTGGTGACCGGAGACGCCACAGAGGCGGTGCTTTCGGCCCGCGCGACATTCACGGGGCCATCACCATACAACATGACCCAACACGATCGCACGATCGGGCTCGGGCGCGCTGCGGCCTGAACGGTGCCGATGCTAAAACAAACCAAACGGACCAACACCGTAATAAAACGACCAACGGCCGGGTCTGAGCCCTACCGGCGTCCGTTCAGCCCGCCCGCGCGCACCAAGACAGTAAAACCCGACGGCCCTGCAACTGAGGGTCCGCGGCGGCCACAGCGCCGTCCGTGCGACAAGCACAGCCACTGGCTCCCCTCCTCCACACACACACACTGCTATCTACAGACTACCATTTACAGCATAACTACTACCTACAGGACCCGCTAAGAGTCCACCCAACCCCACACCACCCCAGCCCCTTCCCTCACATCTTTCATACATTCCCCTCCCCTCAACCCATCCATTCCCACAGCCCATCGCCGTGTTCGTAAATTATGACGCCGCTTCACCGTGCGTGTGAGGAACAAGCGAAAAGTTGTGTTTCTCCAAAAATGGATAACCGAAAGCTTCACTGATCAAATCCTAGTGCAGCTTAGTGCTGCCATTATCATAGCAGTCACAAAGTACACTGATTTAGTGCATTGGTGAGGCCGCAGCGCACACACGCTCACTGCTCAGGCACTTAAAGAGGTCACCAATAAAGTCGACACGCTACGACGCGGCCCGAACGCCGCAGCCGGCTTCCCTTGGGTGCTCGGCACTGCTGTGGTGTACCCTCACCCACACGCACGGCGCCGGCCTTCCTTCGATAACCCGGCCCCGAGCCGCCGACTCCCCCACCCATCGGGAGACGCCGAGATCCACGCCGCTGGGTAGGGTACACACCCGTTCCCGTTCCCCGCGCTGCTGTGGGACAACTCACAGGACCCCCGGGCCTACCGGGCGCGCCGCTCAGGCCGGCAGGAAGGCCTCGGGAGGCACCTTGCCCTCCACCTTGAGCTGGTTGAACACCAGCAAGGAGCGGTCGTAGTCGAAGCTGTTCTCTTGTAGACACCTGGCAGAGAGTGGGAGAAACGGCCGGCTGTTAGTCAGGTGGCCAGAAATGAGAGAATGCAAATATTTCGATCTCGGAACTAACTAACTATGTTGGACGGTTATATAATTGAATGCGATATTCCTACACAAATTGTTGGGACTGGAAGCTGACGGGGATCCAAATGAAGCCGCAAATCTCTATATGTGTGATGCGTGCCAACCATATCACATATTACGACAGTCCAGCATTCACCCTAGTGTAGCAAGATACCAAAGCAACATTTCTCAAACTGACACAGTTGACTTAAGTCCTCTGCCAAGCGTGCTCGCCGTCCTCCATCCCCGTCCGTGACTTACTTGAGCGCCCAATGAGGGTTCATTCCGGTAACGGTGGCCAGCTGCACCGTCATCTGTTTCTGCACGTCCTCCGAGACCACGCCCACTGGGGGCGGGGCCACGCCCGGCACCACCGGTACGTGAGGTATCGGAGAAGGCGACGGAGTCGGAGCCGCCGCCTTGAACGCTCCCTGAGGGGTAAACAAAACATGACAGCCACGATACCATGAAGTAGCCAGTAAAATGGTAGATGGTACTGCATTGTGGCCAGTAAGATGGAAGCTAGTTGATAGTGAGACTTTGTAGCCACGAAACGGGGTCATGTAGGTTGACAGACTGCCTCCACTATTGTGCCCCCTGCTTCCAGTCTACCAAGTATTTTCAGAAAATTACCGCCGCACTAATGTGAATATCTCACCTTGATCTGTTCGGGGGTGGCCACGCTGATTGATAGCATCTCGTTGACGACGCAGAAACCCTGTCCCTGCGGAACGATCACAAAGACCCGCGAAAAGGCGCGGATCGGACTGTGGCGCTCCTCTCGCTCCTTGAGCACGCCGCTGACACTGATCTGCATCAGACGCTCCTGAGGGGGAAATGGGGGGGGGGGCGAGGTGAAGAAGGAAGAGCGGGGGCCGTCTCAGGGGTGGAAGGTGGGGGTGGGGGTGGGGGGACAACAGGCGGCCATTTCCCGATCGGCGGGCGCTGACAGCGCAGAACTGACAGAGACGTTCGGCATGTACTGTCCAATCAACAGCGAATGACGCCACAGTGCGATTAGATCCGATTGGATCGTTATTCGGGTAAAAAAAACGACAGAACGATAAATATTTAATATTAAGGTGAGCACGAAATAACATTAAATGTGCAGCTAAGTAAAAGTCAACAGGACAAAAAATAAACAATTTCGGCTATATTCTGCCAGCACCAGCAGCCTGCCGCCGCCGCACTCACATTGGCCACGGGCACGTCCACCGTGAACGAGTTGGAGTCGTGCTGCGTCTTGGGCAGCCGCGCCAGGGCGCCCAGCACCTCCAGTTTTCCCGAGCGCAGCAGGGCCGCCTGTCGCTCGCGTGCCGTGCGCAGCAGGTTCCGGCTGTCCGGCAGCCACAGGTTCAGTCTGCCGACCAGACGGGTCAGAGGTCAGCTGAGGTCACAGCAGATAGGTCAGGTGGCAGATGGAGCGACAAAGGGAATGAAGTATAAATCTAGTTTAGGCAGTGTGGTGGAAGTGACTGGCTTGGTGTGGGAGAAATGGGTGTTCCAAGCCAACTCAATCAGTAGCGCAACAATCCTATCCGCTGCGATGCAGATGCATTCAATGCGATGCAGTACGTTACACAATTCTGAAGAGGATTTTCACCGAACCACTCGTGTACAAAAATAATTGACCAAATACTTTTACTAGCTTGTTACTTTGTCTGGCATATTTGGTGCTTCAACGTTACGCTCGCCTGGGTGGCGGTATTTCGGCTAGCCGAGACACGCGCAAGGAAAAGAACTTCATTCAATAGTACTTCGTGAACATGGAGGTTCATATGAAGAAAGTGCAGGATTTTTCTAGTGCGAGAAATAACAAAATTCACGCGCAAGAAATATCAAGAAAGAAATGACTCAATATTTTAGAAACTGGGCATTATAGGACGTGGGAGTTTGCAAAGTTTACTACAAGTGAGCAAAGGGATTATTACTTTTATACAATAAATCCCAACTTGAAATCACATTTGTGAGATATTTGCTGTCTTCAAAACGGGAGCTAAGTGATTAGCATCATTTAAATAATCCCAAAACATCGGACAAGGCTGAAGGGTATCAAGCGGCATTCAACGCACATTATCACTAACTCCAAAATGAAGACATATTTGGCAATCAGCTTGTTGCTGGTTGTCGCTACCCAGGTCTCGGGATTCGGTTTGGTGAGCAACATGATGTCTAATCCGGCGACGGTTTTGAGCGCTGCCCGCTACATGACCGAAATCATTATGCGCAACATGGCTCAGAAGCGCACCAGCAACACGGCCTGCGTGGAACATGTGTCACGCTCGGCCGTCACATTCTTTAACGACGCGTCTGCGTCGCTCCAACTGGGCCGTCTGCTGCAGATCACCATGCGACGCGCTGCCACTATGCCATTGGACTCCTCCAGCCCGGCCGTGCCCCTGGACATGTTCTGTCGGATGGTGCGTGTGCGCCGTCTGAGTGCCGCCAGCACCATATTCGTCTCCCGGCTGACCTGTCTGGGTGACGGAGCCGTGGACGACACGGACCGACTGTTCCGCTCGCTGGTACACACTATCGAGCATGTGTGCCGGGACGGCGGCCGGGACGCTACGCAGTTTATGGCCGACGCTCGCCAGTGCCGGCGCCTGGATGCCGACCACGAGGAGCAGATGGAACAGATGAAGAGCCTGCGCCGCGGCCGGCGTAGCGCGACGACCATCAGACCCAGCACCACCACCGCCACCACTATTAGCACTAACAGCAGCACCAACAGCAACAGCACCAGCGCCAGCGAGATACCGGTGAACGCATCATCACCAGCCGATACCACTACCACCACTACCACCACGAAGGCGCCCAGAGTAGAGACGACCCCCGCACCGCCCGCCGTCTACAACACACTGCAGGCCTGTCTGGACGACGTGAACGAGCTGCTGCCGAGCGGCGCACGTCTCTCGCAGCGCGAGCAGCTGTCGGACGTGCTGCTCACGCTGCCGGCACTGCTGCCCCGCCTGCTGCAGAGGGACGGCCTGGCGCAGTTCTGCCCGGCGCTGCTGAAGGCCGGCGACTGTGCCCACCTGGCGCTCATCGACTGCCCACCGCGTACTAAGAAGACCATGGCCCGCTTCTTCCAGAGCACACTGCGCGACATTCTTTGCTACGACATCCCCAGCGACGAAGTGCTGGCGGAACTCATTTGGAGCAGCATTGTAAAAGAAACGTACTTTGGATTGTAGAAAGTCATCTCACATTGTGTCGAAGGCGTTACTTTCTTGCTTGTAGTTCGATAGGCGAACGACAATTCAACTTCCATTGTTCGAGAGTGTTAACATGGCAACTTTCGCTTTAAGCACTCATTATTTAAGGCTTTATGCTGTTAAGGTACCCAAACTCAACGATCGGTAGACAAATAAGCTCTTGTCTTTCAGAGTTAGAGCCAACCACGTGCAGGAGGGCAAAAAGTCCCATGCTAAAGGGTATCAGTGATTCACCGGAGTCACATCCGTAATCATCCTGGAATTGTGACCACACATTGCACTGCATACCCAGCACTACAATGCACGTTGTTGAGTTACCTGAATAAAATGTTCCTTCTGAGACCAGACTTACAACCCGATGCACGGGGGTTCAGTTAAAAACGTGTGCGTATGAAGGCGCCCACGACAAACGCGGCACGGCTCAAGATGGTACACTATGGCTCACAAAGCCGGGTTTCGGCTACATAACGGCGCTTTGATACGTTAGAGAACATTAAAATGATTGGCAAATCTCGGATTTAGTGATCCGAATTCCGATTCTCACAAAACTTACCATATTCCTTTAACCAGTATAACACCTTTTGGGGCGACTAACGGAGCGAGCGAGAGAGTGGGCCTTGCACGTGCGAAATTGCGAGGGGGTACCTCCAACTGACTTGTGCACGGCACCCTACTAACCGGTCTCTAGCGATGTGCCAAATTTGGGCACAATCGGCCCAGCCGTTCTCGAGATCTGGAAGCGGCACCCTGCACGTGCGCACGTGCAAAATGGGTCCCAACTGACTTGCGCACGGCACCCTACTAACCGGTCCCTAACTGTGTACCAAATTTGAGCGCAATCGGTGGAGCCGTTCTCGAGATCTGGAAACGACCCCTGCACGTGCGCACGTGCAGCAGCGCCCCAACTCTGGCACATGGATATGCAGTGCCTGCCTAGTGGGTGCCTACCTACATGCCATTTTTCAGCGCAATCGGCCAAGTAGTTACCGAGATATTGCAACAATCACAAAACGGACACCTTTTCGTTTTGCACGTGGCACGTGCATAAGGGGTCACCCACATGCATCGGGAATAGTCCAATACTTGGTAGAAGGAATGAAGCTACCCTACAAAAATTGCCGCGTGTAAATCGGTCAAGTGGTTGCTGAGATATAAGCCTCGCAAAAGCGTGACCACGGCGGGCCGGCCGGCCGGCCGGCCGCTCGTACTCAGAAATTTCCGTTAATCTAAGGAAAGACTACGCTCGCTTCGCTCGCTCCGTAATCACTGTAAATGATTGATCGTGTTCAAATAGTATCGAAATCTTTGGTGGTTACGTCTTCTCAGACAAGTATGAGCTGAGTGACCAAACTGCAGGTATTGTGCAACAGTTACAGACTGATGAAACATACAATAGGCACACAACTTACCATTATCGCCGTTCTATGACACCCTAACATCCATGCCCTAACGAACATATCCATCCACTCTTCGCAATTTTAACCATATCAGAGGGAGACGCATGAAAAAGATAGCGTGCAGTTTGAAGGTCACTGACAGCACCGATGCACTGCAAAAAGCTTAAAAATATCGTAACATCACGTGCGTAACATCGTAACATGTCGTAACATTGGAGCTTCGCACACACGTGAAAACATCAAAATACCGTGAGTTCGCAGAGCTTATGGCGAGGCTTATGGCACGTATTCTTCCGACCGCGACACATTGATGCACTTGCACACCAAAGCCTCAGTACAGTCAAATGGCTGGTTGAGGTATGACGCCGGCGAGGCACGAGTATGGAACTATGACGACAGGCTGCGGCTAACTGTCTGTGAACATCAACATGCGTGGCTCGACCGCAGTCTAGAACTCACCGTTCGTTACTGTTGCGGTGGCCGAGCGAGACGCTCAGGCTGAAGCGGCAGTTGTCGTGGTAGGCGTCCATCAGCGGGTCCCGCTTGTCGGCGTCAAACACGTCAAAGTACTGCTTCAGGAACATGAGCGCTATGTCTGCCGAACAAAATGACAATAACGACGTCAAATTAGTGTCTCCAGAACAAGAGCAACAATGTCAGCTCGGTGCGAATGATATGTGCGCAAAGACAGTCACTGGCTAGCACACACACAATAACTGAATGTGCCTAGCTGATTTCCCATCTCCAAGTCCAATCGATTTCATAGCCGATTTTCCAGAATAGAGCCCAGCCCAGCCATTAACCATTCACATTCCAGGACAGGGCCACAGCGGGACGTCCTTCTCTCGTCTAACATATAACCCAGCTCCACCACTCACCCCTGGGCTGTGTGCCGCAGAAGTAGGAGCTCTTGCTCTCGGGCAGCTTGGTCACGGCCGCCGCGTCATCCTCCACATCAAACTCGATCGGCGGAGGCAGCTCCACGTTGTCCTGAGGATATCGCCAAGCTCGAATGAAACTCTCACACAAAAGGATACGGATGAACATGGGAACGGGAAATTGTTGAACAGTCAACATGACAATAGTAAGGTAACCCGTACTGCGGTGTTTGGCCTGTTGCACGACATATCAAGTTGCACTAAACGATTGCCAGGTAGAGCTTAATTTCTAACACTTCGAGGGTATCTACCGCAAATTGAAAGACTCCAACGTGAGTAAAACTTCCCACTGAATCCTCAAATAAAGCCTTCTAAGTTACTGAGTAGGTAGTTAGTACACTGTAACTAAAAACTGCATCTAAAATTAATCGGAAACACGACTGAAGCGATAGTCGTGACACGCAGACGCTGCCTGCGGCGGTGGCCGGCGGGCGGGTATGCATCCCGCGACCGAGCACCGCGCAGAGCATTACTCACCAGGAGAATCACCTTCGGGAAGCGTTTCCGCACCGCGCTGGGAATAGACCACCGGTTGTTGACACTGCCGCCTGCAGTCATACTCGGGGGAGGCGGTCATCACCGTACGCACACGCACGCACACACTCACACACGCCGCACGTAAAAATAATGCGTCCACACATCCGCGTTATACTCGCATACACAACACAAAGTATGTGAACCGCTAGAATACCGACAAACTTACGCTAAGGTAAAACAGCGACACGCAGACTTTGGTATACCCTGAAAAGTTAACATCATAAAGTCTAACAGTTTTGAATAGACCTCTAAGCTTTTCAATCTGTTCCTTCAACCAGCACCACTCTGGCACCAAAGAAGCCACCACCACTCCAGCCGGAGTCGGGCCCTCGGCCGGCCCCTGTACCTGATGTACTCCGCCTTCTCTTTGAAGCTGTCGCAGAGGTGGTTTCCGTCCAGGTTTAGCTCGATTAGCGCCATGCCTTGTACTGAGTCCAGGTGAGTGATGGCACCCAGCTGTGGAGGAGAGCACAGATACGGTCAGAGCTTATCGTAACGGACAGCGGCGCGGCTCTAATGCGGCTGGACTGAAGACAGTGTTAAAATATGACCACTTTGGCACAGCATAAACTGTCATCGACAATCACTTATTTCAGATCACCGGCATTCGATGAACTACCGCTATCGAGTGTTTGAAGAACAAACACCAGTCGACGAATACATAGCCCTGCTGGCTGGGTCTAGCATTTGTTTGAATGAATTTCGAAATAAAATAAGTGATTTACCTTTTTCTTTCAACATCCAGTCACGAACACTGACTACTCGATAACTTTGACCAGTCTCAATCGTACTCACCGAGTTGTGACTGAGATCGAGCGCCTTCAGGTCCTTCAGCGAGCTCTTGATGGCCTTGAACGGCATCAGGCTGGTGATGCGGTTCTTGGAGAGGTTGATGCCAACCACCTCGGGGATCTGGCCGGTAATAATCTCCAGCACGGCTGCCACTACGTTCTGGCGGTTCAGCGGCAGGTACAGACCCTTGCCGCGGATATCTGACGGGTCGAGCCAGAGCGCGGAGTCGTAAGTTGGGCGATCACCACAGGACGCAGTCAAAGAGCAAAGTGACAAAAGTAGTTCGTTAGAAGGCGTCGTTAGTCGGGAGTGCTCCGGCCTCCGAATAAAACGCAGGGAGGTGCGTGCGATTGATGCGAGCGTGATTTAATGCGTTTGAATAGGCTCTCGCATGCAATTTCCTGATTGCGAGAAGGGTCTGTTTCAGCCATAACAGCTAAAAATGATGACAAGCTAAATACGATAACAATAACTCAGCCTGGTACTCAAACGAGTCGATGTAAAACCAACAGGCTCATGAGGATCCTGCTAAATATGATGGCTGCGCCGCCCGGTACTCACAAGGGTCCATGTAGAACTGTGACAGGTTCAGGGTCCGGTTGGCTGGCATATAACGGTTGCTGAGCGCCTGCGCCAGTTCGGCCTTGATCGCGTCATCCACCGTCAGCATGGGCGGCTCTGAGCGCCTCGACTGTGGAAATAACGGAGGAAGGGGAGGAAGGGAGGGAGAGGAGAGAGAGAGAGAGAGAGAGAGAGAGAGAGAGAGAGAGAGAGAGAGAGAGAGAGAGAGAGAGAGAGAGAGAGAGAGAGAGAGAGAGAGAGAGAGAGAGAGAGAGAGAGAGAGAGAGAGAGAGAGAGAGAGAGAGAGAGAGAGAGAGAGAGAGAGAGAGAGAGAGAGAGAGAGAGAGAGAGAGAGAGAGAGAGAGAGAGAGAGAGACGCATAAGCAAAACAAAATCCAAACACTCCAATACAAAATGTTTTATAATTTCCAAGCACGCAATGGCTGCAGTCAGAAGTCATTCAGTTTCCAAAATCGAACGCAAAAGTCCAAGCGCCAGAGTGAAAAAAGATCGTACCATGATTTTCATTTTGCTGCCGTTGGGAGCCAATATCCGCCCGTCCAGAGCCGATATCGTGTCGGCAGTCATCTTGTTTTCCACGAAAAAGTGGACGTCGTTCCGGTTCGCTTCATTCGTGTACTGGAGCGAGAACAGAGAAAATTACCAAATAAAAAAGCATGAGTTCAAACTGAAACCTTCATGCATCATTTATAGGAAAAATATCCCATTCGATCTTAAATAGCCATTTCCATCAACAATCAAGCCACCCTTCTCTACCCGAAAAAGCTAGCAGCAAAAAAAAAAAAAATGACGTACTGAACAGCCACTACTAGACTCCCCCGATCGACGTCGGTTATCGGCGTTACGGCGTTCCCTTCAGGCTGGGACATTATAATACGTACCCCGATCGGCATATACGGCTCCGGAAGGTTCTCATTGATGGCGTTCATTACGAACTCCTTCCCGAACGTCTGCCCGTTTTTCACCTGGTTGTAAAGAAGCAAAAACATCATAAGAGAACAGAAAATATTTATTCAGTATGAAACCAAAAGAAGAGGAAAAATTACTGACAATATTTTGCATGTAGAGATTAAACACACGCAGATATCCTTGATCCTATGTGAAACTCTGTAATCTAAAAATCAAGGCGAAGTAGATACACAATTCAGTCAGTAATATACCAGGCACCACGTCTGGCTGACTGGGCGGCAGTCACACGGAATCCTGCCACGTTAGGGACAAACTCACGATGACTCTGAACCAGCTGGGCTGCGAGGCGTTGGGCGGGTTCCTTCCACCGCCGCCTGGTGGTAGTCCGCGCCCTCTGCCGCGGCTGGGTCGCGGCCGGCCCCTGCCGCGCATCCCTCGGCGTCGATCATCGCCCTGCTGCCTGTTGGAGGAGTGCAGGCCAGTGCGGCGGGTGGCGGGCCGAGTCAGTCCCGCCCCGAACGGCAGTGGTACAACGTTCTATGGTAAAACTACGTGCTACAACTTAGAGATCTTTGTTGGGGCAGCTATTAGGTACTTCAACGCTGACCGGCACCATACGGTGCCGGTCATTACGATTATAACAACTCGTATGAGTTGTTATAATCGTCACATACCTACGCCAAAAATGAGTGGCATTGCCAGTATATTAACCATGCAGTACGGATTAACAATCAATTCAGCGTCCTGCTGATTCCCTTAAACCAGCCCCGGTCACCCGTTCGGCGGCCGGCCGGTGAGGCTGCGCGCCGGCTCACATGCGAGGTCGTCGTCCTCCCATCTCGGCGTCATCATCCAAGTTGCCCTGGTAGCGACCCTGGCCTCGTCTCATCCGGCCGCGAGACTTGAAGTCCGCCTGGCGGTAGCTGGTGCCGCGCGAGGCGCGATCATCGTGGCCTGCGGCACACAGGCACCGTGACAACAATGCGGTGATGGTGATTGGGTGGAAATGATGGTTTGCTTTGTTCATTTGAGTGTTGCAGCCATATACCTACTCTGGTATAAAAGGTAAGTACTTCAACAAGCAGAGCCTGCAGATATCTGCTTGCCTCTGCAGATGATCTCGAAAGGGGGGATCGTGACATCACATCACCAACTGCTAAAGTGGCCTGAGCAATATTGTCATGATCTGAATGCAAAAAAAAAAAATGTATTAAGGTGGTCCTCTGTAAAAATTGTTATATTTCTCAGCTAAGGGTTTCCCAGAGCAATCAGGAATTTCAGTCAAGTTGCTGAATGACTAATACAAGCATAACTTTAAAAACCCAGCATTGAAAGCTGATACACACAACACTCACTAACACCACTTGTGAACACTTTGGCCTGAAGGTGAAGAGTCAAGGACTGAAGAAGCTGCTGTCTGCTACAATAGAGTATGACTGTCTCTATTAGTTCAACACCAAAGAGCTCAGTTTAAATATGAGTTGAGTATAGTTTTGGAAATTGGGCAGTTATTGATGAAAAACATTCTCAAGGCGAGTTTAAAAGGCTAAGCTACTTCAACACACTACAGACACACATGCTACACTCAGATATGTGCATGGATCTGAGTGATGAATCTATGATCTCAGTGACTCTTGGAACAAACTGCAGGTTAGGATCCATAATCCCACAGGATGTGGTGTGAAAAATATGCTGGATCTATGATCTCATAGGTTCTGATGATGAGCAGAGAACGTGGATCTATGATCTGAGTGGATCCCACCATGCACAACATTTGGAACCAGGTTTCCAAGGCATGTTTCTAAGTCAATAAGTGCCACAAAACTGTGGAATATGACGTGCAATCACATAAAATCACTAAAACAGAATGTTTGTGAGTTGCAACAAGTGATTTTTTATTTCTGTGTTGACAAAAAATAAATAAGGATCTATGATCTCAATCATGGATCTAGAGAGAAAAAAAATAGACTCAGGACTATGATACCTATGGATCTCTTGATAAATCAAAGAGCTGGATCTATGATCCCATTGGAACTGAGATAAGAATCCATGTGATCAGATCCCAGATCCATTTTCTTGGATCCATGCACAATGCACATGTCTGGACTTGCACTACAAGGGCAGTTAGTTTAAGCAAAATGTTAGGGCAGAGAGTTCAGGAAAATCATTGATGTCGACCATTCTCACTCTTAATGGCAAGCAGAGCTGTTGTGCTGGAGGTTCCAGGCACCTTGAAGCACCACTGGACTCACGGTATGGGTTATGTGGGTGACCACGGTAATGGTCAGGAGGCTGGCTAGGATTTGGCATGTCCCTCCTCCAGTGGAACTCTGGCTGGTGGTAGGCTGGCGGGAGACAGGCAGCAACACATCATCAGACAATTAGGAAGAGATGGCATATTAAAGAGATGCCTAGCAAGCAAGCATCACATGACCAAAATGTGAGTAATGAACAGCTATATCTAAGTAGTAAAACTAGCTCAATCTTTATAGCCTACACCAAAAGCCTAAAATATTCAAAAAATGAAAACCTTAAAATTATACAGAAGTGACCAAAGGCATAAATAACAGAACAATGTACAGCTCAAAACTGTGGTTCTTAGTCACCATAATGATAATAAATCCACTGTGAAACCTATACCACAACCCCTGATAGTAAATCCACAACATGCCATAGATGACAAACACTGAAAAGGAATGCATCAGCAACAGCTAAAACAGCCCTTCAACAATGACAGAATTAGCATACCTCGTAGTCTTGGTGGTCAAGTTTACTTACCTGGTTTACTTACCTGGTTGGTTCCCTTCACCAAGTAAACAGTCACAGGAAGGAGTGGCAAGGAAAAGAAAGGAACCCATATCGAAAGACACGCCAGTTCCGTTTTAAGACCAGCCATGTTTGAGTATTGCAGTGTGTGAGCCATGAACTGGAAATGTGTGTCGCCATTTAACCTATCGTAATACATGATCGAGTATGGAGTGTTAGTACCTCGCTAATACCCTAATTTCACACTAATTGCGTTTCACATGTCACATTAGCACCAAATATTCTACAAACGTATATGAAATATACACATGGCAAGAAGGCTAGACATAATCAAATAGCAAGTCCGGTATCACATCATCTAACCCTCGCTTAAAAGCAGATACATCTGACTGCCGTCCAAAGGCAAAACCCATTATGTTACATTGACCTGTGACCTAACATAATGGTTTTTGCCACTGGACGGCCAGGGGCATCAACAACATGTTCTGGTAGGCGATTCCATGCATTGACACATCTCTTTGAGAATGATCTTTTCCTCACATCTGTGTTCACATGTGTCACACCAATCTTGTACAAGTGTCCCCTGGTGACACGGGTGAAGGGCTGAGGGAACATGATCTCCGGGGGGACGCAGCTTTTCCTGTGGAAAATTTTCCAATACTGTATGAGATCTGCTCGCATGAGTCGTCCCTTGACCGAGTACAGACCTAGCTCCCTCAGCCTGTCACTGTATGCGAGATGTTCGAGCATGCTTATTTGCTTGGTCCAGTACCTTTGGAATCGTTCGAGCCTCCGATCATCCTCAATGTAACCAGTGTGCCAAACGCACGAGGCATATTCAAGCACAGGTCTCATGTGCGTTTTAAGAAAGAACAACATGAATTCCCGAGACCGACAGACAGTAGATTTGAGGAAACTGTGCCCAAGACCAGCGACCTTGCGAGTGACAGATGATATGTGGTCGTGGAACTTCAGTGAGTCATCAACGATGACCCCGAGTTGTAACAGCATTTTCATTGAAATTTCATTGAAGTATTTTTTCATGAATTTAGCTCAAATGTTTAAAAGGATGGATTGAGAGCCAGAGCCTTATAAGTCAAGCTTGTTGTGTAGACCCCAACCCCTACTGTCCGATCACACAATTCTGGTTAACTGGATAATTTGTCAAAGTTTAATGTACCCTCCAAAGCCAGACACAGCCTGTCCAATTCAACCGACTTCTAATGGCTGTGGTTGCTCCCACCAACAGCAGAACCTCCCCATCATAGGTCTCAAATATCAAGCACCAGAGCGACTCAAACATGGGCTCTCACTACGAATCCAACGCTCTACCAACTGTGCTAGGTACGGGACAGGCAAACAACAATGCATTGCATTGTAACAACATGTAGGTAGAACCTTAATCCAAACCAATGGATAATTAAAAGAAAAAAAAATTGTAAAACGTGATAAGAAGGAATAGGGAGTAGCAAAACTGTAAAAACCAAGTGAAAGCAACAAATTGAGACTCACCATAATATTGTGAAGCGTTGGGATTGCGAAAAGTTTTCACAATGTAACTTTGATCCCTGCCTCTTTGATGAGGCTGAGACATTTTCAATAGTACCTTATTCCAGATAACTAGCAGAGCTTCAAAGAATTATTTGGGTTTATCCGAAAATATACGTAATGCCTCCTATCTCCCTCCAGAGATTCTAATGAGTCACGGGAATACCCAAAAACCTGTTCTTTAGCATCTTTTCATTGGAAGCGTTTTCCAAAATTATGACGTAAATTGGTATATTTACGGTTGTTATTGTACGCAAAATCAAGATTCTTTTAGTAAATTTAACAAATTTGATTAACTAGATCCAGCATTATTTTATCTCAAAACTATACATAAAAATAGGGTAGCAATCTTTCTAAAAAATTATTTGCAATGTTAGCGATAGCTAGCATAGCACTGATTCTACATGTTTTGAACACCCTTTCAGCGTGTGTGTTCGCAATATTAGTATACGCCACTAATTTATTGTATATGTATAGCAATACGAATTCGTCGGAGAAAAAGAAAGAGAATTAGGAGCAAAGACCTTATACAAGTTGAAGTTCAACTAGACTTTTACGTTACTAATTTTTTCATCCAAATTTGACCGACCAGTGTTGCCTTCAGGGCTGAAGATCCGCACGGATTCGCATCCGGTTACAGGTTCTCGCTGGGACCTGTCAGAACTTGGCGCAGCAGTAATATTGTGCATTGTGCAAGGCACAAGGGCGCGGTTATCACCGGCATGAATCACATCACTTTTATTGCGAGGAAAGTCGATTTCATGCAATCTGAAATCCAATCAAATATACAATTTTCTAGAGGTATGTTCAGTTTGCAACAGTCTCGTTCATCCTAATAATTAAAAAACTGTGGATGGATTCACCCAGTTCCCTTTTAGTATGTTTTAGGGCCTTGCCTTTTACCTTCTCGTGCAGTGTCCACGCTCTCATCCACACCGTCCGGCGATCTCCTAAATGATCGCTAGACGAAGCTCCAAGAAGAGCCCATACACCTATCATTCTCCGAGAGGATGTGTTTATTTAAGACTTCTCACAAGCCACAACACAGCGACAGCATCGTACTCCCCCAGTGTGCATCTCGTGGTTAGCCGTTCGCCACACGAACGAAAGCCGCATCTCCAGCTTCACATTAACAGCCGCGGATCGTTATCATTTCAAATCGTAGCCCTTTGTAGAGCAACCAGTTATTGTTCATTAAACAATCTTAATCACGAGTCACAAAAGCCCGGCAATATAACACCGTATCATACCAGGATAACGGTTGCCGCGTTACTCAACATGAGCTCTGCCGCCCGGCCGTCACCGCAGCCGCGCTACGTACTTGCATATGCCCGATACGCAGGAAACGGGGTTGTCGCATCTGAGTCAGAGAGACATTCACACGCACCCTATCGAACCAGAGCCCACCTCAGCCGCAGCACTGAACAGAGCCACAATGAACGCATTTACTAACAGCTCACCCAAGGCACACTGGAGCCGGAGGGGTTATATGCTCCGGCCCATGCGCCAGTCTCCCGCCACAGTGCTGGGGCGCCGTCCGGAATACCTTGGCGCTACCAGCCACCGAGGGCATCGAGTGATCCAGCCGCCTCTGCCGCGAAGAGACGCGTCCAACAGACCAATTCAACAGCATCGGGTGCTTAAATCCAGCCAAGCAGCGTGCATCACGAGTCCATGTTGCCGAACAGCTGTTGGCTCCGTAATTACTAATGCAGTGCCGCCTCACACTGCCGCGTAGAATTAACGAATGGCGTCTGTGATCTCCCCGTCCCCGCCGCACGCCTGGCGAGACGCGCCTAGCGGTACTGCTGCCTGGGGTACGGGTAACCCGGGTACGGCTGCTGGCCCGGCGGCTGCTGGTACGGCTGCTGGCCCGGCTGCTGCTGATACGGCTGCTGTCCCGGCTGACCCGGCTGCGGGTACGGGTACCCGTAGTGCTGCGGCATGGCGCCCGGGTAGGTGCCGTACGGGTTAAAGCCGCCCGGCATTGGAGTGTAGTACGGGTAAGGCGCGTACGGCTGCGGCATACTCGGCTGCGACGGGTAGGGCATCGCCCCCGGCGGCGCGCCGGCGTACGGGTTGGGCGCCGGGTCCGCGGGCGGCGCCGAAGAGCCGCCGGCGCTGGAGGACGAGGTCGGCGAGGTGGTGGGCGGCGGCGGACGCGGCGGCGGCTGGCGCGCGGCAGGCGTGGGAGTCTCCGGCGCCTTAGGCGCGGATCCCGCCTGCTGGTTGGCCAGGGTGGACGTCATGTCCTTCATCAGCTCTTCTTTCTCCGTCTTACGCGCAAAGCAGAAGTCAGACACCTTGTTCTGGAAGGTGAGCAGCAACTGCGTGAGGTCGTTGTAGAACTTCATACCCTCCTTCAGATTTCCACGCAGCTCGGTGAACACATCGTGCGCCGTCGCCAGGTCCTTGAACATCGTCTCCCGCTGCGAGCCGCCCGAGCCACGCTGCTTCACAAACTCGGTGTTGGCCTCCTGGATTTCGGCGAGCAGCTTCTCCTGCGCGGCCAGGCTCTCGGCAGCGGCGGTGCGCAGGTGTCCGTAGGTAGTGGCCAGCGTCTCCTCGGAGACGGCCGCCTCGCTGACGGCACCGTCCGCCTGCAGCGCCTGCAGGAACACAGACTTCAGGTCGGTGGTGGCCGACTTGAGCTGGCACTCGAGCACGTCCCGGTCCGACTTGATCGTCTCCACTCGCTCCATCAGCGCCTTGAGTCGCTGGGCGGCCGGCGATCCGCCGTCCACCGACGAGTGACCCTGCGGCGTGGCCGCCGCCAGCTCCGACTCCGACTTACTGAGCAGCTCGATCCCGGCGCGGTTGGCGTCGAACTTGGCGCGCACCACAGAGTCCGCCTGCACGGCGTTGGCCAGGATCTGACGGTACTTGGCAGCGTTCTGCTGGAACGACTCGGTCAGCTTGGCGGAAGGCGTGCGCGTCCACTTGGCACCAAACTGCGCGCGCAACTGGTCATCAGAACTCTTCTCCTCGTCGAGCATGCGTTGCGTTTCCTCGAGGATGTCCTTGTTTCGCGTCAGTAGCTCCGGGAGGTCCTCCAGCTGGGCCTGTATGGCAGCCAAGCCACCATCCTCACGCACGTGCGCAGCCTTCTCCCGAATGCTGCTCGGCAGCGCGGTACCGCTGGTGTCCTCCAGCGCGGCCGGCAGGTTCAGCGAGGCCAGTACACCGTTCAGCGTTTGGGTCGCCTCACGCAAACGGCCTACCTCCGTGTTGACCAGCTCTGTCTTGCGCACCTCGTAGCCAGCCATGGCCTGCTGCACCGGCACCGGGGTCAGCTGGGCGAACAAGTCGCGGAAGTCCTTGCTGTAGTGTTCTGGCGCTGGCAGCAGCTTGGCGATGGCGGCCTTTCCGATCGGCGCCAGTGCCTTCACGTCCGGCACGCGCTCGTGATAGATGAAGTCGTTGTCCTTCTTGGCGGAGGCGAGCGCCTGCTGCGCGCGCGCGGCGTACACACCCCAGGCGGGAACGTCGCCGGCCCGGGTGGCGGCCGAGCGGATCAGACTCTCGGCGTGCTGCAGCCGAGCGATCTCCTCGCCGACTGCCTTGTTAGCGTTGCAGACGCGGCTCTGGTAGTACTCGGCCAGTCCCTGGTAAAGCGTCTGCTTCAGCGCCACCGTCGAGAGCCATTCGCGCTCCCACAGACTCTTCACCGACTCGCGCTGCATCGCCTTCAGCGACTCGGAGTAGTAGTCGTCACACTGGGCGCACAGTTTGGCGATGATGGCCTCCTTCATCTGGTCCCGGATCGCTTTCAACACGAAAGCCTCCTGAGCCTGCGCCTGCATCAGCTGTGACAGCGCCGCCAGCGTCTCCGGGTTCAGGTCCGGCGTCGGTTCCTGGTGGATGGCAGACATGACGCCCGTCTTCAGGTGGTTGAAGTTGCTGGCGGCGTGCTGCAGCATCTTGGCGGCTGTCTTCAAACCATCGTCGCTCTCAAAGTTCTGCACGGCGGCGATCTGACTCTGTAGCGCGGCTATGTTGAAAAGCATACAGATGCGCTCGAACGCGAACGAAGCGACCGTCAGGCTCTGCCGTCCGCTCAACCATGAGCCCTTGTCGAACGCGTCCTTCCATTTGAAGTAAATGGTAACCTCCTGGGCGGGGATTTTGGCCTCGGTGGCCAACAGCTGGTCGTAGTAGCGGTACAGTACTTCCAACGCGCTCTCAGTTTTGTCGAAGCTCTTCCAAGTGGCGCTGGCACGGAGTTTGTTCATCTCCTGAATGGCGTCGGCATAGTCGGCAGGGTTGTCGGCCGTACTGTACGATGAAGCGATGATGCTCTTTAGCGGCCGAACCAGGTCCTGTTCAGATGTCCGCTTGATTGGCACCGCGATGAAATCCATGGCGGCGCTCTCAGCGGCTGCGGGCAGAACCGAAAGGGCATGTCTGTGACGTGGCTAAACCATAGCGGCTTGGTTCAGTGCAGTCAATATATATATATATATATATATATATATATATATATATATATATATATATATATATATATATATATATATATATATATATATATAGCGCCCCTTACCATATATATATATATATATATATATATATATATATATATATATATATATATATATATATATATATATATATATATATATATCAGTGGCGGCGGAAGGTATTCTAGGATAGGGGTGCAAACGATATTGAAGCGCCCCTTCCCGCTGGGCGCCCCTTACCATGCCGATGGCCGTCCCTGCACTGGAAAATCAGTTTCGCCCCTATACAGGCGCCCATAGAAGTTTGCAGAGTGCTATTCCTGGTCATAATCATCTCCCCAGTAAAAAAAAAACGCAAAATACGCCCTAGCACTAGGGTGTAACCGCCCATACGGACAGTGCAATTTTACAGGCCCCAATCTCGGACCTCCCTTAACATTCATATGTTGTAAACGGCAAACCGCCCCCGATAAATGTTACACAAACTAATTTCCTCTCGCATATCGGCCATCAGGCGCCCCTTTTTGTCGCATGGAGCCTGCAACGCTATAAGCCCTCATATGTTCGTGTTGGCGTTCGGAGGCTATCGCCTTCAAAGACGTCTCCATAAATGTTTCTTTTTCGTCCCACACACAGGCGCCCCTCTTTCGCATGCAGGCGCCCCTCTTCCGCATGGCGCGCTTCTCGAGTAGCTGCGCCCTCCTAGCCTTTATCGCCTGGCAAGATTATATTCGACAGGGTCGGCAGCATCTGCCTTTGTTTCAGATAAGGATGCCCTCCACTCTTCAGCATATCAAAAGATACTTTTCCCACGTCATTGCCACCCTCTTCGTGTCACAAGTGCCTTTATCAGTTGCGGTGTCGCCTCGCACTGCTCAGCTTTATGGCTGCCGCACCTCTTAACTTCCTGCCTCCTCTACAGATTTTCGAGGCGCCCCTTTCCATAGCTTTAGGGTGCAGCTGCCCCCCTTGCCCCCCTGCTTCCGCCGCCACTGAATTATATATATATATATATATATATATATAGGTTGCGTCAAAAGTTGTGATACCTTCCATATTTCCGAGAGAAGTTGGTACTTGGTAGGTATATTTCCAATATGCTCTAAAATATATCGCGTAGCTGAGAACGTCCTTGCTTTTCCGCGTCCTTCCCTGAGGCGGAGATTAGCTGAACAGCTGATCTTGACCCAGATAGTGAATAGCATGGGTCATTGTCTACCCAGTGACCGGTGCATGAACTACGGCCTAGACATGGGGGTCTAACTTTTCAGTTCAGAGGTGCATAGTCGCGCTGTCAACATTTTCTAAGCTGGCAACACACAGAAGGACGTTGGGTAATTTATTGCGTTTTTATCCCTTTTAAAATGAATTCAAAAGGTTAGGCCATACATGCACTTATATGTCACACAGAAGGACATTGCCTAACACTTTAGGGTACCAAAATCCACCATTAAGCGCTGGTGGAAGAAGGTTTAGGAGAAGGGGGGCGTCAAATTTAGACCCCAATCAGTGTGGCTCTTCCGCATTTCAACTGTCGCCAAAGTCGACGTGACTATATCACCTGGGAAATCCGAGCAATCTGCAAAAAGGGTGGCTCAAAGGTAAACTTGCTAGAATAATCCGATGTCTGAGACAATTGTCCGTAGGTGTCGGAGGGGCAAACTCGTATTTAAGGCCCATAAAACTGGTGTTGAAGAAAAATCAACGGAAAATGGTCTAAAGAATGTTGGACACAATTTATCCCCGACTTTAGCCCCACAGGCTTCGCAAACTGAAATATCCTGAAAACCCAACTCTACCGAGTCCCTGAAACACCGTAAATGACATACGGCGCAGCATTGTTACAGCATGGGGGATCGAGGAAAACAAGTGAGAAGACGGTGCAGCGGCCGCGTGCCATAGTGCTCTCGCATCTCGGGCGCGTAACATAAGAAATTTATTAGTTAGGAGATGACATTGTTATATATATGTAAAAGATGACATAGCTATGTCAGCGCGCCTTGAAACAAAGTGAAATTTTTGATGGGTAAATATTTATGGCTCACCCTGTACTCTGAAAGGATGTGGCCTTGAGATGGGTGCTAGCTAGTGAGTAGATACATAAAAATTTATTATGTCACAATTCACAAACATGATGAGGCAAAACCCTCTCATTGATCTAAAATATTGCATCAACGGTATGTATATGACATAATGACCTCTCCCGTCTCCGTGGCTTAGTGGATAAAAGCACTGGAATTTGAAACTTGGCTGGTAGTGAGAGCCTGGGCCCTGTTCGCTCGCTGTTTTTATATCAGCGTGCTGTCGGTTTTCCCCATATAAGGAAGTTATTGCTGGCACGGCTTGGCCACTCATTGGACTAACGAATAGACCACTTGAATTCGACCAATGAGGAGCCAAGAAGCAGCAGCATGGTCGCAGCCTGCTGATAAATAAACGGGGTGCGAACAGAGCTCCGGCTCAAGCCCTGGTGCGGGCTGCCACATTTAGCTTCTACGTGTAGCAGGGGCCGCACAAAACCCTGGTAATGTCAGTGAGTGGAGGGGTCCACCGCCCACCGGCCATGTCCAGTCGTGAGGGCACATTATACGTTGGTTCACGTTCAGACAAAATTCTGTCATACAACTGGAATTGCGCTATCAGGTGGTAGGGTCAGGGTCAGCACAACACCCTATGCTTAGTGCAGGCTCTGATTCATCAAATCTGCCCATTCAACCTTTTGGACTAAATGCATGAAAAAAATAAATTGATCAATAGGTACCTACCTATATTATGAAGCTAAGCCATCTGTCATATGATAAACCTCTTTCAACATGTTCAAGAATCAGAACAACACTCAATGGGGACACCTCCAACTGCTTCATCCCGCCTGTACCATGCCACAAGTAACAGTCCACACTGTCACTCATGAACTCGATTGAAGCGGCTGCGGACAATACAGGCCATAGGCCTCTAAATTTTCAGTGCAACTTCAGTGAGTAGGTCAAGGTATTAAGGCCTGAGATGATGTTTTTCGTAAGAAAATCAACACCTAAGTATTAAGGCCTATTGATATTGTATCAAGCTAATGACATCTTTGATATGTGTGGTAACTCCTTCAATAGTAAAATTGAAATAAGAAGATAAAGATGTTGATGGTGATGAGTCATAGGTACCGATGTGATTACAATACACAATTCCCACTCCCCTTCTTCGGCCTAGATATCAATTTCCCGTGCTCAAGGTGCACATTGGAAGACCACCATTTTCAGAGCAATTGGCTCAAAGAAAAAACAATTTAAAAAATAAAAATGCACAAACAGCCCCACCTTTCAATCGCTGGCTGGATTGCCAACACAAAACCAACGCCGGCGCGGCGAAAAGTGATTCAAAGACGAAATAGACGAAAAGTAAGCTTAATATTCATGTACCGGTGAAACAAAAACTTATGACGTCACATAGCTTTTTACAGTATCAGCAAATAGGATGCTTGTTTTCAAAACGGTTTTGTTTTAGGCTTCCAGCTGTTGCCCTTTTAGGTCAAAAGCCTTTAAACTCAGTCACTCAGAACTCAATAGCCAATCATCCTTACCATCGCCAATCAAGAAACAATAGACAAGATATGACTTTTAATATCAATGGGGTTCAACCATACCCTTTGACTTGCCATACTAGCGAGTATATTAGCGGCCATCTTAGGGCAGTCATTTACCTAGACTCGCCGTAGCTCATTCCAGTCTTATTGATTCCAGTGAAGTGAATGGGTTCAGGGTTGAGTGCTTTCGAGAGTCTGTGTTTGATCTTTGGGGGCTTCAGAAGATAGTTATAATTGTGAAACTCTCAGAGAGGCAAAAACACCATCACATGTGCCTTTTGTCATTTGTGTTTATGAAGCTAGGGAAGGATCGTCGGCCGGGGCGGCGATCCTTCCCTATTTTGGGCGGGTGCAGGGGTGCAGCCAAGGGGGGGGGGGGCGGTGGATCACACTGGGCCTTAGCCCCTCCCAAATCTAGCAGGCGCCTTCTACGATCATTCTGGGCGCTGAAGGCTCCTTTTCAGTGTCCAGCACTCTAGTCGCCCTCGACGGTAAGCCATTTCGGCACACCATGCGGCACTGGCGCCCAGGTTTACAATTTTATATCTCTTTGTGGGTGAAGATGCACCCACAATCCTATTCCTATAGCGACAAGCGGTAAACGGCATCGGATACGCACGTACAAGGTCTAAAATTTTTACTAAGGTCATTTTTAGGTCAGGTCAAAGATGACGTCACAGGGGTCGAAAAAGTCAAAATGGCGGCGCTAGATATGGAGAGTTTTTCTCGAATAACTTTCGAATTAGTCAAGGTAGGAGCAAACTAAGGGCATCATCGTGATCCCCTCGTCAATCCGCATCGAATGATATTTATGTTGACCTCGAAAGGTCAAGGTCAAAGGTTGACCTCAGGTCACGTGACCTCGAGGTCATCATGCATATCATTCGATGCGTCTTGACGGCTGAACACAATGCGACCATCCGCGCGGCTGTATCTTGTTCCTGTACGGAGTTAATGGCAAAAAAACCTTTGGTGACCTTTGATGACGTCACATGACCTTACAGCTACCCAACACCTCAAGGTAGTGAAGGTTGATCGTATATGAAGTTATGTATGGTATATGGGGCCATTCCGACCCGTTTTAGTGGTATAAACCAAGATTACTTTACTACTCGTATAAACAGGGAGTTAATTTTCCCCCCATTGACTTATCCTTCCAGGTGGTGGGGGGGGGGGGCATTTTTTTGCCCCCCTTCAGTTTTTTTTCAATATATCTCGAGAGCCGCTGCGCCGATCGTCACCAAACTGTCAGTACTCCCGGGAGCAGCTAGCGCACATGGTGACCAAAATTTTTTCCAAAGGCTATGATAGGTTGGCCGCTAATGACGTCAGAGTGACGTCATTTTTGCCATTTTCGACCAAAAAAAAGGTTTCGCGGGAAGAGCTGTCGGGCCTACAGCTTTAGAGATACAGAAAAATGTTTCAGACATAAACGTTGTGAAATCAAAAGGGCTACAAAACTGCTATTTCGATTTTTCGAATTTTTTTGGATTTTGACCCCCAAAAATAAAAAAAATAGATTTTTTTCAATATAATAGCCAAAGAATCCAAAAAGTTTTTTGAATTTCGAAAAAACCGGAATATATGTGATAGTCCCTACCGCCTTCTATCTACATACCAAATATGAGATCGATACCTCTTTTTTTTGGCCAAGTTATAGCGAAAAAACTGTTCAAAATTGATGACGTCAAATTTTCAAACTCAATTTTTAGCAATTCTAGACCTCGTAGCGCAAAACAAAAACCACCATTAGACTTCCCGTGACGAGCTGCAACGAATCGATACCCATTTTATGCAAAAATATCAACTTTGAAATTTGACCTTTTTTGACCTGACCTTGACCTGAACTCCACCAGAAAGTGGCCTTAACCGTACCTGATGGTCTTATAACCAACATCATTGAGTTGGAAATGAAAAACTGGCCATAAAACATGCATCGCATAACCTTAGTAAAGTTGGGCTCATGTGGTGACTGGTGACCCTTGGTGACCTTTAGTGACCTGACCTGTGACCTGACCTGGTATGACCAGTGACCTCTAATAGCAACATATGTACTAGACAAATGACGCCTTATCGCTGATTTTCGACAAAATGCGTTTCACTCGGTGTTATAGCGCTTTCCCTAGAAGCCCCGTGAACGGTGAAACATTTTATCTTTGACCTGACCTGTGACGTCATCAGTGACCCCGAGGTCAATGAAATTTGGTTTCCGTCGACAAATTTGACAGGGCTATCGAACGCCTTTTGAATTTTCCGGATCCGTCCAGTAGTTTCGGAGATACGGGGGGGGGGAAATGCCCCCCCCCCCCCACCGCGCGGAAGGTGGCTGATAGGCCCACCGCCTGCCGGGTTATAATGGGGAGGTCGCGAAATTGCCCTGACCTTAGGTCACAGATATCAAAATTCCGAGACATACAAATTGTAGGCTGTAGCTACTAATGACCTCATAACATCCTGCGACTTTCAAAGTCCTCCGACATCTACTGTAGCTCTGGCATGGTGACAAAGTTGCAAAAAAAATGACTTGAGGTTGGGTCATTCAAAGTGCCTTGGTGACCTGACCTTAAAAGTTAGGAGGTTCAAACTTTCACACCATGTGTAAAATTGATGGCAGAATAGTCGTACCAAATTTTGAGGCGCTACGCGCCGCGGGTTTTCCGCTATTCGCGAAAAACCTCAGGGGGGGGGGGCGGATATCCGCCCCCCGTCGGTGCGCGTGTTAAGGATTGCTGGCACGGAGATTAACTCGAGTAACTGCGGTTACATTATTCAATTGTTTTGGTAACTAAGACACATCGAGTGCCTGTAAAAAATTATTAGTTCTCTAAGTAATAAAGATTGCATTTATTTTTCATTTCAGCACGGAGTTCACATAACAGAAAGATCATGCACATGACATAAATAAGACTATTTATACACTGAAATAAATAGCCATCCACTCGATGAGAAATCGTCTCAAATCTACGCAATGACACATTGAGGCATTCTGGTCGATCATTTACATCAGTTTCACGATATCAGGTAATGGCAAGCGAAGTGTTGCAATATTAACTCCAAAGATTGGTGATGATGCTGCTCCACTTACAGTCCATAGGACTGGTTGGGCGTTGCCACGTTTCCCTCCTGGCCAGACGCTGCGGCATCGATGTTTGCCTCTCCCTCGTACTGAAACAAGGAAGAAGCATTGAACGAAATTGGCTACGAGAATGGATAGGCAAGTTTCGTCAAGGTGGTCCGCTGCGCGGCGGCAACAAGGCTTTAGTCAAGTCAATTAAAGCTGGTTTTACTGTAATTTTTTTTTTTAACCAGCTTTCGACCGTACGTTAATCATAATGACACTGAATTACAAGAACTATCATTTAAAGTGTTGTTACTTGTTAGGCATATTTCACAACACCCTTTTCTTTGGCGATATCGTTTATATTTTTTTTTTCCGAATGAAAGTAATGTTTGACCAAAAAAATAAAAGTATGTGACGCAAAAAATATATGATGATGATGATGATGATGACCACTGATCTTTTCAATCGCTTTTCATACACTATTTACCTGAATATCGACGACGTATCCAGAGTCGCCCTCGACTGAGTAGTTGACGATCTGCATGCGGCCGTCGGCCATCTGCACATAGTAGGAGCCCGACGTGGCGTCGCCGTCGCGGGTCTCCTGCTGGCCAAAGTTGTTGCCGCTCTCGTCGTCCTGCACGGCGTACTCGAAGTTGTAGGAGGCCGGCAGTTCTGCGACGTTGCCCTCGGGTCCGGAGGCGGCTCCGTCCGGCGTGCTGTAGGCCGTCTGGACGCTGGGCTGCTGCCCGGAGGCGGCTCCCTCCGTTCAGGGGGCGCTCCGTAGCCGCTGGCGGGCTGAGAGCCGTAGCCGCGCTCCTCGGGCCGAGCGGTGGCCAGACCGAGCACGGCAAGCACCAGGAGAAGCTGAAGGAAACGACCGGCGTCAGTGAGAGAGTGCTAGATACTCGAGACATTTCAAAGCACTTGAAAACATTTTAATTATTACCTAATTATGACCAAAGAAATAAAAGACGACAATTTTTCCAACAATTTTTAGTCCATTGATCTAAAAAACCAGCAACATAGTTTGACTTCTTTTCAAGTAGCTAGCTCCTACAGCACTCAGACCCTTCACAGTCCCATGAAAGATGAGCAGCAGATTCAACTCTCACTCTCCACGACGTTGCACCGGTTGAACCGCTCTCACCTTCATGATCGTCTCAGTGGAATTCTGTGGTACCGGTGAGTCGGTCTCGACTGTCTCCGTCAACTGGTGGCCTGCAGGTCAGAGCGGGCTGCTTTTATACGACGGACCGGCAGTGGCCTGGCCAAGGTCACATGTGGGCCATCTTCACACGGGCAGACGGTATCGGTGTCACTGCCGTGAAGCGTCCAGTACGAGCGAAAAACATAGTCGTCGCTGGATTTGCGACATTTTTAGCTGTAAATGAACTTATCTCAAGTCAAAGAAATAAGAATAATTTGATGTTTAGGTGACAATAGAAATGACCGAATTCATCGCTATCCTATTTTGACCGCCGCTTTCCACATGAGTTAACATGACTTACAAGCCGAAAAAGGAGGAAGCGTTTTCACTTCGAAAGTAGCATAGCAAATGTAATAAAGGAAAGTGCTTTTTAGCTTTCGCAGTTATGAAGAGAGTATAGTTGGACCCCTCGCTTTTTTAACAAATAACTCGCACAAAAAGCGGCTGATCGCGACGGCACTTTCAGCGCTTCGAGGTAATCAAATCAGCAATAATCCTTAGCCCTCGCCGGCACGGGGGAGATTGATGCGAAACCCTAAAGGTTTTTCGCAAATAACTCGCGAAAATAGCGGCCGATCACAACCAAACTTTCCGTACCCTCGTGTTGATCAATTTGTTGATCAATCGTGTTGTGTTGATCCTGACTCGAATGACCTTTGACCTGTAACCTACTTTTCGAGACCATGTTTGGCCGGATTCGCGATTCGGCTTACGTCGGCTCGCATTAGCCGCGCGTTTGCAATCTTTCCGTGGTCTTAACCCGGCACCGCCTGGGCTATTTCCGTACCCTCGGATCCGATCCCCCTGCTATCTCGAGAACCAATTGTCGTATCGAGCCCCGCGAGGCGGCGCTCGAAAGGTCTTTACGAGACCTTCCCAAAGCACTCTTAAGATTTTAAGATTGAGGTCAACTTTCGGATCAGGGTCAGGTCAAAGGTCAAATTCTGGAGTTTTGCATGATTAGGCTTACGGACAGCGGAATCGATAGCTGCTGCTCGAAACTCACCAAAAATGACCTCAAAGACCTAGTGAAGGTACCATGTGCGTATAGGGGTCATACTAGGTACGGGTCAAGGTCAGGTCAGGTCACGAAAGGTCACGGTTTTCACTTTCTGCCACATGGACGTGCGGTATGTTTTATGGCTTATTTTTTTTTCACGCCGAATCCGATGGTAATGGTTATATGTGACCCCAAGTCAATGTGCTGGTGATAAGTGTGCATTGAAAGCATAAAAAATCGTTTGTTCTATAGGTACCTACATAACTAAACGAGGGCTAAGAAAAAAGTCAATTTTTCAACTTTTTATTTTTGACACAAAAATGCATTTGTCTAGACGAGATTTGTCCCAGGATTCTATTGGTGCCACTTGTTTTCACATGCGATGTTCAGAAGTGCCTCCAATTTACGAAAATGCTTATGACGTCAGCATGCCCCATGCATGTTGGAGCTATTTTTTTTTACAATTTGGGGGTCAACAATCAAGATAGAAAGTTGAAATTTGGGACATCTAATGTTTTAATAGAGCTCTATAACATGCATTCCGGTTTTTTGGAAATTCTTAAAATTTTGGATTTTATAAGCTGTTTTCCAAAAATATAGTTTTTTGAATTTTTAGTGGTGAAAAACGCATTTTATGGAAAATCCGAGATGGCCATTTTTAAGAACTCGTTGAGCTGCTTCTATTCATGTCCTTAATTTGCAATTCGCTTCAAACCTTGATTTTTGGCGATTTTTCAAACATTTACCCCTTTTTGACTAAAAACGCCATGTAGTTACATCACTAAAATCAATATATCTGAAAAAGTTTTGAAAAAAAATTCTTAGAAATTGCACAGGAGACGTCCAATTCATACGGAAGAAGGTATGCAAAGTTTCAAGTCTATAGCGTAAACCGTTCATGAGTTATTCAAGAAAAATGGAGGGGGGTCGGGTCCGACCCCCCCCCCCCGCCCCAGGCGGTCGCGGGCTATGTAAGAGTTGAAACATGTGATTTGATGTTAGTCCCATGCATTGGGGTGGGTATCAAGGTCACGTGAAAGTCAGGTCAGGGCATTGACCTTTGATGAGCTCGGTTCACTTTTTCGAGTTTCAGGTACAAGTTTCTAGGCTAGTTGTTGGAGAGAAATTCGCATTTAGCAACCATTTGAGCATTTACGAAGTAGTTTTGGTGCTTTTGTAACCTGTTACATTGTTACAAAGCTGTCAGAGGCGTTAGACACCAACTACGAATACCCGGCAGGACCCTACTGGCTGACCTGACCTGACCTGAACTGACCTGGCCTAAATGCATGTAGGCAACATTTGTGATCAAAACTAACATGATACTCGTGATCAACACCCCGAAAAACCCCATAGCAGCCATACTTTACGACGTTCTAACAGATCCCGATTTTCCCGAATTTTGGGTCATTGACCTAACCTGAAAGGTCACCATTTGACTTATGACCTTAAAACCGAGTACAGTTGGCTTTGTCGCGTGACGACCACTACGATGGTTTTGTTCCGCGAGGCTCTAGCTCAATTAGGAGTCAAACGCGAGGGGGTCGTACCCCCCCCCTGTGCCGTCGAAGGACGGAAAATTGCCTGTGCCGGCGAGAGATAGAAGTTCATGTACCAGAGGCCAGTTTTACCAACAGAAAAATAGCCGCCTGTCAGATTTTTTTTTGCCAAAGACCAATTCACACACGAAGCGTAAAAGCGATGGGCACCTAAGCGGATAGGGCTTTACCGTTTACGTATGTGAAGTGGTCTTTGGCAAAAAAAAAAAAATCCGGCAGGCGGCTATTTTTCTGATGGTAAAACTGGCCTCTGAATCAAATAATATCTGTTCTCTGACCTGTTTCTCGGGACCATGTCAGGCGAGAATTGCGATTCAGTATATGTCAAGCTACATTATCCGTGCCATTCCAGACTGTTTGTGATTAGGAATGTGTGAAAATGTGAGCTGATGCTGTTCCTATGCATTGTCGTGGATGTAATGGTCACTTGAAAGTTGAAGGTCAGGTTAAGATCATTAACCTTAGATGACCTAGGATCACTTGATCGTGTTTTACAAATTATTAGAGTAGGTTTGGGACTGATTTCGAATCTCGCACCCATTTGAACATTAACCCGGCAGTTGCTGGGGTATTTCGCCACCCGCCGTTTGCTGGGGGGGGGGGGGGCGTTAAACGCCCCCAGCCGATAACTCGAGAAGCAATTGGCGCAGCGAAACCCACGAGGCGGCAAACGAAAGAACGCGACGAGACGCTTCAGATGAGTACTTTAAAGTTTAATTTTGAGTCAAGGTCAGGTCAAACATCTGAAATGGGCTTTCAGTAGCATGGACTTCAGGTCTTCGCAATGGGTGCCTCTCGTCATAAACTCTCTCAAAACGGTGCAGTGCGCAATCCTTCATATAAGGCCTACAAGAGTGTCAGCTCCATGTAGGGGTCAGTCACGCATAGGTCAGGGTCAAGGTCAGGTCAAACGGGTAGGCACTTTTCCCTGAAAATCAAAACTGATATTCGCAGCCTGTGACACATGTTTTATGGGTAATTTTAGGCGTAGAACACGATGGTGACATTCATTTTAACATATGTGTACGTGTTTTGCTCAAAAAGTTCAATTTAAGAAATGCATGTATCATGGCCCTGTCCCGTTCGAGTCGCTCCGGCGCTCGATATTTGAGACTCCTAACGGGGATGGTCTGCGGTTGGTGGGAGCATCCGCAGCCAGTTGAAGTCAGTTGAGTGGGACAGGCCGTGTCCGGCTTTGAAGGGTACGTTAAACTTTGGCATCTAAATTCTCCCGTTACCCGGAATTGCGCGATCGGGCGGTAGGAGTCGGGGTCTACGCAACAAGCTCTGCTTAGCGTGGCCTCGGCTCTGTCAATCCGTCTCGATTCAAACATTCGAACTAAATTTATAAAAAAAGTAGTCACGAGAAATTGCCAAGATTCAGTTCAAGATTTTGGAAAATGCGGAACGATAATCAATAATCGAAGATAGCCATTTGATTGTTCATGGTATTGGCAGCCTAATGGCGTTTACGGCATGTCTGTATGTCTGTTCTGTGATTTTATATGATTTTTTGAACATACGCCGTTTTTTGGACGAAAACTCAGAAATCATGACGTCACTAAAACCTCAATATCTCAAAAAATTTCCGATCGATTTTTTTGAAACTTTGTCACAATAAACTTTAATCAATTCCATACAGGTACCTAAATTTTGGCGCGCCTGCAGCGCACCGTTTTTATTCTATGGTGCTGCGAAAAAAGTGGGGGCGTTTAACGCCCCCCCCCCCCCAGCAACTCGCGTTATAGTTTTGGTGCCTATGCAAGATGTTACGAAGCTGTCAGTAGTGGTTAACCTGCGCTCTGCTGGGAAGGAGGGATGTTTGAACACCCCCCGTGGTTTTTCGCGAATTTCTAAAAGAAGAAAAAAAAAACGGCGGCGTGGAGCACGCCCTATTATGCATCGATTCTACATCTGTTGTAAGATTCTTTTATACCAAGGTCATTTAAGGTCAGGTCGCCAGGTCACTTCAAGTGACCTCATCTCATAAAAAGTTTGAATGTGTGCCATAGCTACCTACACCCAGTGACCGATCGTTTTGAAGCTTTTAGCGATTGATAAAAGCAACAGTACATGCATCGATTGTAGGGACTGTATAACAGTGATTTTACAGCGATTGTACATTTTGTAGGTACAAAATGTATACCTTGGAATTTCGATATCGGTGGCCTATGGTCAGTTAGATTTTGCGACCTCTTCATTTTAAGTTAGTGGGAGACAATTAACAAAAGTAAAAGTCCTTGAAAACCTTGAAACCTTGAAAAACAGTGAATATTTTTTCTGTTAAATTTGGTAGATATTTATTTGTTATCTTTCTGAACCACGGTTCGCTCCAAACGTAGTCCATTAATTTTGCACAGGGTGATAAAGACATCCAAAGAAAAATAAGACGGGTGAAACAAAAATTGTAAACGGCTGAACGATATACATTCAGATATCTGAAAGATGATTGGTATACAACGAAAGGCACCGGTGTAATATACAGCAGCCGATTTCATCGGTGCCGTATTTGATGATCGATGGCACATGGACCAACAGACAAGTTTACTCGGGTACATCATTTACTTGCTTTGGTAGGACCTATCGTCTGTCAGAAAAGCTCATCAGTTCACTATGTAAGATAAACTTGCATGTATTTTTTTTTCATTTCAGGACACAGATCACATAACAGAAAGATCACACATGACATAAATAAGTTATTTACACACTCAAATAAATAACCATCCTCTCGATGAGAAATCGTCTCAAATCTACACAATGGCACATTGAGACATTCTGTTCGATCGCTTACATCAGTTCCGCAGTATCAGGTAATCACAAAAAAGTGCTGCAGTATCAACTCCAAAGACCGATGATGATGCTGCTCCATTTACAGTCCATAGGACTGGTTGGGCGTTGCCACGTTTCCCTCCTGGCCAGACGCTGCGGCATCGATGTTTGCCTCTCCCTCGTACTGAAACAAGGAAATAGCATTGTAACGGAACTGACTGCGAGAATGGATAGGCATTTGATTTTAGTCAATTAAAGCTGCTTTACTGCTATTTTTACCAGCTTCTCTGCGTTTATTACATTGAAAACAATAACGATCGGCGCTTGGAAGTTATTAATAATAAATGCTGCTTAAAAAGTGTTGTTAGGCTTATTTCATAATACCGCTTTCTTTGGCAATATCGTTTATATTTTTAATTTTTACGAATGAATGTAACGTTTGACCAATGATCTTTTCAATCGCTTTTCATACACTACTTGCCTGAATATCGACGACGTATCCGGAGTCGCCCTCGACCGAGTAGTTGACGATCTGCATGCGGCCGTCGGCCATCTGCACATAGTAGGAGCCCGACGTGGCGTCGCCGTCGCGGGTCTCCTGCTGGCCAAAGTTGTTGCCGCTCTCGTCGTCCTGCACGGCGTACTCGAAGTTGTAGGAGGCCGGCAGTTCTGCGACGTTGCCCTCGGGTCCGGAGGCGGCTCCGTCCGGCGTGCTGTAGGCCGTCTGGACGCTGGGCTGCTGCCCGGAGGCGGCTCCCTCCTGTTCAGGGGGCGCTCCGTAGCCGCTGGCGGGCTGAGAGCCGTAGCCGCGCTCCTCGGGCCGAGCGGTGGCCAGACCGAGCACGGCAAGCACCAGGAGAAGCTGAAGGAAACGACCGGCGTCAGTGAGAGAGTGCTAGATACTCGAGGCATTTCAAAGCATAAGATAACATTTTAATTATCACCTAATTATGACCAAAGAAATAAAAGAAGACAATTTTGTCAACAATGTTTAGTTCATTGATGTAAAAAAACAACAACATAGTGCGACTTCTTTCCAAGTAAATAGCTCCTCCAGCACTCAGACCCTTCACAGTCCCATGAAAGAAGAGCAACAGATTCCACTCTCACTCTCCACGACGTTGCACCGGTTGAACCGCTCTCACCTTCATGATCGTCTCAGTGGAGTTCTGTGGTACCGATGAGTCGGTCTCGACTGTCTCCGTCAACTGGTGGCCTGCAGGTCAGAGCGGGCTGCTTTTATACGGCGGACCGGCAGCGGCCTGGCCAAGGTCACAGGCGGGCCATCTTCACACGGGCAGACGGCATCGGTGACACCGCCGTGAAGCGTCGAGTGCGAGAGAGAAACATAGTCGTCGCTGGATTTGCGACATTTTTAAGTGACCCAGGGCTGCGGAGTCGGAGTCGGAGTCGGAGTCGGAGTCGGAGTCGGTCGGAGTCGACAGTTGTGACCGGAGTCGGAGTCGGAGTCGGAGTCGGAGTCGATTTTAGAAACCCGAGCCGGAGTCGGAGTCGGAGTCACCGAAAATCTGTCGACTCCGCAGCCCTGCTAAGTCTGCGGAGTCGGAGTCGGGAGTTGGAGTCGGTCGGAGTCGACAATTCTGCCCGGAGTCGGAGTCGGAGTCGGAGCTGGTTTTTGAAAGCCGGAGTCGGAGTCGGAGTCGGAGTCGCCGAAAATCCATCGACTCCGCAGCCTTGTTTTTAACTATAGGGCCCCTAAATTAGCTTATCTCAAGTCAAAGAAATAAGAATAATTTGATTTCTAGGTGACATTCGAAATGACCGAATTTATTGCTATCCTATTTTGACCGCCGCTTTCCACATGGCTACCAACATGACTTGCAAGTCGAAAAAGGAGGAACTCATTAACATAGCAAATGTAATGCAGGAAAATGCTTTTTAGCTCTCGCAGTTATGAAGAGAGCATAGATGGACCACTCGCTTTTTTTAACAAATAACTTGCGCAAAAAGCGGCTGACCGCGACGGCATTTTCAGTGCTTCGAGGTAATCAAATCAAATCAGCAATAATCCCTAACTCTCGCCGGCACGGGGGGATTGATGCAACTTGATGATTACCTGATCAATCATCTGAAGAATCATCTATCAAGGTCATCTGAAGATCAGGTCAGGGAACTGACCTTCAATGACCTCGGTTCACTTTTTCGAGTTTTACATGTTTCTAGGCTAGTATTTGGAGATGAATTCGCATTTAGCAACCATTTGAACATCAACGAAGTAGTTTTGGTGCCTTCGTAACCTGTTACATTGTTGCAAAGCTGTCAGAGGCGTTAGACACCTACTACGAATACCCAACAGGACCTTACTGGTTGACCTGACCTGACCTGACCGGACCTGGCCTAAATGCGTGAAGCCATCATCTGTGATAAAAACTAACATGATATTCGTGATCAGCACCCCGATAAACCCAATAGCAGCCATACTTTACGACGTTCTAACATATCCCGATGTTCCCGACTTTTGGGTCATTGCCCTGACCTGGAAGGTCACCATTTGACCTATGACCTTAAAACCGGGTACCATTGGCTTCGTCGCGTGACGACCTATACGATGGTTTTGTTCCGCGAGGCTCTAGCTCAAATAGGGGCCAAACGCGATGGGCACGTCAGCGGATAGGGCTTTACTGTTTACGCTCCGTATGTGAAGTGGTCTTTGGGAAAAGAAAAATCCGACAGGCGGCTACTTTTCTGTTGGTAAAACTGTGCCCTGAGGCCTGAGCCAAATAATATATGTTCTCTGACCTGTTTCTCGGGACGATGTCAGGCCAGAATTGCTATTCAGTGTATGTCAAGTCACATTATCCGTGCCATTCCAGACCCTTTGTGATTAGAAATGTGTGAAAATGTGAGCTGATGCTGTTCCTATGCATTGTCGTGAATGTAAGGGTCACGTGAAAGTCATGGGGTTAAAGGGACCCTCCCACCTTAACATTAGATTTGAGTTGAGATAGCCAAAATGGGGTCCCTGGCTCACAATTACCGGTTTCGGCACTCACAACATCGAGAAATGCCTTAAATCGGAAATATTGAATTTCAAAATTGCAGCATTTTGATTCAGAGGGGCTAATGCTTAGGAATACCTCTCTGAATGTGTGACGTCAGCGCAGATATCTAACGATTTTTAAATGTTTGACTAAAACGTTTTGTAGCACGCGGTGGTATATGCTATTTGCGCGCAACATCTGCCGCAAACGCCGCACTTCTAAAATAAAGTCGCTAGAAACAGCGGAGATCTAAAAAAGTAAACAAAAGTAAAAGTCTAATATCTTGAAAACCGGTGAATATTTTTCGGTGAAATTTGGTAGATATTCGTTTTCGCTCTTTCTGAACCGAGCGACATCACTTTCATGCCAATTCATAAACTTTTTTGAAGGTGGGAGGGTCCCTTTAAGATCATTAACCTTAGATGACCTTGGATCGCTTGTTCGTGTTTAACAAATAATTAGAGTAGGTTTTGGACTGATTTCGAATCACGCACCCATTTGAACATTAAAGGAGTAGTTTTGGTGCCTATGCAAGATGTTACGTAGCTGTCAGTAGTTAACCGGTAACCCGCGCAGCGCGCTCTGCTGGGGGCGGCCCATGGTTTTCCGCGAATTTTTAGAAAACGGCGGTGCGGAGCACACCTTTTTATACATCAATTCTACACCTGTTGTTTTTTTAGACCAAGGTCATTCAATACATCAATTGTAGCGACTGTACAGTAATTGTACAGTAACAGCGATTGTACATTTGGTATGTACAAAATGTATACCTCGGAATTTCGATAACAGTGACCTATGGTCAGGTCAATTTTTCGAATTCTCTATGATATGGGAGAAAATTAACAAAAGTAAAAATCATATATCTTTAAAACCGGTGCAAATTTTTTGGTGGAATTTGGTAGATATTCATTTTTAATCTTGCCGAACGACAGAACATCGCTTTTATGCCAATTCATTAATTTTTTAAGTTGGGAGGGTCCCTTTAAATACTACCCACCCATTAGGATTAATATTAATCAACCGTCTCTCTCTCTCTCTCTCTCTCTCTCTCTCTCTCTCTCTCTCTCTCTCTCTCTCTCTCTCTCTCTCTCTCTCTCTCTCTCTCTCTCTCTCTCTCTCTCTCTCTCTCTCTCTCTCTATCTCTCTCTCTCTCTCTCTCTCTCTCTCGCTCTCTCTCTCTCTCTCTCTCTCTCTCTCTCTCTCTCTCTCTCTCTCTCTCTCTCTCTCTCTCTCTCTCTCTCTCTTGTGGATACAATTTTGACGTATGTTGGCCATACGTTTCCACACAAACCCTTTTCTTGATTTGTATGTGGCATTTCTATTGGCTACTGAAGAACGCTACTGAGCAATTGTTTCTTACTGAATTGTGGATGTGCTTTGTGAGCGTGTATTTTGCTTGGACTGTGAGTATCTTTTCAAGCTAGAGTCACCAACTGGGATAAGTTACTGACATAAACCACAGTGATGTCTGAAATTATTGGACTTTGCGTGCAAATTGCACTAATTGCTTCATTCGCATTGCCGCAGCTGATAATAACTGATTCGCCCTAAACGTAGTAGTCCATGGATTTTACATGGTGTTATAAAGGCATCTAAAGACAAGTAAGACGGGTGAAGCAAAAATTGTAAACGGCTGAACGACACACTCAGATCTATCTGAAAGTTGATTGGTACAACGAAAGGCACTGGTGCAATATACAGCGGCCGATTTGGTCGGTACCGTGTTTGATGATCGATGGCACATGGACTAACTGATAACTCGGGTACATCATTTACTTGTTTTGATAAGACCTATCGTCTGTCAGAAAAGCTCATCAGTTTACTAGGTAAGATGAGGTTGCATGTATTTTTTTTTTCATTTCAGGACACAGATCACATAACAGAAAGATCACACATGACATAAATAAGATTATTTACACACTGAAATAAATAACCATCCACTCGATGAGAAATCGTCTCAAATCTACACAATGATACATTGAGGCATTCCGGTCGATCATTTACATCAGCTTCACGATATCAGGTAATGGCAAGCGAAGTGTTGCAATATTAACTCCAAAGACCGATGATGATGCTGCTCCACTTACAGTCCATAGGACTGGTTGGGCGTTGCCACGTTTCCCTCCTGGCCAGACGCTGCGGCATCGATGTTTGCCTCTCCCTCGTACTGAAACAAGGAAATAGCATTGTAACGGAAATGACTGCGAGAATGGATAGGCATTTGATTTTAGTCAAAAAGCTGGTTTTACTGCTATTTTTCTACCAGCTTCCGTACCTTAATGACACTGAAAACATGAACTATCGCCTATCGGCCCTGAGAACTTATTATCGATAAATATTTTTTAACGTGTTATTTGGCTTATTTTATAATACCGTTTTCTTTGGTAATATATCGTTTATATTTTTTCCCGAATGAAAGTAACGTTTGACCACTGATCTTTTCAATCGCTTTTCACACTTAATTTACCTGAATATCGACGACGTATCCGGAGTCGCCCTCAACCGAGTAGTTGACGATCTGCATGCGGCCGTCGGCCATCTGCACATAGTAGGAGCCCGACGTGGCGTCGCCGTCGCGGGTCTCCTGCTGTCCAAAGTTGTTGCCACTCTCGTCGTCCTGCACGGCGTACTCGAAGTTGTAGGAGGCCGGCAGTTCTGCGACGTTGCCCTCGGGTCCGGAGGCGGCTCCGTCGGGCGTGCTGTAGGCCGTCTGGACGCTGGGCTGCTGCCCGGAGGCGGCTCCCTCCTGTTCAGGGGGCGCTCCGTAGCCGCTGGCGGGCTGAGAGCCGTAGCCGCGCTCCTCGGGCCGAGCGGTGGCCAGACCGAGCACGGCAAGCACCAGGAGAAGCTGAAGGAAACGACCGGCGTCAGTGAGAGAGTGCTAGATACTCGAGACATTTCAAAGCACTTGAAAACATTTTAATTATTACCTAATTATGACCAAAGAAATAAAAGACGACAATTTTTCCAACAATTTTTAGTCCATTGATGTAAAAAACCAACAACATAGTTCGACTTCTTTTCAAGTAGCTAGCTCCTACAGCACTCAGACCCTTCACAGTCCCATGAAAGATGAGCAGCAGATTCAACTCTCACTCTCCACGACGTTGCACCGGTTGAACCGCTCTCACCTTCATGATCGTCTCAGTGGAATTCTGTGGTACCGGTGAGTCGGTCTCGACTGTCTCCGTCAACTGGTGGCCTGCAGGTCAGAGCGGGCTGCTTTTATACGACGGACCGGCAGTGGCCTGGCCAAGGTCACATGTGGGCCATCTTCACACGGGCAGACGGTATCGGTGTCACTGCCGTGAAGCGTCCAGTACGAGCGAAAAACATAGTCGTCGCTGGATTTGCGACATTTTTAGCTGTAAATGAACTTATCTCAAGTCAAAGAAATAAGAATAATTTGATGTTTAGGTGACAATAGAAATGACCGAATTCATCGCTATCCTATTTTGACCGCCGCTTTCCACATGAGTTAACATGACTTACAAGCCGAAAAAGGAGGAAGCGTTTTCACTTCGAAAGTAGCATAGCAAATGTAATAAAGGAAAGTGCTTTTTAGCTTTCGCAGTTATGAAGAGAGTATAGTTGGACCCCTCGCTTTTTTAACAAATAACTCGCACAAAAAGCGGCTGATCGCGACGGCACTTTCAGCGCTTCGAGGTAATCAAATCAGCAATAATCCTTAGCCCTCGCCGGCACGGGGGAGATTGATGCGAAACCCTAAAGGTTTTTCGCAAATAACTCGCGAAAATAGCGGCCGATCACAACCAAACTTTCCGTACCCTCGTGTTGATCAATTTGTTGATCAATCGTGTTGTGTTGATCCTGACTCGAATGACCTTTGACCTGTAACCTACTTTTCGAGACCATGTTTGGCCGGATTCGCGATTCGGCTTACGTCGGCTCGCATTAGCCGCGCGTTTGCAATCTTTCCGTGGTCTTAACCCGGCACCGCCTGGGCTATTTCCGTACCCTCGGATCCGATCCCCCTGCTATCTCGAGAACCAATTGTCGTATCGAGCCCCGCGAGGCGGCGCTCGAAAGGTCTTTACGAGACCTTCCCAAAGCACTCTTAAGATTTTAAGATTGAGGTCAACTTTCGGATCAGGGTCAGGTCAAAGGTCAAATTCTGGAGTTTTGCATGATTAGGCTTACGGACAGCGGAATCGATAGCTGCTGCTCGAAACTCACCAAAAATGACCTCAAAGACCTAGTGAAGGTACCATGTGCGTATAGGGGTCATACTAGGTACGGGTCAAGGTCAGGTCAGGTCACGAAAGGTCACGGTTTTCACTTTCTGCCACATGGACGTGCGGTATGTTTTATGGCTTATTTTTTTTTTTCACGCCGAATCCGATGGTAATGGTTATATGTGACCCCAAGTCAATGTGCTGGTGATAAGTGTGCATTGAAAGCATAAAAAATCGTTTGTTCTATAGGTACCTACATAACTAAACGAGGGCTAAGAAAAAGTCAATTTTTCAACTTTTTATTTTTGACACAAAAATGCATTTGTCTAGACGAGATTTGTCCCAGGATTCTATTGGTGCCACTTGTTTTCACATGCGATGTTCAGAAGTGCCTCCAATTTACGAAAATGCTTATGACGTCAGCATGCCCCATGCATGTTGGAGCTATTTTTTTTTTACAATTTGGGGGTCAACAATCAAGATAGAAAGTTGAAATTTGGGACATCTAATGTTTTAATAGAGCTCTATAACATGCATTCCGGTTTTTTGGAAATTCTTAAAATTTTGGATTTTATAAGCTGTTTTCCAAAAATATAGTTTTTTGAATTTTTAGTGGTGAAAAACGCATTTTATGGAAAATCCGAGATGGCCATTTTTAAGAACTCGTTGAGCTGCTTCTATTCATGTCCTTAATTTGCAATTCGCTTCAAACCTTGATTTTTGGCGATTTTTTCAAACATTTACCCCTTTTTGACTAAAAACGCCATGTAGTTACATCACTAAAATCAATATATCTGAAAAAGTTTTGAAAAAAAAAATTCTTAGAAATTGCACAGGAGACGTCCAATTCATGCGGAAGAAGGTATGCAAAGTTTCAAGTCTATAGCGTAAACCGTTCATGAGTTATTCAAGAAAAATGGAGGGGGGTCGGGTCCGACCCCCCCCCCCCCCCGCCCCAGGCGGTCGCGGGCTATGTAAGAGTTGAAACATGTGATTTGATGTTAGTCCCATGCATTGGGGTGGGTATCAAGGTCACGTGAAAGTCAGGTCAGGGCATTGACCTTTGATGAGCTCGGTTCACTTTTTCGAGTTTCAGGTACAAGTTTCTAGGCTAGTTGTTGGAGAGAAATTCGCATTTAGCAACCATTTGAGCATTTACGAAGTAGTTTTGGTGCTTTTGTAACCTGTTACATTGTTACAAAGCTGTCAGAGGCGTTAGACACCAACTACGAATACCCGGCAGGACCCTACTGGCTGACCTGACCTGACCTGAACTGACCTGGCCTAAATGCATGTAGGCAACATTTGTGATCAAAACTAACATGATACTCGTGATCAACACCCCGAAAAACCCCATAGCAGCCATACTTTACGACGTTCTAACAGATCCCGATTTTCCCGAATTTTGGGTCATTGACCTAACCTGAAAGGTCACCATTTGACTTATGACCTTAAAACCGAGTACAGTTGGCTTTGTCGCGTGACGACCACTACGATGGTTTTGTTCCGCGAGGCTCTAGCTCAATTAGGAGTCAAACGCGAGGGGGTCGTACCCCCCCTGTGCCGTCGAAGGACGGAAAATTGCCTGTGCCGGCGAGAGATAGAAGTTCATGTACCAGAGGCCAGTTTTACCAACAGAAAAATAGCCGCCTGTCAGATTTTTTTTTGCCAAAGACCAATTCACACACGAAGCGTAAAAGCGATGGGCACCTAAGCGGATAGGGCTTTACCGTTTACGTATGTGAAGTGGTCTTTGGCAAAAAAAAAAATCCGGCAGGCGGCTATTTTTCTGATGGTAAAACTGGCCTCTGAATCAAATAATATCTGTTCTCTGACCTGTTTCTCGGGACCATGTCAGGCGAGAATTGCGATTCAGTATATGTCAAGCTACATTATCCGTGCCATTCCAGACTGTTTGTGATTAGGAATGTGTGAAAATGTGAGCTGATGCTGTTCCTATGCATTGTCGTGGATGTAATGGTCACTTGAAAGTTGAAGGTCAGGTTAAGATCATTAACCTTAGATGACCTAGGATCACTTGATCGTGTTTTACAAATTATTAGAGTAGGTTTGGGACTGATTTCGAATCTCGCACCCATTTGAACATTAACCCGGCAGTTGCTGGGGTATTTCGCCACCCGCCGTTTGCTGGGGGGGGGGGGGGGGGGCGTTAAACGCCCCCAGCCGATAACTCGAGAAGCAATTGGCGCAGCGAAACCCACGAGGCGGCAAACGAAAGAACGCGACGAGACGCTTCAGATGAGTACTTTAAAGTTTAATTTTGAGTCAAGGTCAGGTCAAACATCTGAAATGGGCTTTCAGTAGCATGGACTTCAGGTCTTCGCAATGGGTGCCTCTCGTCATAAACTCTCTCAAAACGGTGCAGTGCGCAATCCTTCATATAAGGCCTACAAGAGTGTCAGCTCCATGTAGGGGTCAGTCACGCATAGGTCAGGGTCAAGGTCAGGTCAAACGGGTAGGCACTTTTCCCTGAAAATCAAAACTGATATTCGCAGCCTGTGACACATGTTTTATGGGTAATTTTAGGCGTAGAACACGATGGTGACATTCATTTTAACATATGTGTACGTGTTTTGCTCAAAAAGTTCAATTTAAGAAATGCATGTATCATGGCCCTGTCCCGTTCGAGTCGCTCCGGCGCTCGATATTTGAGACTCCTAACGGGGATGGTCTGCGGTTGGTGGGAGCATCCGCAGCCAGTTGAAGTCAGTTGAGTGGGACAGGCCGTGTCCGGCTTTGAAGGGTACGTTAAACTTTGGCATCTAAATTCTCCCGTTACCCGGAATTGCGCGATCGGGCGGTAGGAGTCGGGGTCTACGCAACAAGCTCTGCTTAGCGTGGCCTCGGCTCTGTCAATCCGTCTCGATTCAAACATTCGAACTAAATTTATAAAAAAGGTAGTCACGAGAAATTGCCAAGATTCAGTTCAAGATTTTGGAAAATGCGGAACGATAATCAATAATCGAAGATAGCCATTTGATTGTTCATGGTATTGGCAGCCTAATGGCGTTTACGGCATGTCTGTATGTCTGTTCTGTGATTTTATATGATTTTTTGAACATACGCCGTTTTTTGGACGAAAACTCAGAAATCATGACGTCACTAAAACCTCAATATCTCAAAAAATTTCCGATCGATTTTTTTTGAAACTTTGTCACAATAAACTTTAATCAATTCCATACAGGTACCTAAATTTTGGCGCGCCTGCAGCGCACCGTTTTTATTCTATGGTGCTGCGAAAAAAGTGGGGGCGTTTAACGCCCCCCCCCCCCCCAGCAACTCGCGTTATAGTTTTGGTGCCTATGCAAGATGTTACGAAGCTGTCAGTAGTGGTTAACCTGCGCTCTGCTGGGAAGGAGGGATGTTTGAACACCCCCCGTGGTTTTTCGCGAATTTCTAAAAGAAGAAAAAAAAAACGGCGGCGTGGAGCACGCCCTATTATGCATCGATTCTACATCTGTTGTAAGATTCTTTTATACCAAGGTCATTTAAGGTCAGGTCGCCAGGTCACTTCAAGTGACCTCATCTCATAAAAAGTTTGAATGTGTGCCATAGCTACCTACACCCAGTGACCGATCGTTTTGAAGCTTTTAGCGATTGATAAAAGCAACAGTACATGCATCGATTGTAGGGACTGTATAACAGTGATTTTACAGCGATTGTACATTTTGTAGGTACAAAATGTATACCTTGGAATTTCGATATCGGTGGCCTATGGTCAGTTAGATTTTGCGACCTCTTCATTTTAAGTTAGTGGGAGACAATTAACAAAAGTAAAAGTCCTTGAAAACCTTGAAACCTTGAAAAACAGTGAATATTTTTTCTGTTAAATTTGGTAGATATTTATTTGTTATCTTTCTGAACCACGGTTCGCTCCAAACGTAGTCCATTAATTTTGCACAGGGTGATAAAGACATCCAAAGAAAAATAAGACGGGTGAAACAAAAATTGTAAACGGCTGAACGATACATTCAGATATCTGAAAGATGATTGGTATACAACGAAAGGCACCGGTGTAATATACAGCAGCCGATTTCATCGGTGCCGTATTTGATGATCGATGGCACATGGACCAACAGACAAGTTTACTCGGGTACATCATTTACTTGCTTTGGTAGGACCTATCGTCTGTCAGAAAAGCTCATCAGTTCACTATGTAAGATAAACTTGCATGTATTTTTTTTCATTTCAGGACACAGATCACATAACAGAAAGATCACACATGACATAAATAAGTTATTTACACACTCAAATAAATAACCATCCTCTCGATGAGAAATCGTCTCAAATCTACACAATGGCACATTGAGACATTCTGTTCGATCGCTTACATCAGTTCCGCAGTATCAGGTAATCACAAAAAAGTGCTGCAGTATCAACTCCAAAGACCGATGATGATGCTGCTCCATTTACAGTCCATAGGACTGGTTGGGCGTTGCCACGTTTCCCTCCTGGCCAGACGCTGCGGCATCGATGTTTGCCTCTCCCTCGTACTGAAACAAGGAAATAGCATTGTAACGGAACTGACTGCGAGAATGGATAGGCATTTGATTTTAGTCAATTAAAGCTGCTTTACTGCTATTTTTACCAGCTTCTCTGCGTTTATTACATTGAAAACAATAACGATCGGCGCTTGGAAGTTATTAATAATAAATGCTGCTTAAAAAGTGTTGTTAGGCTTATTTCATAATACCGCTTTCTTTGGCAATATCGTTTATATTTTTAATTTTTACGAATGAATGTAACGTTTGACCAATGATCTTTTCAATCGCTTTTCATACACTACTTGCCTGAATATCGACGACGTATCCGGAGTCGCCCTCGACCGAGTAGTTGACGATCTGCATGCGGCCGTCGGCCATCTGCACATAGTAGGAGCCCGACGTGGCGTCGCCGTCGCGGGTCTCCTGCTGGCCAAAGTTGTTGCCGCTCTCGTCGTCCTGCACGGCGTACTCGAAGTTGTAGGAGGCCGGCAGTTCTGCGACGTTGCCCTCGGGTCCGGAGGCGGCTCCGTCCGGCGTGCTGTAGGCCGTCTGGACGCTGGGCTGCTGCCCGGAGGCGGCTCCCTCCTGTTCAGGGGGCGCTCCGTAGCCGCTGGCGGGCTGAGAGCCGTAGCCGCGCTCCTCGGGCCGAGCGGTGGTCAGACCGAGCACGGCAAGCACCAGGAGAAGCTGAAGGAAACGACCGGCGTCAGTGAGAGAGTGCTAGATACTCGAGACATTTCAAAGCACTTGAAAACATTTTAATTATTACCTAATTATGACCAAAGAAATAAAAGAAGACAATTTTGTCAACAATGTTTAGTTCATTGATGTAAAAAACCAACAACATGTTCGACTTCTTTCCAAGTAAATAGCTCCTGCAGCACTCAGACCCTTCACAGTCCCATGAAAGATGAGCATCAGATTCCACTCTCACTCTCCACGACGTTGCACCGCTCTCACCTTCATGGTCGTCTCAGTGGAGTTCTGTGGTACCGGTGAGTCGGTCTCGACTGTCTCCGTCAACTGGTGGCCTGCAGGTCAGAGCGGGCTGCTTTTATACGGCGGACCGGCAGCGGCCTGACCAAGGTCACCGGTGGACCATCTTCACACGGGCAGACGGCATCGGTGACACTGCCGTGAAGCGTCGAGTGCGAACGAGAAACACGGGTGTCACTGAATCCGTGATATCTGTGATGTATTCACATTTCACTCATCTCATGTCGAAGAATAAAGTGATTTTTAACCCGCGCCCCACTGGGGGGGGGGGGGCTATTCATAACCCCTCCCGTTTTCTGCAAAAACTTCCAAACCGCTTGACATATGGACGCCAAACTTTCAGTACCTTCGGCTGCATCAAATTGACAGCCTGTGGTAAAATATGAACTTCATAGCACCAGGTCGGCTGGATATGACGTCAGAGTGGCTCATGTGCGGCCGAGTTCGACACAAAACATTGAACCACGGCAATCGCTCCCAAGAGCTCAGTTTTTAAGCTAGGTTCAATTTCTTTGCATGCGGGACTCAGAATAAACTGCGCTATCAAACTGTCGTCTGTGAGGTTCAAAATTCTGAAATGTTTAAGATTATATATTAAAATTAGAAATGTATTTTTTATCTTTTTTTTATAAGTTTTTGACTTTTCGAAAAGACCGGAATATGTGATAGAACACATCTTATGACTAGCTCTAGCAAGTCTTAGCCAGATATCTTCAAAAATGGTCAAGTTATACGCATTATAGCAAAAAAAAAAACTCACTTATTAATTTTAAAGTACATTTTTCAGTACGCGTTTGACATCGTACACCAAATATATAGCCCATCGTGCTCCTGAGCTCAAACTGCTCAATAGGACTTTTTCTTGAAAAATTCAAACTTTAAAATTTGACCTTTCTTGACCTGAAAGTGGCCGACTAAGCTAAATTAACTCAA